CATATGGATAAATGGATAATGTAATTATCATGACAGGCCTGGTCAGCTCCCGCTCACTGCTTCCTGTACAATGAACAAACACTCGGTCCACTGTTTTGTTAAGACTCAGAGCAGATAGTGCTCCACACGGAGAAGAAAATAAAAGGTTTTAATCTGGATTTTCTGTCTAACCCAGAATCCCGAGTCCTAAAGAGGGTGTGCAGTTTGTTTTGGAAACTGTGGGACATGTTAAAGGCAGAAAAGTTGTTGAATTTTTAAAAACAAGATCATGAGTAATGAAAACTAGTTGAAAATATAAACAGATTTCCTGTAGAGCAATGGCTGCACTAGTGTGTTGTATTTTTATAATATGAATTATGAACTCTTCAGTTAAAGTGACAGTGTGTAGTTTCCTGGTGCTAGGGGACAGTGCATACACTTCAGGGTAGTTTTACTCCATTTAACACACTACAGTAAATGTTACCTGTGGAGCAGAAAGCATGAACCTTGGCGTGACTCCTCAGACTTTTACGATCCTTCAGGTAATTCCATCCAGAGAATACAATGCCAATGTTTTCTGGAGGTGTACTTTCCGGATCTGCCCGGGGTCCTGCACCTGCTGATGATGTCATCAAACTGCGGCAATACCACTCTACCAAAATATTTTGAATCTATTTTTCAAATCTGTTCTTTCACATCAGTTTTGGAAAGAGTTTTGCAGTTTTGTTATTAAATTCATGTTTCTTACTGCCTAAATATTTTCAAACGTGGTAACATAACTTCTGTATGTCGTACGTCCAGCCAATCATCTAGCGTGATGTCATCGACAGACGCAGGACCCCGAGCCGACCAGCAGGAAACAGGCTGTCTAATATGGCGTTCCTCAAAGATGCTAGTCCCGCACCCTATGTACGTTAGACTTGGTTTTCATGGTTATTTGATACGAAGCTCCTGATATTTTTCAACAACATTTCAATGGATATAACTATCATTCTGAATTTTAAAGTTGCAAATTTATATTCGTTTTATACTGAATTAGGGCTAGATCATATGGACTAAAACTTATATATTGATATATTTCGCTGAATTCCAATATACGATAAACACAATTTTAACACTAGGATCCCATAAAATTACAGAATAGAAGCCAAACAAACATCATCCTATGTTAGATCCTATTAGATGCATAATTTTGCTTTCTTGTGCAGCTTCAATAATTCCATATCCAAGCAACAATATTTTCCCGCCTTCTTCATTATTTTTGTAAAATTCAACATGCATAACTTATTTGACTGCAGTTTCGCTTTTACTTCTATGGGCAAAGCCAACAGAAGCATAATAGTGACGGGTTCACCTGCACTTCACCCTAAGCGTGCTCCGGCTGGCAACAAGAAAGAAGGGTTTACTCCATGATGGCGTTAAGGTTTTAAAACTTTCTGTATTTTAGCTTTGGTAACCACAATGAAGCCCTCTTTTTGCCTGGCTGATGTCTTACCTTGTAAACTCCTTTCAAAAGTATTTGATGCCATTGGTCCCTGGGTTACCAGAATGTTTAACCTGTCCCTTTCTTCTGGCGTTTTCCCTAGCTGTTTTAAACATGCTTTTGTGGAACCCCTACTCAAAAAATCTAATCTGGATCCAACAGATCCTAAAAATTTTAGACCGATATCAAAACTCCCTTTCCTGTCCAAAGTCTTAGAGAAAGTGGTATCTGAACAACTGGTTTCCTTCTTACAGGATCGCAATATCTTTGACAGGTTTCAGTCCGGTTTCCGTAAGCACCACTCTACGGAAACTGCGCTGCTTAAAGTGTCCAATGACATCTTGATGTCCGCAGACTCTGGGAAATGCACGGTCCTAGTTTTACTAGACCTTTCGTCCGCATTCGACACGGTTAACCATGAGATCTTGCTGAGTAGGCTCCGCGAGTTGGTTGGGTTGTCAGGTTCTGTCCTGGCGTGGTTTACATCCTATTTATCTGGGAGAAGCCTAAGTGTCTCAGTCAACCAGATCCTGTCTGACCCAACTGATCTACGGTGTGGAGTACCCCAGGGCTCAGTTTTGGGCCCGATTTTGTTCTTGTTGTACATCCTTCCTTTAGGAAACCTAATCCAGGAGTTTGCCGATGATGTTTCCTATCATCTCTTTGCTGATGATCTTCAGCTGTATTGTTCTTTCAAGCCTTCTGACGTTAAAAAATTGCATTCTTTATTATCATGTTTTGAGCGAATCAAACAGTGGCTCGGTGCAAATGCCTTACGGCTGAACTCAGACAAAACTGAAGTACTGGTGATTGCCCCCGATGATGCTGCTCCAGGGATTCACCAGCAGTTAGGTGATCTGAGCTTGTCTGTAAAACCTACCCTTAGAAACCTTGGAGTTTTCTTTGACAAGGGAATGTCTCTTGAACATCACGCAAAGCAGTTAACTAGAAACTGTTTTTACCACTTGAGACAAATTTCTAAACTCAGAACAATGGTGTCTAAAGCTGATCTTGAGTTGATTATTCACGCGTTTACATCATCCCGTTTAGACTACTGTAATAGTTTATTTTCTTGTCTAAACAAAAAAGAGCTGTCCCGCTTACAACAAGTCCAGAATTGTGCAGCTAGAATTCTGACCCGTGACAACAGAAGGGTCCACATTACACCCATTTTAAAAGCTCTTCATTGGCTTCCTATCACATTTCGCATAAATTTTAAAATTCTTGTGCTGACTTTCAGAGCGCTGCATGGTCTGGCTCCATTGTATGTTCGAGACATGCTCTGCCCTTACACGCCTTCTCGCAGGCTGAGATCTATGGATGAAAACCTTTTAATGGTCCCACGTACTCAGTTCAGGACACGAGGAGATCGCTCATTCCAGGCCGTCGCTCCTAGGCTCTGGAATGAGCTACCTCTGTCTTTACGCTCAATCGACTCAGTTGATGTTTTTAAGAGCAATCTTAAAACCCATTTGTTTCTCCAGGCATTTTAAACTTAGTCTCATTCAGATTGGTTTTATTTGACACTGTATATTGTGGCTGTATTTTACTGTATTTATATGTTGTTGCCTTTTAACTTGTGAAGCACTTTGTGACCTTTTTGTCTGTGAGAGGTGCTATAGAAATAAAGTTACTTACTTACTAAAGTTACTTACTATCATTTCTTAACCCCTCCTTTCCAGTAGAAGCGTGAGTAACATGTAACATAATAGAGGCGTTTTACCCGTAAGCTCTCTTCCAACCGGGAGTGTGTCAGGCGAGATATGGGAGCGAAAGCATTCCACGCAGCTAGTCCCGCGAGGTCACAAAATCTTGGGAGAAACACAACATCACGCGTGATTTCACATGATAACAAGCAGGGAGAAAGACGGCTGCATGTTTCCAAAAAGGTCTGTGGTTTATTTTCTGTTCTGTTCTGCTACTGAGGTTTCACAGGAAATGACATACGGTTTTTAATAGTTTAGCAACTGGAAATCTGGACGTGACTTTTATTTTGAAAGTTTCAGGATGTTTAACAATGCTTTCGTGTTTGACTTCCTGGCCAGCCCGATCTGAACTGTGGAATTTGACGTGTTCTGGAAGTGCAGCGTGTAAAATAGACTCGAAACTAGGGCTGGGCGATATGGCCTGAAACAATATCATAATATATTGAGGATTTCACCTCAATAACGTTAAATGGATGATAAATACAGGTGTATTGCGTTGAGTCACATTTTTACGTGACTAAAGGTGGTACAGCTATTTAAAGGGACATGAACATCGCCAACCTACACACATCTTTTGATTTGTTTTTATTGTCAAATTTATTGACATGGGAAAAATGATCTCGATAAGAAATTCCGATAAAAATAAATTTTCGATTTATCATCCAGCCCTACTCAAAACTTAAGCAACGTATACTTATGCTTCTGGGGCGCATCCAAAGCGTGATGCTTCCCGGTCGGTGGATTTTGGCTAATCAATATACCTTATCTCATCAGACAGCAGTAGCTCAGGAGGTAGACGGCCTTGTCCAGTAATCGGAAGGTTGTAGGATTGATCCCAGCTTCCGCCAGAGAATTCTGCTGTTGTGTCTTAACCCACCTTGCCTGCTGGTGGTGGTCGGAGGGACTAGTGGCGCCAGTGTTCGGCAGTCTTGCTTCTGTCAATGTAGCTTACCAGTGTATGCATGTGTGTTTGAATGGGTGAATGACTGATTGTGTTTTGAAGCGCTTTGGGGGTTGTAGAGCCCTAAGAGGTGCTATACAAATACAGTCCCTTTACCAACATCTCCTATTGTACGATGATAAATAAATCACCAGATTTTTGCCACTACACATCCATAGCTCTGTGTTAAGGAAAGCTTTGAAACCCTACAGCTAAAAGCAAAAAGATGAAGCTGCCACAAACTCCTAGATATAAACATCTTCATCTCTACAACTCATGACTGATTAGTGAAGCTACACCAGTAAAGCACATTGGTTTGGACCACAGATATTCATTTGTGGCCTAAAAGGCAGCATCCCTTTGAAACTGACACCTGCATCCAGAGTTAATCAATCCTCTGAGCTTCCACAAAGATTCATCTGAAATAAAAAGAGGGAGAGGTAAACATGCTGACTCAGGCGGAGCTCCCCTTATCTGGGTCTCATCCAGACCTGGAGCTCTGACTGTTTAACTATTGCATACTTGTGTGAGCAACCAAATACAAAAAAAAATAATGAGCTCCTGTCTTTGGTGTGACGGGGCAAATTCCTGTACGATTAACGAAGAGTTCTCAGTCTGTGCAAGCCTGTGGTGTACCGCCATGACTTCATCAAAAAGATGACCTGCTGTGTGTGAAGACAAAGAGTCTTCTGGCAGCTCGATTGCAAAACTAAACACATTTGAAAATTACCAGTAATACCACTCCAACACACACACACACACACTCCTCTGTCCAAGTAAGAGCATGTCAAAGACTGTAAACCTTCTGTGAGACGAGAGTGTGGTAACAGCCTGTTAGTCAGTGAAACAGAAGAGGAACTGGAAGAGAAAGAGAAAGAGGAGTGTGGCCCACCTTGTTGTGCTCATACTTGTAGGGGATCTGTAATGCACTCATGGCTTGGATCATGGCCTGCATAGCTGTGAAGATGTTGTGGAAGATCAGTCTGGTGAAGCCTCTTCTGTCCTCTTCGGAGTATCCACAGCCGTGGATGATCCTCATCTGTTTGATGAAAGTGCTCTTTCCACTTTCACCAGTTCCTGGCCATCAAACCAATACATAATCATCTGTCATACAAATCACATAAACTCAAATACATCATTGATTGAGTAGATACAGCATTTTTACTTTTTCATTAATTAAAACAACTAGATTAGCTCTTTGGACTTGAGACGTTGAATAGAAGTTCTGTTTAGGGAATAACTGTTTCCTGTAAATAGAAACTGAACACCTTAAAAGGTGTGGTTGATTGAAAAAAACATTTTTAATTCATTATTCATTCGTTTTTCATGCAGACTAAAGGTTGGTTTATGCTTGATGCGTCTGCGAGGTTCGCAAGGCTCCACGCGGCAAAATTGCGTCATTTTAACAACCACGCCCCTCCACCGTGCCTCCGCACGGCCCAAAATTTCCGCACCGCGCACCTAGGAAATTTTCTAACCACGCGGACGGTCGGACGTGGAAAAACGTGGCGGACTGGCAAGAACTAGTATGGCAGAGGTTCGTAAATACAGACATTTGTATGATTCAGCTCTCAGAGATCACCGTGATCAACATGTTGTTAATAATTCTTGGAGAAATAGCTCGCACTGTCAGAAAAGACGAGGACGCTGTTAAAAATGCTGGAATGCCATGTTGCAAACAACAGTAATTTTTACTTCTACTATGGTGTAGTGTTGGATGCATGCCGTAGAGCTCCATGCTGCCCCCTACAGTTTGGGAGAATATTGGCTCACCGCAGAGACAAGCCGCATGAACCATAAACGCTGCAAGTTGTGAAGCGCGTTCCATCTGCGAGCCGCATCACCAAGCGGAAATTAAATGCGTCAAGCATAAACCAAGCTTTAACAAGTCTCCCTCCCATTTCCTGCGTTAGCTTCTGAAAATAGACGGTGAAATTCTAGAATTTGAAAATCCTCACATATCTATGTCACACTGTGAACTTGCAATCCTGGCCTTGCCCATCTTGGCTCATGCCAACCCACAGGAAGGCTTATAAAAAAAAATGTTTGCAGCGAGGAGAGATAACCAAGAGTGTCTTGGTTATAGTGATTTGGAAACATGGCTGAATGTGTTCTGTTAGCCAATCAGAAGTGAGGTGTGTGCATATCATTAATAAAAATGAGCAATCTTGCTGTTTTCAGCCCACATTTGCACCAGCAAACTTCTGCATCTTAGAACAGGAGCTTTGTAGCTTTCTTTTTGTTAATGAGTCTTAAGGCACTAACTTACACTAGAGAACACTGGAAATGTATTGAATAAACAGGTAAACCACACCTTTAATCCATTAGAGAGTGGAACATCATTGTGAAGTAGCAATATCAGCATTTAGTTATTTAAATTATCAGTGGGGCAAAATGACAAGCAAAGATCAATTACAATTCAAAGGTCCAACCCCATTTCTTCAGATTCCCCCCTTAAGTCACTGAATCTGATGGTCACAGAAAATGGTGCAACCCCGGGCGCAAACTGCCGAACAACCATAAAAACATGACATTATCTTACGTTTTCAACGCCTTTTCTATCATAATTCCTAACGTAACGCACCACCAAAACTACCTAGCATGCTAGCTAACAAAGTGCAGTGTTTTAATGGTGAAAAACGAGGCAGTTTTTCGTTTTCCTGGTTCACTCTAAAAAGTCGCAGCAGCTCAGTGCCACCAACAATCTGGGAAAACCCCACGAACAACAGGTCAAAACTTCCATAACCCAACCCAAGCCTCCTCAGAATCAGCTCTGCCCTCTCTGCCAGATTCTCACACTCACGCTTTACTCTGCCAGCCAACAGGCACCGGCTGCATTTACAGGCAACAGCTCTGTCACCAAAACGTTTACCAACCAGGACAGAACCAGACTCTAGGCAGAAAGTGTGATACAACTCCTTAAATGAAATCCTTAAGACCAGGACATTCACAATGATTGAACAAAGTTTTTTTAGGATTGCACATTTCATTTGCGATCTAAATTATAAATTTTTTGACAAAACATTAAATGTATTGGTTGCCATCGGTGTGTGAAGAGCAATTCAAGCAATATGGAAGAAAAAGATCATAAATAAAGTCTATGGATTCATTTGATTGAACAAATTAACGAGGATATGGTTAAAAAATATACATTAAGAGCTCAGAGAGCCTGACTTTAGAGTTATGAATGGATCCTAACACCACCTTTGTGTTTTCTAAGGAATATTATATCCACAAAACTGAAAGCCAACCTTAGTAATTCTAAATGAATATGTTTAATTATTATTATTATTATTATTATTAAATGGTAAATGGTAAATGGCCTGTATTTGATATAGCGCCTTCTAGAGTCCTAGAACCCCCCAAGGCGCTTTACAACACAATCAGTCATTCACCCATTCACACACACATTCACACACTGGTGGGGATGAGCTACAATGTAGCCACAGCTGCCCTGGGGCGCACTGACAGAGGCGAGGCTGCCGAGCACTGGCGCCACCGGTCCCTCCGACCACCGCCAGCAGGCAATGTGGGTTAAGTGTCTTGCCCAAGGACACAACGACAGCGACAGACTGAGCGGGACCCGAACCAGCAACCTTCCGATTACGGGGCGAGCACTTAACTCCTGTGCCACCGTCGCCCCAGGTCAAAACTTCCATAACCATAACTTCAATGGTTATAATAATTAAATGGTTAAAATAATTAATAATAATTAATAATAATAATAATAATAATAATAATTATTATTATTATTATTATTATTATTATTATTATTATTATTATTCCTATGCAAATGATTTCAGAACTTATTTTCGTTAAACTGAACATTGGGATTAATAGTTTACCCATTCATCAAAGGATTGATCAGACATATTGGACTGCGAGTCTGCTTTTCGGTTCGCTGCTTTCAGATGTAATGCTTGTTCACGCCAAGATAAAAGGAACCCTCTTTAGTGATTCACCAAGCAGCTTTAACCACTTTATCCTTTTAAGAGCCACAGGGGGGCTGACGTGTATTCCAGCTGCCTTTAGACACATCGAGTGCAAGTCGCTGGTTCAACACGAGGCTAAATCAGAGACAGGAAACTCATCACTCACTCACACATAAACCAACCTCACATCCACACTGTGGGAGGAAACAGGGACATTGGGGGAGATAACTCCAAGTTTAAAAGTTCTGAACCCCGTGATTCAGATTCAACACAAATCATTATTTTAAAAAAGCAGACTCTTTCACAGCAAACTCTGTTAATGCTCCTTATCAGGTATGACAAATTCAGTGTGGCCTCTCAAAAGGATGCTACAATTATATATTTATCTATACACACTAAATACATTTATTAAAATTTGTATTTTCAATGACAAGTTTATATTTATTCTTTAAATCACTTCATTCTTTAAAGTTCATTTATTCAGCTTCTACTATGGACAAGACATATGGGGTGCCGATTGTAAAGTAATACATTAAGAATTTAAATATATATACTGTGTCATGTTTGCTCCCCCTAAACATTAAGAATGAGGTCACCTTATTTATCACATTTCCTTAGGAAGTTATATTTAAATTTTTATAACATAAATCCAAATAATTATATTAAAAATTGAAAATAGTGAAACCAATACAAATATATGCACTTATATTTAAATATTTATAATAAATCCAAACATATAAAGATCCATTTAAAATTTGAAATAGGGATGTTGGATATTATCGGTCTACCATTATTGTCGGTCGATATTGGCATTGAAATTTAATATGGGAAAATATCGGTATTGGTAGTCAGTCTTTTATTAACACAAATTGTACATATACACATAATGTACATCAAATTCTTCAGCTACTTCTCCTCTCTATGAAACTGTGAAATATATAACAGGTCTTAGGTAAAATTTTTGAGATATTTTAACTTATTTGGCACAACTTGTGAAGTAGAAATTTGCCATGTGTAGTGGAAAACAAATAAAACAAAAAAACAAGAATTAACTTAAGATATTTATAAATGTTTTATAACCATGGCTGCGATCTACAGAAAAAGTACCTTACTAACAAATACAAACATTGTACCTGCATGCTTTGAAAGATTGAGATTCAGCTTCTTAGAGACAAAATAATTATGGCAAATTTCCTATTACTAACTTAAATTGAAGTAATTGTCATTTTGTGAAGAAAATGTTTAAAATTTAAGTGATTTAAGAAGGGATATGGGATGTTAGTGATCTAAAATGTTTTAGTTTTTCTTGTTTATGAGGGGGGATTATATCAGTAAAAAAACAATAACAAGCATCCCTACTTGAAATCTAATTCTAAATATGGTTTTTAAACCCAGTATTTAGCCAATTTATATATTCAGACTGACAAAATGAAATTAGCCAGACTTGGAAAACAGGTCACATCTTTCTTTTTAGGGTAAATAAATACTTATATCTGCTACCTTTATGTATTTGTTGGATTATGGAGGTGTAAGTTATATGCCTACATTTTTACAACATGGACATACCCTTGATACAGTCTACCACAGAGATATGAGGTTCCTTACAAGTCTTTAAAACTCTAATCCTAGTTTCACACTAGAAGCATCAGCGCCGCAAAACGGCAGCGGACCGATTTACTCGCAAACTTCAAAGCGGTCCTTTTCACACCAGGAGAGTCTTGGTCATGGCACTGCTTCCTCCCTGTGCTCTTTGCTGGACTCAAAACCCCTCAAGACTTCCTCAATCCTCCTCGATTGACTCGCGAGATCACAAGATCCCTCGAGACTTCAAAGGTCACGGTTTGTTTATGCAATCCGCCATTAAACAGAAAAGAAGGAAATCACGTTTGATATCGCTGTTTGATGTCATAAGATGTTGTTCCTCTCCACTGCCAGGATTACAGACCTGAAAAGCACACCGCTGCACTTCTGGAACGATACTGGGAGTAAATAAGCTGCTGGGTCACACCTAAGCTACATATGAAATAGCATCGCTGCAGTACTTTTATTTTGAAAATTCCCCAAGATTTTACACTGAAACCGTGAGTAATTTCCTGTCTATGTTAACTGAGGAATTGGCGTGTCCCAAGAAGCGGCTTGTGGCAAAAACAGAACCCAATCCTATCTGTAGCGGCGCGGTGTGCCGCTTCTGGGACGCCTGGAAATAGCCGCATTGCTGCTGGTTTGAAACCCTCCATAGACAATAATGGATTCTGTTGGAAGCAGTGACATTCCGCTGCCATTCTGCGCTGCTGAGGCTTCCAGTGTGAAACCGGGGCAACTCATCATTATATATTGTACTTTTATGCTTTTATGCTCTAACTTGCTGACAGAGAATTATAAACTACGCTTATCCCTGGCCCGACTTTCCCCTCTGCGCAGGTGTGACAAACAAAAGTGCACAAAAGAACAGCACAGAGACATGCAGAAGGTCTTGATACGATTCCAAATAAACTCCAGAGTGTTTTTTTTTAATTAATGTGAATGTTGAAGGAAATGCCATTCCATACCCAGATTAAAATGTGGGAGGGCACACAAAAGTCATAGTTACCAAGTAGTTCCTGTCTAACCAAAAATGAACTGAGGGACTGCCTGGATGACCAATAAAATACATTATCTCACTAATATTTCAGTAGATGACTAGATTCCTCAGCTCCAACTCATAAAACACCAAAGAGCTCAAATTGTTCATAGCTGGCTCAGACAGAGGGGGTTGGACCATGTACTTAACTAGCACCTTCTGACCAATCAGCAGACTGAATGTTCAGACACTTTTTTTCCAGTTTTCCCTGAGTGAAAAGAAACCAAACAACAAGAAGTTATAAAGAAACAATTATAAACAGAATCGGATCAGCCAGCACACATAGGTGGGCCCCATATGCTTCCCACCACGGTTTGTCCGTCGTTTTCATGGTGGCTTCACAGGGGTTTGCCTACAATGGTTTTAATGGGCCGGTGTTTGAAAATCTACATAGGACCCGTTAAAATCTATGTGGGCAAACATTTTTTTTGGGGGGAAACCCCCTGTAGGCCACCATGGAAACCGCACAAACCCTGTTGGGGCCCATAGGATTTGTCCATATGTATTGCATATGGAGCCCACCGTGTGCTGGCTCACATTTATTTTAGTATGCTACGTTCGTTTTACGGCAGTCTGAACTTCCCTTGTTAACTAAATATTTAGTTCAAAACGACCACATTTAGGTTTTAATTTCAACATCTACGTTTAGATTTTTATATGTAGATTTAATAGAAAATATATTTTTATATATTCAACAATAGACAATCATGTTGTGCATCATCCAGTAAGTGACAGTGACAGCCCAAGGGACATCAAACACAGAGAAAAAGAAGAATGGCGGGAGCAAACTGGTCCTGAATTTGTTTGATAGGTGCAAACAAAAACAACTAACTTTTGCACTAAAAAAAATTGAAAAATTGAGCTAAATATTTAGTTCAAAACGACCACGTTTAGGTTTTAATTTCAACATCTAAGTTTAGATTATATGTATACATACACACATTATACACACACACACACATACACACACACACACATATATATATATATATATATATATATATATATATATATATATATATATATATATATATATATATATATACATACACACACACACACACACACACACAAACACACACACACACACGTGTGTGTGTGTGTGTGTGTGTGTGTGTATTCAGAATATCTGGCTTTCACTTTGTACACTTAATCTGATTCTATATTTTTTGACCCATTAAAAGTAAATAAGGCCAAAGAGGCCTACATGCTTGTTTGGATGGATCAGTTTAAAACGGCACCCCATAGAATGAGCTGAATGTTGTAGTTTTGCAACCATTTCTCAGTCTTTATAAAATGGGTTTTAAATACAAAATTCATTCAAACACAACAAATATTTTACAACTATCAATGTTAACATCATCTTGTGATTTTTTTTTCTTTTAGATCTTTCCACATGAGTGACTTTTGGGCATGAAAACACCACTTTGTCATCAGCCTAAGCACAACTCCTTTCCAACAGATGCGGCGCATTTCCCGTTCCTTACCCAGCAACAGGAGTTTATACTCCCGCCGGGACTCCTTCTCGTCCCGCCGGAGCTGCCTCTCGATCTCATCGTTGATCCTACGAGCCTCTTTGGCCTCCGGACTGAGGCAGCACGTCCCCACGCAGCTCAGCGTCATCCCGAACACCACCTCACCTGACGGGGCAGACGGAACACACCGTGAGCGAAGCCCCGCGCACCTTGACGTGGCTTACATGAGGTCCCAACAGACACCCTAACCTGCGGACAAACTCTAGTCACTTTGAGGAAGTGCAGCAGTTGCTCTCAAGGCATCTGGTCCTCTGGTGAAGAGGAAATCGACTTTGTGCAATAACTTCTGAGTCACAACCCCCTGATGGCAGAGCTCCGGGCGTGGTGGATCTTTGCTTCAAAGCAGGAAAAAAGCGGAGTACTAAAATCTTCTCCAGGGTAAATGGTTCCGTCTCTGCTGCGCCCAGTTCCCGAACTCTCCTCAGTCCTGGATGAAACCCAACGGTGCACCATGTGACTGACGGGAGGGCTGTGCTGCTGGGAAACCATGTGGGCTTTTATTATTACATTATAGGAAGTTGTTTCCGGTATTAACTAGACAAGGATGTGCAACAGGCTGACGCTCCAGCTTTACTGGGAGCAAGACCGCAAACGTGTGTATTCCAACAATAACAACAAAAACACCTATAGCTGTGACAGACTTTATTTACTCACCTCCTGCACTTATTACAGATGCACAAGTCATGGACTCACAAGGCTGCATGCACCTCACAAAACTGCATCAAAACCTTAAAAACGGTCGAAAAGGACTCAGATGCTGAGGCTACAAAACAGCAAGAGGTGGAAAACAAACCCAATGATGCTTGAAAGGAAAGGTGGCCCTGAGCAGCAAAATCTAATGTTTACAAACATGAGAACACTAATCAGGAAACAGTAGTTAAGAAAATATCTTCATACAAAACTTTCGAAAACCACAACTTTGTTTCCAAAATGCTTCATTTTGTTTTGACACGTCTGTTTCTTTTATTTACACAGTCACCTTTGTAAAAGTTCAAGTCAGTTTTCGGGTATTTTCCAAGATATTTTTTCATTAAATTGGACCAATCAGGGCCACCACAGAAAGAAAGGCTGAAGATGACCTAATGCTGCTGCTGTTCTTCATCTAAGAAAACTTTAGAGCTTGGGTCAAACAATGCTCACAGAACTAAGGAAATATTTACAAAGTCCTTATACATTTGTCTCCCCAAAGGGGGAAAAAGCAGACGTTCTACTGTTTCCTGTTATCCCAACAGTCTGCTACTTTTATGCAGATGAATTGTTTTCTCTTCAGATGCGATTAGAGTAAACCCAGGAAAGGATGGAGCGTCGCTCCACTTTAAGACAAATGATAAATGACCCGCACATGTATAGCGCCTTTTGGAATCTGAGGACTCCAAAGCGCTTCAAGCACAATCTCACACTGATGGTGATGAGCTACCATGTAGCCACAGCTGCCCTGGGGCCAGGGCCGTTGCTAGCTATTTTGGTGCCCTAAGCACAAAGGCTTTGTGGTGCCCCCCCCCCCCCCCCCCCCACACACACACACACACACACACAGAAAAAACAACACAATAACACAGTATGTGCAAGCGCTTCGCCTTAAATTATCTTTAATTCTCTTGTATGCACAAACTGCTTATTACTTTCCAAAAAGTAGGATTGATATTTAGTGTGTGCGTGTGTGTGTGAGTGAGTGTGTGTGTGAGTGTGTGTGTGTGTGTGGGGGGGGGGGTCATTTTGCCTTGGCCCCCAAAATGTCTTGAAACAGCTCTGGGTGTGTGACTGAGTTTTGAAGGTGATCTGAATTGTATCAAATGTATAAATATGACATGTGTATAACTTATTGTTTTATACAGGTAGAAACATGTAGTGGAGATAAATCTACCTACATTTTACTTTTCAACACTTGTTTTCTTGTTTTTATTTAACTATTTTCCTGTCCTGTCTGTCTCTCATCTTCCTGCATCTCCTCTAAACTCTCCAGAAAATCTGCTGCCTGGATTCTTACCTTTTCACCTCATCAGTTACTTTTGAGCAGATCAAAGGGATCTCCTGACCGCAAAGCGGAGTGCGCGTTTCGATGCTGCTGAGGTGAAATCACCGCAGCACAGGTGATGAGCTCCGCAGTAGCAGAGCGCTTCAGGCACAAATAAGACAGAAAGTAGAGAACATGTGCGGATATGAACGATCGTGTGTTAATTATAGTTTTTTGGTTGCGCCGCTTTGAGAATGGACCGTGCGCTGGATGCAGCTGCCTGGAGCGCTGCGCACCAACGATCAGCGCTGTGCAGCTGTCTGTGCTCTCTGCTCAAGAGTCCATAAATGATGTAATATAGGTAGAAAACGTTTTTCCGGCTCCCCTGGATGTGTAGGATATACAGCTCCCCCATAATTCGATCCCTGCTCCTGGATGAAAAGCCGGACATTTTCATCAATACAAGAACCCCCAGTCCGGACGCCGCGGACAGAGTGAAAAGTGGACACGGTCCATCTTCTTTCCTTTTTGTATTGTTTTCTCTCTGTAAACATGCTGTTAACTTGCTTTGCACATCTTCTAATTGAAATCTGTCTTTATCATATATATATTACTTTTTTATAAGCTTGCGTTTGGTGCCCCTTCCCCGGCGTGGCGCCCTACGCGCTGTGCGCGGAGCGCCGGCGCTGCCTGGGGCACAGACAGAGGCGAGGCCACCGTACAGGTACCACTAGTCCCTCCCACCACTACCAGGAACGACCGCTGGGTGTACTTTCATCATTAGTCTAATTCACACATTTGACTCAGCCAGCCAATACTAAAGCTAATGCGCAATGAATGTCTTGTTTCCATGGTAACACTTAAGCTCAAACTACAAAACACACATTTTTGCTTCATTAGTAAAATGACTTCTGAACTTCTACGTTCACGAGTCCAATCCCCCAAACTTCATGTTTGAACATCTCAGCCCTCCAGAAGGAAGAGTGATGATGGGGAAGAAATAAATATTTCATTTCTATTGTTTAACCATTCATACCAGACCCATGCATGTTTGTTTTTAAATTTAAAAATCTTTTAAAAATACTAATGAAACAATTGTAGAGAAAAAAAAGGACATTCTGTTTACTGGACCAAACCAGATGATAAGGTCAAGGGTCGGCTCATAACACCGAGTTATCACACCGGCGGGATTACACCAAAGAAAATAATGAGTATGATGCCAGCGCAGAACCGTCGGTTGTCCTCACTCCTTTAGGTAAAACCTGCGGTGTAAAGAGGAAGGATGGTAGCTCTGGATGAGACGACAGTATGGCGGCGTGGCGTTCGTCTTCGGTGACTCCTCTCTAGAAGAAGCGACCAGAGTACTGCCTCACACTGGTGGGGAGAAAAAAGAAAGCATGTGACCAGGAGCACGAGTCAGCATCTTCCGTCACAGACGTGTTTAATGAGAAGATCTTTGTAAAAAGGCCGCAGAGAAACAGGACGATACAACAGAGGCCTGCTACGCCAGTTTGTGATGAACAAAGGAAGTGAACAGAAAAGTTATTCTGGTTTTATTACGGATTCATCTTCCAAATAAGCGATAAACATGTCAAACTAGCAGAAACGTCCCTAAATGTGTTTCAGAAGCCCAAATCTGTCAGGTACTCGTTTTCCAGAATCACAGCTTAACGTTTTAGAAGTGGAAGAATTACTGAACTGTAGCTTCATATTTAAAAGAAGAAACAAAGAAATGATTTGCATCCATATAGCTGATGACGATGATGATGAGAGCAAAAGAGGCTCCTCAGCCTTGATGATGATGATGATGATGTTTATGGGAAAGCACGTGCCTGTTCTGCAGTAAGTACTGGGCATTCTGGATCTGGTCCTGTGTTCCTGTGATGGTGATGATGCGGTCCTCAGAGCCCTCTAGTGGCTCATCAATCTTGATGGATGCCCCAGACTCGTGGCGGATCTGCTTGATCCTCTGGCCGCCCTTACCGATGATGGATCCCGCCAGCTGTAGGAAAATCGCCACATTGATCCAGAGAAAATGAATCCAGCAGTCCCAGTTAAAACATCTTACAGCAAGAGTCAAGTTTAACTCACATCTTTTGGGATGGTAACCTGTGTTGTGATGACCGGGCCTCCGAGGTCCCCGTATGACCCTCTGCCCCCTGAGCAGTGTACAACAACAGCAGTTGAGGGGAATCGGTCGTTGAGACACACGATAGAAATAAAACAATCCCTTCAGGTTAGGAAACAAAACTCTGGGACAGCAGCGATCCATCCCAACTCACCAGAGTGAAAGCGCTCCCAGGAAGAGCTGTGTTCTTGGTGGGAGGGAGGAGGGGAGGGGCAAAAAGAACAGCAAAGTGAAAAATGAAAAAAACACCACAAGCTGTGACTAATTATTATATAATTCCATTTTTATTAGAAATGTCCCAGGTTTTTACTAATCACTCCATATTTTACTAAACTACGTGTTACAGTAGCTGTGTCCCCATGTGCGGTTTAAGAAATACAGTTTTATAAAAGCATCTTAAAACAGACATGAAGCTCGGTTCAACTGCATTTAGAAACGCTCATCAGCCAAATCTAGACCGTTTTAGGACACACGTTGGAACTACGGTGAAAGCCTCACTAATCCAAAAGAAGGTAAAAGCAAACCAGCTCCAGTGGTCTCAAGTTGGATGGACTACTGCTTCGCCTCTTTAGCCTGCTCAGATCCCTGCTGTTGTTTAACAACCGCCAGAGGTGTGGCCAAGTCACACGTAAGTCACAAGTCTTTCCAGTCAAGTCCAAGTCAAAGACAACCAAGTCCAAGTAGAGTCCAAAGTCAATGATGTGGAAGTCCAAGTCCTTAACTTTTAATTTTCACGTCATCTGTCCAACTTTTATTTAATGACGATAAAAATAAAAAACTTCCAGAAATAAAGCTTCTTAAAGCTTCATTTTTTACTCAAACAGCAGGAAGTGCAACTGAAACAGATTATAAACAAAGTGCTGCAACATTTAGCAGGAAATCAAACCCAGAACAAAGAATGATTCATGGTTTTTGTCCATGTCGTGCCTCTTTTGTGCTAAAATATCAAATATGCTCAGGTCATCATCAAGTCAACAGATGCAAGTCGATTCATGTCGCAAGTCTTTATAGATTTTATCAAGTCAAGACATAAGTCATTAAAAATAATGACTCGAGTCCAAGTCATGTGACTCGAGTCCACATCTCTGACAGCTGGGTTTAAAGGTGAGCTTTTACAGACAAGAACAGCTTTTCCAGCAGCACGTTGTAGACTGAAGATCGTGAAAAGACTCTAAAGAGAAGTGACGACATTTACGACAAACAAAAACTGTTCAATTTCGAAGTAGCACTTCTTCTAAAAAATGCCTGCTCCCACCCTGGGCTGCTTTACGGCAGCAACTATTTTCCTGCCACGGTGTTATTTCATGGACATAAATCCTGAAAATGCACAAGTCTTGTGCTTTACGTCCGTGTGAAGGACAACAAACATTTTATAAAGTATTCTTCATTGGTTATTAAATCTATTGACTAAGCACATTAGAACAGTAGAAAGTTCTTACAGAAAAACCACACCTACCATATCCACTTCCACTCTGCATTTTGGGATCAAAAGGGAGAAAAAAAACAAGAGAATTAGTTTTAATATGAACTCAGAGCTTTAAGAGCATCCAGACTTTTATCTCAGTAAGTTGATGTATTCGTTTTAGACACTTCAGAGATTTTATTTAACCTTACACGGGATAAAACTTCACCATTAGTTTAATGTATTAATCTTAGTCTGAAGTATCAACAGGTCGACGTCCAAGCAATTTATGATCCAGCTGTTGCCCACCACACTTTTGATCAAACGGTTTGTAGATAAACGTGATCTTTAACATCAGTTCTAGCCAGTTGGGACTGACCAATAGCGAGGGACCTGTGGTTTACCTGAAGGACATAAAAAAGTCCAATCTGTTCATCTGACAAGCTGCAACACAAACCTTGACTTTATTGTAATAAAGCATTTAACGAGCTGTTAAAGTAAGTAGAACTGTAAAGAGTGATGTCAGAGCTGTCATCACATCTCGTTTCACCCTCGGTGGTCGCATCTGCCGAGCACAAAGCTGAAACGGTTTACTTGCAGCTAAAACTGGCAGAGAGCTGCTTCAGGAACCACTGGTTTCAGCTCAACTTCATATGCTAGCTTTGCTGGATCTCTGTTCTACGTACTCAGCTGCTGCGTGGTAACCACGGAGACAACTGTTGCCAGGCAACAACAGGTCTACAAGAGTGTGCATACACAGTGAAAACGGAGCCTCTGTGCTGTAGTACACTCAGAAGGAAACAATCGTATCGTGTGAAAAACAAATGTTCCACAAACAGGACTGAGCCTTAGAGCTTCAGCTGCCGACACTCACCATGCTGTCATAACGGTCGCCTCCTCGACTTCTTCTGTCACTACGGACCAAAGAGAAGAATTACCTTGGGAATCTGAAGCAAATATCTGGAATAATTTCAGATTTTCTGCTAATAAGACCATCAGAAAGGAAATGAAGAAGTCTTTCTCACCTTGGTCTGTCGTTCATGCTGCTGTGATAGTTGCCATGTGAAAACCTGTCTCCCCTGCAAATAATCAGACACAAGAAAAGTACAAATAAAATCTCCATTTTTGGATTTTAAAATGGGTGTCACCATTTTTAAATTTAAGTTCATTTAAGTTCAGTTTCACTTCATAAAATAAGAAAAGAAAATTAAATGACATGATATGTCAAAGCAGCCAAAACAATCCAATGACCACATGTTGGTTGACACTTGCCCTCCCCGTGGTGGTGGAGGAGGGGGAAGAGGCAAGTTACGAGCTCGGCTCCCCCCTCTACTTCTGCTGAGCGGTGGTGGAGGACACCGACGGGGGCTCATGTCATCATAGTCCCTTCTGGAGGGGGGCAAAGGCCTGCTGCTACGCACGGGGGGTAGGCGTTCAAAACCACCACGCACACGAACAGGGAACCCCCCCATGGGTCGTCTGCTCCTGTCCTCGAACATCACAGTGAAGCCTCCGTAGTCGTAGGTCTCATCGTAGAAGTTGGGATCGTAAGGCTGAGCGCGACCTTTAACTGGTGCCTGAAAAATAAAAACAACTCAACTAAAAATACGACTCAAGTTACAGAAGACTAAAGCTAAAACACTCTCTCCGCCGAGTACTGTGCCACACACCAGGAGAGTAAATTCACCTCTGACACCAGCTCCAAGATAACTTTTATACATTCAACGACACATTCCGGTTTTCCTCCCACCAGAACAACTCTGTCGGTGGAGTGTGGACAGCATTCCTGAAACAACTTGATGGTGGTCTGTGTGTTCTAAAACAAAAAAGCATGACTGTCTTCAGACCTGTGGTCCCTTCGACTCTGCACCACCCATAAAACACAAATATCATTTTAGCTCTTAGTCTGGAGCATCAGAATATCTTACCTCTCTCAGTTCCTTTATCTTGGCGCCTTTCACCCCGATGATGCCACCAGCCAAGCTCTGATGGATCAGCAGGCGAAGCTCACACTCAAAATCAGTTCCACTATAATGTTGGTACTGTGGAGATTTAAGGTGGGAATTGGCATTAGACTAGGCTAGCAACGTTAAAAGCTGTACGCCGTGTGCAGAAATCTAAATATTTGCTATAATTTGTGAGGACTGAATCATGGATTTTATGCAATGAATGAATTATGGAGCAACTCTGTCTACCACTGGCTGGTTGGCCTCATACATCACATTAAACTCTGTTGGGGCTCAAAAAGACCCAGTGATCCCATAACCCCATAATAAAGCCCTAGAATAGAAAAACGGGTTTGCCCCACCCACTCGGCCAGGACATGAATATTAAATTAGCTGCATGCCGATTAGCCAATTTACCCCAAGGGCTGCATGACCCTGCCTAAGGCTAGAAACGTGTGCAGCTGTGTACAGGATCCAAACTACCCAACAGGCAAACCATGGATCTATCCAAATGTGAGCTCTGACATCATCCGTTGTTGTTGTCTTCCTGTCCTACAAGAACCTACAAGGACATTAGCAGTAGCTCGCCATCAATGTCTATGTTTTGCAGATGAAGTGGGTTGGGACATGCAACTTTAAGGGGAGTGTCTACATGAACTAGAGCCCTGATGATGTGTTATCACAGCTTTGCTTGGACTGAACCGACAAATTTGTCTGTGTTGTCCGGGGGGGGGGGGGGGGGGGGGGGGGGGGGGGGGGGGGTTTGCTGTGTGCGACTCCACTCCCGAGCTGATGGAGATGTATAATCAGGCTTTAGACATTATTGTGTACTTCTGAGTGGATAGACAAAAGTATTTGCAGTGTCTTAAGATGTGATTGTATACTTGATTGGCATTTATCATTGGAATAACAAGAATCATAACTTTCTATTGCTATGAATTTATAAAGAGTGTTGCACTGAAGACACTGATTTGACCTGGAACTATTTTATGTCCCTTCTCAGACTAAGAAGCACAACAAAACTTTAGCTTTTAAAAGTCATCAGTGAAAGTCTCAAGCTATCATCCATGTAGGGCTGGGCGATACGACCTAAAAACTAAATCTCCCGATACAATTTTTTTAATTCGATTTACAATTTTTTTCCGATTCTCTCGTCCCTTCAATTATTAAGAATAGCAATAAGTACAAATGGAAGGCACCGTGAAGCCAATTTAGTTTTTTATTTAATCACAAGCAAGACAAATGTAACCCTCATTTCTGAGATGAATAAGGAATAAATGAAGACCCTCTTGGAATAAAAGTGCCACGCTCCACGTTCGTCGCAGCAAACCCAAACCAGTTCCAAACAACGGATGACTTCATTCCATTCTTAGGAACAAACTTCCCACTCTCACCGTGGAGTCGCTTGCGGTTGCTGTTTCGTGTGTGTGCTGTGACGTTGTTGTCGCGGTTATGTGAAACTAACGCTATGGAAGCTCCGGGAGGCCAAAATGGCGCTATTACATAAAAATTCTATTTTTTTTTTTTTTGTTATCACCTAAAACAAAAAATTCGAAACAATTCATTTAATCGATTTATCGCCCCGACCTACATCCATGGTTGATGCATTTGTCCAATCCCCCCAACCTGATTACACACCAGTGCAGTGTGTTGTTAGATGACATCACAAACACAAAAAGATATGAAAGAGTAAGACATGGAAGTGTTACTAGGTGTATCAATAATGGGTTTCACCCCCATGTGAGCAGGAACCCAGAACAGCTCACCTCCTCCAGCGTTGGTATTATTTTCAGCAGGATCTCTCCAATGGTGTCGATACCGGCGCTCACACTGAGGATCCTATAAGGAATCATTTTGGCCAAAAGGAAGTAAGGAATTACAAAACAGACATGGAGCAGAACAGCGAGCAAAATCTGATGAAAATTTGATGAGAAACAGTCCAGCAAACAGTTACAAACAGATTTGTGAAAAGTTTCTAAGTAAAAATGGAGAAACTAAGACTGCTGCATCTTTTGCTACATTATTACTTTCCCCTTACACTACTCTGACTATAAATAAGCAGGAGACATGCACTGAATCCAATTTTACTCTCACATAAAGAGTAGCCTCGGGAGGATGCACAGATTGAAAAACAGCTTAAAACGAGAAACTGGCCACACAGATGTGGAGGGGGGAGGAAGACTAGAAGAGCAGGAAAGTCCTTCTGTAACCATCCTGCCACCAGCAGGTTGGGGGGAAGGAAAGGTAACAGCCTAAATAAACAGCTCGCCATGACAACTGCACCACCAGCTCACCTTCTCACTGTGACCAGAGGGGTTGGGAAGGAGATGGGGAAGAAGGGGGAGAAGAGTGCAAGAGCGCCAAGGTGACAGGAGATGAAGTGGGCAGTAGAAAAAAAACAGTAACAGCAGAGGGGTCGGGGAAGGGGAGAGGAAATGCAAGTGGTTATCAAGTGCTTATTGGGACAGAATAGGAGCAGGTTGGGGGGGGGGCTATGAAAAGTTTGGCAAGCAGACCTGATCTGATGTAACCTGAGAGAAATTCTACAGGGGGGTGGGGTGCAGCATAATGAAACCAAGAGACAACATTAATGAAGAGACAGAGCAAGAGGGACGGAGCCAGAGCTCTCTCTCAGCGATCATGGACAAGTCATGGTGAGAGGGGGGGGGGGGGGGGGGGGGGGGGGGTTAGAGGAGGAGGGGAGGTCAGGGGAGGGGAGGGGCTGATAAGAGCAAGAAACTGCTGCATCGCTACATATAGAATACCAACACTTGGTGATTTTCTGCATAAATATTTAACAACAGAAAAGTTCAACTTAAGAGAAATGCTAAAAATGGACAGAAAAAAAATCAAGGAACAACACACGTGTCTTACAGCTGGAGGAGTTGGGGGGGTGGGGGTACACTGTTACGCATATAAAAAGGTTGCAACAGAAGGCAGGTTATCAAAGACATGTGTTTGACTGTTCTAGTCAGGCAGTGAGGCAATAACTGGTGGGACATACCGCTCTGGGCCACTGCTGTCTGGGACTGATACACTGGCATTGTACTGCATGGGCCGAGGAGGAGGAGGAGGAGGTGGTGTTGGTGGTGGTGGTGGAGGTGGAGGAGGAGGTTGGCATTGGGCAAGGGCATTCAATCACATCATGTCAAGTTAGGTGCCCAAATAAGGAAGGGCACAGTTTATGGGCAGGGCCAACCGGGAGTGTCAGGTGGGCGGGCGTTCAGGGGCGGGCGGAGGTTGGGCCAACGTCAACGTGGGCAAGGCAGGAGGGACATGTTGATCCAGTACATGGGCAACGGAGGAAGGTGGCCAAAAGTAAGAACACAAAAAAGTAAAGGAGAAGGGAAGAGGGGGAGAAGGAATACAGTTTTAATTGAATACACGCTATACTTTGTCCCAAACGTGAAATGAGAGAAACTGTGGTGAGTGAAGAACAGGAAGTACGACTTGGACAGAGACAAATTTAACGAGCAGTCTGGAGCACAAAACTGTTTATTCCACCCTTATGAAAATGGACTTTTAGTCGGCTGCTGTGACAGTAAAAAAACACAGCTTCAGCACGGACAGAGGAACTAGAATAAGGTTGGAAGTCAGCAGACACTGGACTGGAAAAATAGAATCCAATAAAAGCATCTGATAAAGTGTCCTGGTCAATACGCACTAGTAATGGCACACACCTGTTCGTGTCAGGTAAATAACAGCAACAAACAAAGGGTCTGGGCCTTAAAGAAAATTTAAAGAGCTTCAACACATTAAGGTATTGCTTTGAAACTAGATTCAGTGGGTCTTTAGTCAGAAACTTGAGAATTTCACATTGGACAGCACTCTGTAGCCCTCTGCTGACCAGAAACCACATTTAACAGTTTTGTAAAATGCACCAGAAAAATGTCTTTTCGGTTGGCATCATAGTGAAGCTTGAAAATAAAATTAAGAGCGACGGCGTGGCCTATACTAGTTTGAAGGAGCTGAAGGAAGCTACAAAATCTACAAGAAAAAAAGACTGATGATGACCTGGCTTTGTTGCTACTGGACTTGTACGTAATAGTCCAACGGTGTGGATATTTTTACTTTGTGGCTTATTTAGTATTAGAGGGCTTGTCTTAGCGTTAGCTCGTTGTTAACACTAGCTACAGCAGGCTGCAGCAAGCAGGGTTGTTTCAACCATTAGGAGGGAGAAGTGGGAAATGTATTAAGTGTTGCTTAAGTGAGTAGAATTATTGCCAAAAACAAATTAAAATAATTACAACAGAGCTGTTTGGTAAAAAAAATAAAAGATCTACAAGAAATCTAACCTAAAACCTAAACGCTTTCCTTGTGTGCAGGTATACTTTAAGGCATTTTTATCTTCTTACTCACATCCGTACGCAGAGCTTTTATGTTCTTGCCACCCTTTCCAATAACAGCTCCGGCATTCTGTACAAGGGGGAAAAAAAGTTTAATCAACTAGTAGAAAAAAATGAATGGCAAAAGGGCCCGGAGTAACCCCAAAATTCCACTATCTCCGCTCCGGCACGAACTACGCAGCAAAATCGGTCCCGTTGTAGTCAATCAGAGCTATTCCACTACTGCGGCCGTGCGGCGCAGTGCGCCGCCCGCCGTTCCGCCATCCGACAAAAATAGGATCGATTCCATTTTTGCCGGACGCCGGAGCACCTCCGCAGTCAATGGACAGAAATCACAACCGCCCAACAGGAAAGGGAGTGAGCACAACTTCCGTTATTTCACAATAAATCGATAAACAAAAGGCGTTTTTTGTTTCATATGCACAGGTTTAACAACTTTTAACAACTATCAATGGCGGCTGAACTTTAAATGCACAAAAATAAGCCATAAATACAGTTTCCACTATCAAAGCAGTCACCCCTTGTTGATCCAAACACTGCTGATCTCTCAACACAAATGATGGGCAGATTAAACAGTTCATTTTGATGCTTCTCCCACACAACGGGTGTTTGGATCTAACTTCCGCGTTTATTGCTCGGACTGTATCGCAAGATTTCGAAAATCTCACGCATGCTTGTTTGCCCACCTCAGGTCTCCACACCGGAGCGGAGCCGTTGTAGAGCAGGTATAGCATAATTTGAGTTCGGAAGCGAGCGGCAGCGGAAAGCGGGGGCGGAGCGGAGATAGTGGAATTTTGGGGTCACTTGTCTTTACTTTGCTCTGAAGCAGCATTCGCAGCTCCACCATCTCATCTGTGTTACGTGAACGTTTGAAGACCTGCTCCTCATCCAGGTCCTCGGCAGGGCGTTTACCTGGACAGAAGACAAGGCAAGTCCATTCATTTGTCACCTTACACATTTAAAACATTACAGAAATAAACAAAATGCAAACATTTTATCAGTTTTAACTAATGGAAAAAGTTTAAAAAATACAATTTGAAAAAAATATGCAAAAGAAACTGTGTCCATCAGCAGCCAATTGTAACCTGGGTGAAGTCCAGCACCAATATGTCCTCTTCCTGAATTAAAACATGGACAGATCTGCTCAGGGCCCACAGAATAGCAGTATCCTGGACGAGAGCATCCCTCAACCATCTGACTGTCCACATGCTAAGCAGCGCTGGCCAAAAATCTTTATTATTTATTTAATTCTTGAGTGAACAAAATTTGCATGAACAAATTTAAAAAAATTAAATCAATTCTTTTGGTCCATATGCATCAGCAACTATTAAAAACACAGATCACAAAAACTTACCATTAGTGTCCGTGTTGCTAAATGTGGTGTCTTCATCCTGCGGTTCGTCTTTCATCTCCATCGTCGTGGACCAGACTCAGGAAAAAAACTGGTTCTTTACTGGATCTACTAGAGTGAGTAGAGGAATCAGAGGGGAGGAAGGAAGGAAGTGGATTAAAACAATTACCGACACATTTTGCACAAACAAAAGCAAAATTTGATTACAAACTGCAGGATTCCAACAAATCAGTTCTTATTGTCAGACACTCATGCTGTGACTTCATCATTCGCTCACTCGCTCATCCACAGAAGTTAGATTTTTGTTTGATCAATTTTGTGCAATTTGTTGCTTACAAAATGACTCGAAATATGGAGCTGGTATTTTTCAACATGTGATTGTTTAGTTATTACTGTGGTGATTTATGATTCCGAATAACACCATCAGCTTTAATTATGATTAAAGCATAAAAATTAGCCTAGCTGTACAATGCTCATAAACTAGGGTGACCATACGTCCTTTTCTCCCCCCGACATGTCCACTTTTCACTCTGTCCGGGGCGTCCTGGGGGGTTTCGATGGGATTAGATTTGTGCCAATAGGATCAAGAAAAACACTGGAGAGCAAACAAATTTTAAGACATTGAGAGAAAAAACATTTGTTTCAAAATAAAAACTCACGATCTGAATCAGATTCTTAAAATGATCAAGAAAAACACTTTGACGGTCAAACAAAAATTAATAAATTGACGGAACAAAAATATTGACTAAAGGAAAAAATCATGTTTCAAAAGTAAAACTTACTATCTGAATCAACTTCTTAAAATGAGTAACAAAGTATGTTTCCTTGTTCTGTTTGCCTCTATGTGTTTTTGTTATCAGTTTCCTTAGTTTCGTTCTCGCTGCTCACAGCTTTGCTCTCACTACCAGATTTGCACTTACACTTTCTGGCTTTCTCCTTTGCAATCCCTGAGTTTTTGGTTGCAATTCTGACACAACCCTTTCCGGTGGGCGGGACTTCTGAGAAGTCCTCTCCCATAGGACGGTGGTTTCTCTTGAGTGACAGTTCAGTGACCCGGAAGTGATGTATCCTACAAGACATTTTTTTTCCCACCTCGGTAGGGATGGGTACCTTTGACATTTGAATCGATCCGGTACTAATTCCCGGTACCTACGAATCGATACCGGTACTTAACGGTACCAATTTTCGATACTTTTGAGTGTTTATTATTTTAATTCTCTTTTATAATTAAATATATATTTTTCTCAATATATAACAATATTTGATAAATATCACGATAAATAACATATAACTGTTTGTATTTTAACATTGCCCTTGTAGTTTTATAAGCTGATAATTAAACTGAAGCAAACATCTTTACTGTGAACTAAATTTACTGTGTCTTCATTCCTTTTGCCATCCTTTTTCATTTGATTTTTCCTACTGGGAAGTTAGAATTTCTGAGGAGAAAGCGAACGCACCATTAGCTGATAACAATGGTGGCAATGGAAGCTAACATATCAAGCTAACAATATCTTAAACAGTTTATTTAGCTGCAGGAGCAGATTAAAACGATGCCTCACACTTAGATCGTCACTGGTTTCGTCTTCACCCGTCACATTTAGTAAAATGAAGCCAAACTTTAGAGCGCGTTCATGTTGTTCTAGTCGGAAATTCGGAGTTCCGAGGAGAAAGCGAACGCACCATTAGCGAAACGGAAGCTAATATATCAAGCTAATTATATTTACCTACCGGAGCAGATTAAGATGAGGATGTCTCACTTAGATCGTTGTCGCTGGTTTCTTCATCCAGTTACCCATCATATTTAGTGAAGTGGACCCAAGCTTTAGCGTGCGTTCTCTCTACCATGCTGCTCTGTTTACAACTGGTTCACAGCAAGCGACGACAAAACGCTCCTGCGCATGCGCAGCTGTCTTGGCAAGTTCTTGTTAGGATGGACGGGTACCGAAACGAGGCACCGTTTGAAATGACGTGAATCGGTGTGCGGTCGATACTATGGAATTCGGTCGGTACCTTAAAAAGTACCGAATTCGGTACCCATCCCTACACCTCGGTCAACAACATGAATTTTGAGCCCCAAACACATTATTTCTGCTGTCTGTCGTGTCTACTGAGGATCTAAAGTGAGTATTGATAATATATTTTATCTTTTCTTAGTTAATCTGTAAGTTAAGCCACTTTTTAAGTTGGTTTTAACTAGACGTTAGCTCACTAGCTAGCTGCTAAGCAAGCCATTGTGCTAGCCTCAGGACAATGGTCTATTGTTCCAGAGAGACGTATTAAAAACTCATCTTAACATATTCATTACTGGTTTCATGGAATAAATTATTGTAGTTTATGTAAATAAGTTTGCTAATTTTTCAGGAACCTGTGGAACATCAGACTTTGCAGCTACTGGAGCTAACCTGTGTACTGCTAACTTGCTACAGAAGAAGCAGCAGAAAGCTGAGCTAACAGGCTGTTTTGCAGGTAGGTGACCTAATAAATAAAAATACTATACTAACAAACTCAGGAATCTTTCTTTGCTTCACTGTTCTGGTGCTGAGAATATCACTAATGCGGATCAAAGGAGATACACAGATGAATGCACCTCTTATTATTTGGAGACTACATTTACTGCAGCTGGCAGAGGCAGAGATTTTTTCTATTGATAAACGGAATTTACAGAATCATTTTAAATTTTAATAGGGGAAGACTGCAGGAGAGAGCGGTAAAATACAGGGGGTCCCCAGCAAAAACAAGAAACTATGAGTCTGATGAAACCCGCTGGTTTTCCATCAGGCAGTCACGGGGCAGCTCCAACGACCCAGTGGCTGTGCTGGGTCAATGTTATCGAGCTCAGTCCGGCTCGGCCGTGAACGAGCCGAGGCGACGTCGTGCTCTGCTTAAGAAGAGGTGTTATTTTCCCGCTTCAGAAGAAGCGTCCGTGTTTTATGCTTTCTCCGAGGCATGTCACGTCGCTAAGTTGTTAGCGCCGCGCGCTAACACGTCAATAGTGCAGTGTAGCCTGCTGGAAGTTTTAAGGGTTCAGATGAAAACACCCGACCTCTCAGGCTGCTCACACATGGATCTTAAGTTGTCGCTGTTGCACTCACGCCGTAATACAGTATTAGATGCGGTTAAAGTCAGACACGAAAAAATAAATAAATTTTACATGAATAAGTGATGCTTAGCCTGGTGGGGGGAGGTGAACCTGGCCTAATAAGCACTGGTGGAAACCCTGTCAAGATCGTCAACACTCATTTATCTTAATGCTATTGAAACATGTAAACCAAAAAGCATTATATCCACTGCTACCTTTCTAATTTTAAATTCAGTAACTTATGCTGTAACTTCACCTTGCCCTGCCTGCTCCTTGCTGCCCGCCGGCTGTGATCACAAGCGACAACATAGTAATTCCTGCTGCTTCTTCGGGAAACAGCACAAAAAAAAATAAATAAATAAAAAACTTGGGATCTTGTAGGCGTGGCGGTGGGATTTCAGCCGTGGCGGGCCGCCACGGCTACGCCTATGTAAGGGAAACCCTGTCCCCATCAAAGCGTGTGTTCTGCGCATGCTCTGTTCGCAAGGAATCTTGGTCTTTTGAGTAGCGAGACGTCTTGTATGCGCCAGAACACCGGAAGTAAACAACAAGTTGGGAGCAACATGGCGAGTCGCGGCACAGCACCACACTTTTGGAGTGACGAGGAAACTAAAGCGCAAACAAACGCGGTCGCTATCTCTTCCGAACTGGGAAACATGTTGTTTTCACGGATACCGGAACAAGAAGAACCGCAAATGACGCATATTGCGTCTGGACGTAGTCCATACATCCTGACGCTACCCCAACGTCCGCATTTAAATCGGGTTATGCAAGTTAGGGGTAACTCTTTCTATTTATGCTTGTAAACGGGTTATTCTGATCAACTCAGAAACCCGAATACCGACCTTAACCCGATCATAACCCGGATATTGGCTGCATGTAAACGTAGTCATAGATGAGGTGAAAAAGTAAGAATCCAGGCAGCAGTTTTTCTGGAGAGTTTAGAGGAGATGCAAGAAGATGAGGACAGGGCAATAGTCAGATAAAAACAAGAAAACAAAGCTTGAAAGTAAAATGTAGGTAATTTATCTCCACTACAAGTTTTTATCTGTATAAAACATGTAGTATTTATACATCTGATACAATTCAGATCACCTTCAAAACTCAGTCACACACCCAGGGCTGTTTCAAGGCATTCTGCCAACCCCCCCCCCCCCCCTCACTGGGTTCCCCCAGAAGCCTCTGTGTAATTCCTACCCTGCCCAGGTGTATTAATTGTAGTTCTTATAAAAACACTTCAGACATCACTGACATGTTCTAATATTGTCCGACAAAAACAAATTTGTCGGACATGCAGTCTCATCTGCTTCTTTTCTAAAATTGCAATAATCTGTCAGTAACAAAACCATTTGAAAGTCGCTATTTGTGGATTCTCTGAAAGTTTCCACGGAGTTCATGACAAACTTTTTTTTCTCATTGATCCTATCGTCTAATCTCACAGCTGAAACAAGCATTCTTAATAATCTGCGCACATGAAGCTTACCGATGCTGTAGTAAAACGAAAGGTATAATAATTTCTTATTAATAAAACATTGTTGCAGCACTAAAGCAGCAGAAATTTTTGATTTTGCAATAAGTATGCAAAATATTTACATATGAATTGTTTTAGAGCCTTTATGCTGACATAATCTGATATTAATTTTACCTCTTCACCTGAAAAAAGGGTCCTAACGTGGTTTGTGAGGTTTTGCCATAGTGTGATGTCATCAGTCGACACAGATCTCCTGTCCTCTTTTTTGGACATGAAAATATGGTCACCCTACATAAACCGTTTTAACTTGCAACGCACCAGTGCACGAAGTACAACTAAGGCTAAGTTTCTTTAACCAGTTTAGTTTCCAATGATGTTCCTCGGGGTTGTCTGTTTTTAGATCTTTCTCTAATATAAACAGACCAGATTTTAATCTATGGCTGAATAAAAGCTTCTGCAGAACTTGACAGCATGCTGATGGGGTTATTTAACCACGGAGAAAAGTGGATTAGCGTAAACATAACAACTAAAAACAGACAGGAGCGGACTGGACACATGACAGAGACCTTGGACTTCAGAGGGCCTGTGCTTGCACTGCCCACCGCTGCTTGCTGCGCACACAGGCTACATTCTCTCCTGCTAGCATCACTCCTGAACCCACTGGCCTGGCTAAACATCAAAGGAGATGCTAGTAAACGCCTACATGCATAGCTAATGAATCAATAGTACAATTTTAGCCCACGTGAGTTTTACGAGAGCAGCCTCGGCCAACTCGTGTTTGCATTGGTGCACAGTAAGACAGCACAGCATGTCAACAACGCGTTTTGTTTCTTTTTATCTTTATTAAAATTAACTGTGAAACTGCGCAGCTCAGAGGGAAAATGCGTTCATCTCCCACAGTACAAACAAAGGTTAGATAGCGGTGTTGACATTACTTTTTCTATGCTAACAGTCCTGCTATGCTAGTGTCGCGAGGTGTCTACCCGTTTATGTCCATGGCGCGTTACGATGAAAAACGACAGAGCAGCCCAACAACTCACCTGTCTACTGAGCGGTCTGGATTCGCTCACCTCTGAAAGCAAAAAAGCGAAATGACGCAACAGTACAAGCCGAATAAAAATTATGTAATGGATGAAAAAAATACCTGCAGAAGAGTCCACGTTCACCACGGTGCTCGGCAGTCGCCTCGCCCTGAAAATGTTCTGCTCGAGGATGAGCTCGATTTGTTGACTATTTTCTGTTGGTTTCTGGTTTGTCAAGTGAAGCACAGCTGGGCGGGTCCTGGGTCCAAGACACTTAATTCCGCTAAAGGGAATTATTATACTTTAAATAGCATCGTAGAGCAATTTATCCAACGTATAATTATATTTAATGTGATTCTGATTCGTGATTAAGGCCTAAAAGCACATCTTAAAGTCAGCGTCCCGAATACCCCGCCCCACTCATCGCACCGGCTAACGTATATCAATCGCTTCTGGGACGGATCATGAGCTTTACTGTCCTGAATTTTGACTTTCAGGTTAAAATTCTACAGATCAAGATATCCTTTAACCTTGAATAAAAAGAGTGATTAATGAAATCAGTAAACGGTTTTTTGATGCATTTTTATTTTCATTGCTTTTCCCTGTAATATGTAATTTTTTTTTCAGTAGTAGCTGTATTTTTGGGCAATACTACAAAGCATTTACAAGCAAAAATTAAATGTTATGCCACATGGAAATAATGGAGTTAATAATGCATAACTTGCCAAACTATAGAGAATGTAACCCTTTCACGTATACACACAAAAAATAAAATAAATAAATAAATAAAAACGGTGACAGTTTTGTTTCTTTATCATTTTTCATGCATTTAGGACAGTAAAAGTTATTATGGGGCAACAATAATAATGCAAAATTTTATTATTATTATTATTATTACTGTTACATTTTTATGTCAACATCAATTTTTTTCCAGAATGATTGTTAGGTTGTCTTTCAATTAAGCTCAATGCATTAAGATATGGGACTAAAATGTGTCCTACTAGATGACCTGCCATTCTAGTAATATTTCAAATCAAGAAAAACTTTCTGCTTAAAAAATTAGACCTGAGGGCAATGGAAGTTACAACTAACTGTAAATAAAAAATAAACACAACGACAAGAGAAGTTGCCAGATGTGTCATATTTTATTTACATGTACACGCGAGGCATTGAACTGAATAAAAAATAATACAGTAATCTACGTGTCGATACAATGCTTAAAATACATTTTGTACAGCTTTAGTGCTCAAATGTCTGCACGTGTGACTGTTTAATTCCTTCCTCATGTTTACTGTCTTACCAGAAAAAGGAAAAAAACTCAAGCATTTAAATGTAACTGGAAGCAGGCAAATATCTCAATTGCATGAAAAATCCCTTTAAAAATGCAGATGAGCTCTTGTTGAATATGACATGGTGCATTTAAAAAAATGGCTGTTACACTGCAGTTGTCTGGTTTAGCTGATCAATGTGAAACCAGTGCAGCTGATTTATACTACGGTTTGTGTGTGCAACTAAGCAGATTCAGACAGGACTGAGTTATTGGAGATTCAGCTCCATGAAAGCTTCAGGACAAGTCTGCCCCCAGCTGGTTTAGACAGAGCTCAGGGATGTTTGAAGGGTGGTTATGATACAGAATGTCACCAGAACATCTGGCTCTATCTCCCTCTACCACTGGGTGGGTTGGTTTAATCATAAGTGAATGGTCACCAAATGCTGTAGACAGTACTGCAGTAACAACTGATTCAAAGATTTCAAGAACCAAAGTTTATTTTATTTTCATTTATTTTAAAATTAAGGTAAGGTTAAGAAAAGAACATAAAAATACTATTACTGCGATACAGATATTCATTTACATAAATTTGGACCAGAGGTGCTTGTGTGTGTAAACAGTAAGCGTTCTCCTAGAACAACACAACATTATTCATTCACCTGCACACATTCATGAGGTGATGAGCCACAATTTCACCACAGCATTCCTGGGTCAAAACCCAGCTAGTCACCGTGACTCAAATCAGTTTCAGCCGGTCGGACGGCATTTCCATCAGAAACACGGTTGCCAGCCCAAGCGTATGAAGCCAGGCTGAAAATGCAACATCAGCAACTGTCAGTCACATGGCTAACGGGTGGAGTCACTGGTTGCTCCAGAGTTTTCTGCCTGCTGTCTCACTGTTTACAAACAGTTTTGAGTTCAGTCTAACAAACAAACAAACAAACAAACAAAAAAACACAACTAAGCATAACATTCAACATCACCGCCACCATGTCCACCTGTGTAGTGTTTCATGTAACATTCAGATCCCGTTACGCTCACGGGCCATGCCCCCCTCCCCCACTATAGACAAGTGCACGTACTAGAGCCGTTTCAGTTGTAATGGAACACCGCCCAAATTGCACAAAGTTCAGTTGAATCATGTTGAGCTGTGCAAATAGGTGCTAATGGATCGGCAACAAAACTGACAGAGGTGGCAAACTGAAGTTGCTGGTTCCATCCGTGAGGCTGCAAGGCAGGTGAAATGTCTTGCCCAAGGACACATTGATTGCAACAGCCCGAGCAGGGCGAGAACCTACAACCCTACACTGAAAGGTCACCTGATGCATAATCCTTCTCCTGGGGCTTGGTGTAGCAGCTGCTCTTTTCACCACTTTTCCCTGCAAAAACTGCTGAGCAAGCTCAGGTGCAGGATGGGCCAGGAAGTCCACCCTTCTCAACGTCACTCTGCAGCCATGTTGATCATGTTGTAAAAAACAACAACTGGCCTACTGTCAAACCTTTCGCCGTCTGCTGTCAGCACCAAACATGGCGTTGTGTCTGGCTTCCTATTTCGGTTGTCCCCAATCTCAACAATGCTGGTGCTTTATGTTGCATGCACAGCTTGTGTGTGGCCTTCAGAAAAGTAGCCCATCATTAATCCCAGAGTTAAAGAAAGTTTAACTGGATGATGTAAAGTTTTTTATGTCCAAGTTTTGAATATTTTGCCTAAGAACTAATAACCCTTTAAAGTTACGAAAAGTTGTTCAATAATAAAATGCAATCATCCGTAGACTTGATCTGACGTTTAATCCAGATGTTCACCTGGCTGCACATTCATTAGAAATTCAGGAGCCTGAATCATGTCCACATTTGACCTATTAAACATGCCTTTCTCATAGTGTTGTATCATGCACGCTCCCTCAGATCAGAGCACTCTCTTCCCTCTCCTCTATGCCGAGGTTACCATGGAGACAGATATAATTCAGTTCTTGATGTTTCTCATAAAAAAGAGAAAAGCCTGCGCACATATTTTCATCTGCAACCATAGCGACACTTGACATTGTCCACGTTATTTGAAAAAGCAAGTCACCATAGCGACACTAATCATCCAGACTGTGTCGTGGATCGTGTGTCCTGCCTCCTAATCATGAGGGAAATTTAGGAATCCACAGGTAAACAGGGTTGATTTGGACATTTCTGTAATATGCTGTTTCCTAAAGTAAAAAAAAAAAAAAGATGAAATGCTTTTATTTTAATTGTGAATAAATAATTTAATGGCATATAAACAGCATCCGCATAATTCTGATTGTCTCATATCATGTAAATATACTCATCAAGTCCGGATTGACGTCACTTTTAGATGTGTGTTTTTTAGTAATGCACAACTCAAAATTAAAAGAAGTGGGAATCAGACTCAGAGGGACGAGCACCTATCTTGCAGTGCTCAGTGAGACCTATTTGAAGTTTGCAGACATAGTATGGGTAATTATTTTTCATAGATGCACCCCATCTTGTGCGTCACCCGTACGTCACACCAGGCCTAATGGGCAACCATACAACAGCGTTGTTATGGAAAAAAGCTCGGCTTTCATCCAAAGCATGACTTCAGAGTAACCCCAGCAGGAGTTTTCTGTCCGCACTGGTGATGTGTTGCTCCCATCCCAGTCCCAGACACGAGCCACCATTAAAAATCTGCTGCGACTCCCTTTTAAGTTTTTGATATTTATTTTAATTACTGACAATCGTCAAATAATCCGTGACGTGAAAATCGCAGCCATCATTTCCATGATCATGATGATGATGATGATGATGATGGCTCGGAGCTGCGCCCGTCCTCGGTGATGATAATCGATAGACGGATGCAGGTAGAGCCTTCCTCCTTATACACATGCAGCAGCATCACCACGCATCCATCCTCTCTCTGCTGTGCCGTTTCCCTCCCCATCTCCGGCACACAGATGAGAAATCGCCCGTGGGGGGCCCTGCCTATTGATCTCTGAACATCTAGAGCACCTCATATTTGTTTTACAAGGCAGAGACGAGCAGTCGGTGGCCGCAACAGGGGAGAGAGGCAGGAGCAGAGCCCGGACGGACCACTGACACCTTGCTTCGCGGCATCGATATGCAGTAGAGTGATAGCAGCTCTGCGGAGACGTGGAGGCCAGTCCATGGCATCTTGATATTAAAATCGTGGGCTCTGCGCATTCCTAACCAATAGCGCAGTTTTTTTTATTTCTCACTTTTTTATTCTTATCCCCCCTCCTCGTCCTCCTCCACTGGAATTGAAAGGATTAACTTGACCGACATCAAAAAAGAGGAGGGCGGCTGAGTGAGGAAATCTCAATAATTGAATTTGTCCAGATTCCGTTCGGGGGGATTGGTGGTGGGGATCCTTGGACCTGCGATGGACACCGGCGCGGGGGAATATGGCATGGCTCGTTTTGGTTTCTTGGTGGTTCTGATGGGGCTGTGGAGATTCAGCGATGCTTGCCCCGAATCATGCACTTGCAGCATCTCAAGGATTGTTTGTATTGATTCCGAACCAGGCATCGAGGATTTCCCCGTGCTCACGTTGGATGACATGGAAAACATCACCGAGATGTAAGTGTGCCTCTGTGGAAGCGATTCGTGCAGACATCTTATGAACTTATTAGGATGCAAGGAGCTCTGTTCCGTCGTGCAGGTCGGTGTGACATCGAATACTTCTGAGTTGGATTCATGATGATCAGAACATGACATCAACAACGAGGATCCAGACTCGCGGGGGTTTTGCGCCTTTTTGCGCATTATGTAAAAACGACCTTTTCTTTTAAATAACAAACCGTGTCAGATCATATGGCCTCCTATTTTTATGTGCGTGCGTGTGAGTGTGTAGTGTGGAGGACATAGTGGATGCGCGTGCACGGCGGTGAGAGTGCGCGTCACGCTTATTCGGATTTAGTGTGTTTTCCTTTACAAAGCAGCTCCAGCAGGTATGTTGGAGTAAAGATGGTCAGGCCACATGCGGGGGGGGGGGGGGGGGGGGGGGGGGGTTGGATGGGGGTTTGCCTGTGTTATCATTTATTTCAAAAAGACCACTGTTGACAGATTACACATGAGATCATATCAGTTGCGTAAAGCTGGCGGGCTGCTGAGAGTTATGCGCCCTTATCTGCGTCAGTGTCTGTGTGTGTGTGTGTGTGTGTGTGTGTGTGTGTGTGTGTGTGTGTGTGTGTGTGTGTGTGTGTGTGTGTGTGTGTGTGTGTGTAGGCCTATATGTCGGAGCGCTACAACCCGGCACACCAGCCCACAGCTGCACCTATAGTGACTTTTTGAGGCAGACACGCCGGAGCCTTCTCCAGGAAACTTGCAGCAGCCAACGTCACATTGTGAAATCTGCACCCAAAAACGTGTTCAGCAGCTTATCAGAAAACCGTCTCAGTGACAACGGTTTTGTTTCTTAAAAGCCAAAAACACGAAATGACAACGTTATTTGCCAGAAGTTGTCTGGCTTATAAATGACTGAATCCACATGTAAACAAATGTCTTATTATAGGAAAAAACACGTTAAAGCTGAATATTCTCAAGTTTAGAGGTTCAAACAGAAAACATGCATCTATAATTTCTCTTAATTTGATCATAAGAACATCCATAAAACCCTACAATTAGAACAGCCATGACCTAAAATGAAGATATAAGTTTATATAATTAATTATACAGTTATATGTCTTCCTACATTATTCACAACAGTTTTTTCTTTTTGTTCTAATTGTTGAATTTGTATTTCATGTGGCTTTTTAAAACATTTCATCTGAAATGCTTGAAATAAACTCTTGTAAACAATAATCATTAAGTTTAAAACAACATTTGGTCGGTGTCACTGGTTTTCTACACGCACCAAATAAAGATAAAACCTATAAACAAATGAAAGCATATAGTTGGTGTATATTTAAAAATGTTCAGTTTCACATGTTGCAGATCAGAATTTCCCAAAATAGCATGATTCCTTTTAGATTTTACTAACTGTGTCAACAAATATAAACGCTTGGATAGCAGTAGTGCTGTCCTGTTGTTGTCCAATGACAATAAAGCTTTAAAATTAAAATTCCAGAGCTGGATCACTTTAACTTTGGTCCTCGAAGCTTCACGTTTCTCATAAAACCAACAAATGTCTCCTTTTCCTTCCACAGACACATCGCCAATCAAAACAGACTGTTTGACATCAGCGACAGCAGCCTGAGGAACTACATCAACCTCAGAAACCTGTGAGTATCACTCAGGCTTCGCACAAGTTTACGTACAATTGAAAGTGACTTAAAGTAACTCCAGACTGTGACCTCTAACAGAACTATTACAAAAACACGACTGACATCTATATCATCAGATGCGTTTTACAACAACACAAGACTTCAATATGTGTAAGCAGCATCTTGCAGACCCTCTCTGGTTTGTTTTGTTTGGATTTTTAAACTTCCTGTCTTTTCCTTCCAGAAACCTCCGAGACAACAACCTTTCCATGCTGTCATGGAGAACGTTTCAGAACTTTAACATTTCTTATCCGTGAGTAAACTGTCAGAAGGCTGCTCTTTTAGGGTGCAATCCTCTCTTTTTACAGTCGTTTCTTCCTTTCAAGGCTTCTCCTGGCTGGAAACCCGTTGGACTGCGTTTGTGAGAACTTGTGGATCAAACTGAGACTCCAAGAAGAAATGGAAAGTTCAGAACTGACGTGCACCGATGAAAGGGGAGTGACGATGGACTTTGCCACACTCACGCCACCAGACTGTGGTAAGGTGTTGGGTGCAATAAGCAGAAAGGGTTTTTTTTTCATGAAGACAGAAAATATAAACTTTCAAACGTGTTTACTGTCTGTGGCTTACTTGCAGTGGTTCCCAAAGTAGAAGTCATCCCTAAGACGGTGACTGAGATGGAGGGGGGTAATGCCCAAGCTGTGTGTACTGCCTCGGGTTCCCCGGTTCCCCTGATCCAGTGGAACCTTGACATGCTCTCAACGCACTTTGAGGTGAGACCAGTTCACCCTCTGCTTCTTTAAAGGTGTGGAACACAGAAAAAAACATTTTGTAACCAAGATCTCTGATTATAATCAGTCACTCTGAGTTTTTCAAGCAGGCTGAACATGAAAATAGTCTCCTGCATTAGCTTCTGATAGAAAATAGACATTGAAATGCTAGGAAAAGCCACACTCACTGAACGTTCGTGGACTCACCCATCTTGGCTTGTGACGGGGAGTGCAGTTGTTGGTTTAGCGTCCAAGAAACAGCAGAGAATGTCTCAGCTAGCGGAAGTTAACCGTCAGATCTTATTTATACTTCTCCGTTAGCTCAAGTGTGGATCTGCGCAGCAAACACATTTCAGACTGCTCCGTTACCTGGGGAGAGTTGCAAACCAATTCCCCGACAGGGCAATCTAGGGCGTAGCGTTATTCTGAGGTATCCTGCCACCATTACAGTCACATTTTTGGTCAACGACACTGTGTTTACTGTTGTAATTATATTGTTTTAATGTATGTCAGACATTTTTAACATGAACAAAATTGTCCCCCATTCTCCTCATCCGCTTCATGTGATCGGCAATTCTAAACTCGCGTTTGTCGTCATTTCTGTCCATGAAAAAAATGTTTGCTGCATATCTTTTTAGTCCCTTAGACCACTTGGATGTGTAACATTAAGTCACAGGTGAATAAACGTTCATACTTTTGGACTTTTTCCATCAGGTGTTCTTCAATCTGTTCTGGTCTTTGTCGCTTTTGATGGAAAGTTAAAAAGTTGGGCGTGTATTTGTCAGCCTCTGCGAGCCAGTCAGAGAGTCTTTACGCCAACGCATAATGACACCGCGTGTCTCCGTACCGACGCAGATGGAGAGATTTAATTAGGCCTTAGCATTAGAAGCTCAAACACGTGGCAGAAGCTCCTCCTGGCTTGTGTTATCCACGGGGATAAAGCATCCATGTCGCAGAGAACATGGAGTCTGCGGTGGAGTTGAGTTGCAGTTATCCAATCAGAGGCAAGATGTCCAAATATCAGGAAATAAGAGTCCAAATCCTGCCGCGTTCTGCCACTCTCTGCTGCAGCAGACTTCTCCGTGCTGTTCCAGGCACTTCTGGGCTTTATTTACCCCAGAGAACGACTTGCAAGGCTTTCAGTCCTACCGGAGACCACTGCCAATGTACTGATTAAACGAGTGTTCCACACCTTTCAATGGATATGTTGCAACTTTCCCATATTCTCAAATCATTTTCTTGAGCCAGTATGCTAAAATGACCCATTCCAGGGTTGATGAAAGGCCGCCCAGCCCCTATCGCCCCCTATGGCCAGAATGTTCTACTTGCAACTTCGGACTAGTGAGCCGATCTGTGCGGACTTACAACAAATTGAGCTGACATACCTTGCACTGCAACCTGGTTCCAAAATATTTTCCTGCATGTTTTAGATCATGAACACAGATGATTTGCTTAATTTAGTGATGAGTCACTCCTGCAGACACTAAGAAAGGCTGGGAGACGTTTCAGCCGCTTAGATTAACGCGTTAAAAAGACGAACGCAGAGCAAGGAGATAGGTTTCGATTTTGGTTCTACTGACGGACACTAGGGTGTGCAAAAATCAAGCCAAAACTGTCTAGTTCCTCTTTAAGCAAGTGAAAAATTCTTATGGAGGCACGATATATCGGCATCAGTATTGTTATCAACCAATATAGTTATTTTTCAACATATCGGTATTATCCCGATTAGTCAAACTGGGCCGACTTTCACAACCAACATTTAATTCCATCTAGCTGCTGTTGGTGTGTCTGTTTCAAGAGAGAGGGCGTGGTCATGCGGTAATTGTTTGGTCATGTGAGAGTGATCTGTGAATCGTGTCAGAATGATAATGACCTACATTTTTATATGGGTGCATCCTTAAATAAGAACTAAATTAAAAGCAAAAATACATTTAATACCAAATATCAGTGTATCTAAACACTGTCAATTATTCAAATAAAAAGAATAAAAGAAGCTACATCTCTAATATCCTGAATGTATTTAAAAATGGTGTTACAAAAACACAAGTCATGTTATAGTGACATCTACCAAGAGCTATAATATTGTTATAATTGACACAATTTGTCCTGCTAGCCTGAAACTTTCATACTTAAAGAGGGTGGGTAAAATAGTTATGACACTTTAAGTGTCATTAGAATAAACAATTAATCAGAAACTGTTGGAGCTAAACAGTGTGCCTGTGAACCAAAGTTGTACGTGCTCTGCAGAATGTCAGCATCCTGTTTTTCAGCCAGTTCCAGAAACTAATATTGATCTGGTCAAGAGCAAGCAGATGTATCACGTTTTGGTCCAGAATCTGCTGGAACAGGGTGACTCCCAACTGAAAATCATCTATGTGAGGTCCATTTCCTGATTATGCAAGGCTGACGTCAGCAAAGTGTTGAAATGGTCCATAAATCCATAAAAAGAACCCACAAAACATTCAAAATATTTTAATTTTTTTTTGCCATTTCTCAAGGAATGTAATGAATACATCTTTAAACAGGCATGTTCTGTTTTACATAAATGAAAAACAGTATTTCCTATCTTGTTTGATGAAAGGTAAAACTAATTAAACTACTGTAACTGGTTTGACTTTATTCATGGTATAAACAAATATTAAGGATCAATGACACTGAACTTCTCTTTGAGGCTAATACAAACTATTCATAAGGATAAAAGAAGCTCAAGGAATAAAAAGAGCAGAATGGAGATCAGAGACCAGCAGTTCACATGGAAACACCTATTTAACGTGCTACTTGTGTTCTGATAACTGTGACCTGAAAGTCTGCTGAGCCTAAACTCCTGAGAAGAAACATCTGGGTCAGTATCAACCAGATGACAGAATATTTGGGCATAAACATCAGAAAGCTTCCACAAAAATAAACATACAGCTGAAACTTTAGAAAGTTTAGAAAAAAACGTTCATTCATTTCAGTGATTCAACTTAAACGTTGAAACTAATGTATGTAATGGACTCATTCCATGCAAAGCTGGATATTTCAATCCTTTGTCATAATTATGAGGAATATGGTTCACAGCTTATGAAAACCCCACATTCAAAATCTCAGACAACAAGAAGAAGATTGTAGAAAGGTTGAATGTTCTAGACTCAGTGTCACACTTTAATCATTTAATTAATCCAAAACATCTGCAAAGGGTTTCTGAGCCTTTAGAGGGTCTCTCAGTCTAAACGGGAATACTCACAGAAATGGACTTTTGCAGCATTTTCTATATTTAATTTGCAGTTTACTTTCACCAGACTATTTCAGTTTTCTTTTTGTTTGATGTATCCATTATTTTAACTATTTATCCAACACTAGATCAGAATTTAGCCAGTCCAATGTCTCAAAACAATCTAATCTAATCTAATCTAATCTAATCTAATCTAATCTAATCTAATCTAATCTTTTATTTTTAGCTAAGAGGCCAAACAAAAGTTACATTAAGCCAAAATTCACATTTGTTTTTTAGATTCAAACATTTCTACAAAGTACTTTAACTATTTGTTCAACTTTGGCTGCAGTTTCACCTTTTTTATTCTTTCCTAGTCAACAGTTTGAACTGTAGTCTTTGGTTACCAATAAAACTAAATAAAAAACAATATAATTTATAAATGATACCAACCTGTTATGATTTGCACCTGCATATTTTCAGCTGATGTCACTTTTAATTAACTAATACCTAAGCAAACTTCCATTTCTAACCCATTTGTCCAGTTTTCATATTTTAGACCTTCATATTGTTTAGTTTTCACCTGTCAGAAATATTTGAACTGACTGATTCTTTGTCAGTGTCGAGTTTTCTATGTTTATCTAGTAACTGGTTTTAGATTGATGACTCTGTTGCACCAGTCTGGTTTCTCAGAGCATCATTTTGTGTTTTCAGATTGAATCTTTGGACATGGAGAACAGCCTCTCGTTGACGGGCCTTTCTCCAGACGATAACGGAAAAGTGATCGTGTGCAGCGCTGAGAACATGGTGGGCCAGGACGAGGCCACGCTGCTGCTCAATATTCTCTGTAAGGACTTCCTACTTCTCTAGAAACGATTCTCACATCGCTGCATTTCATTTAGTCTCGTTTGAGAAGTGATGAGCTTCCTCCAGGACTTTTTTGTTCCTGTGGAAGCAAAAGGCTCCTGAGTTTATCATTAGTGTCTCTTGGCAAATCTCATTGAGTGTCTATGTTTCCTGTTTATAACTCTTCTTCCTGTAAAGCTCCTTATGCCTTACCATATGCCTCCACTCATTTAATTCCCCCTCTTTTCCACATCCTCCTGTTCCACCTTTTCCTGTCCTACAGTTTTGTTGTTTGAAAAGTGGATCTTCCATATTTTCCCTCTTCTCCAAAGCCCATAAATGTTGCTTTAACTAGCATTGCTCCCAGTGTTTACTTCCTATCACCCCGTGATTACTTTTCCTCTACTGCTGTTGCCTTGGTGTCAGTTCCCCCCACCATCCAGCACCTGCTGTCTCCGGAGCGGGACCACCACTGGTGCATCCCGTTCACCGTGACGGGGAACCCCAAACCTGTGCTGCACTGGTACCACGAGAACAAGCTGCTGGAGGAGCAGGACTACATCCGCACCATGATCCACGAGTCCACTGAGAACGAGGACCACGGCTGCCTGCAGCTGGTCAACCCCACTCACATTCACAATGGCGAGTACCGGCTGGTGGCCAAGAATGAGTTCGGCCGGGATGAGAAGACGGTCCTCGCCCAGTTCATCGATCCACCAAACATCAGCCACCCAGGTTCTTTTCCTGTAATAAATAAATAAATAAATATTTTCAGAGCTGATCTCTAAGGTCAACTACTAACATGACATTTTAATTTTGTCTTTTCTTTCTATAGATGATGACTACTGTAAGAGCAATTTTAGTCTTCTTCTTCTTCTAATAATAATAATAATAATAATAATAATAATAATAAATATTATTATTATTATTATTATTATTATTATTATTATCATCTTCATCATCATTATTAATATTCTTATTAACATCATCATTAGCAGCATTATTATTATTATTATTATCATTGTTATTATCTTCATTTTCATCATCATCATCATCATCATCATCATCATCATAATCATTGTCATCATTGTTATTAACATTGTTATTATTATTAACATCTTCACCATCATCATAATCCTCATTATTATTATTATTATTATTATTATTATTATCTTCATTTTCATCATAACCATCACAGTTATAATAATAATAATAATAATAATTAATATAATAATAATAATTATTATTATTATTATCATTGTTATTATCTTCATTTTCATCATCATCATCATCATCATCATCATCATCATCATCATCATAATCATTGTCATCATTGTTATTATTATTAACATGTTCACCATCATCATAATCCTCATTATTATTATTATTATTGTCTTCATTTTCATCATAACCATCTCAGTTATAATAATAATAATAATAATAATAATAATTATTATTATTATTATTATTATTATTATTATGATGATTATTATTATTATTATCATCCTCATCTTCATCATCATGATCATTATTATCCTCATCATCACTATTATTATTTTTATCATCATGGTGACACTTGTGCTGCTGGAGCTGAATGTTGATTTCTATCTGTTGTTTCTCCTTTGGCCTACTCTTCTGATCAGATCCCGGTAGGACTTGTTTTAGTGCTTTTCACAATAAAACACCTCTCAGTCTGAATCACAGAATGTTTGCACTCAGTTAATCTGATTTCTTTTAACTTATAGATAATTATTGTTTCGCTTTGTTTTTCCTCAGACCCACCCCTTCCTCCTCTAGATGACAGTGTTGCAGTAAGTCATCCTCCTCTGAGCTTTTATTAGTAATTTATACATCTGCTGTAAAGACATGCAACTCTCTTCCTAAAACCACTTTAATTTCTTGTTTGTTTATTTTAATTGTTTGTTTATTATTCTCAGGTGTATGTAGTTGTGGGAATCGCAGGAGTGGCCCTAACTGGCTGTGTTCTGATGGTCATCATCCTTAAATACGGAAGAAACTCAAAGTTTGGGATTAAAGGTGACAGATAGTTTTTTTAATGATCTGCAATTTAATAGATGTAAACAAAAGAGCTTTTTCAGCCACCGAGAATAAAAATCCAGCAGTTTAAACAACTGAACATGAATTTCATAAATTATTGAAAATATGCCAAATGGCTCAGTGAACTATTAGAACCAATCTCCTGTCACGCTTCACCTTCTCCTGTGCAAATCTGTCCTTCTCTTGTTTCCTGACCGCCTCCTCCTCTTCGGCTCCCCAGGCTCCTCCTCAGTAATCAGTAATGACGATGACTCTGCCAGCCCTCTTCATCACGTCTCCAATGGCAACAACACCCCGTCGTCCTCGGAGATGGGTCCAGATGCAGTGATCATTGGAATGACAAAGATTCCTGTCATTGAGAATCCGCAGTACTTCCGTAACTCGGGCAGCATGCTGAAATCCGACACGTGTGAGTTACCGCCTCGCCATCGACACACACCGGATCACCTCGACCTTTCCTGATAAAATCCATCCAGGCGAGGCTCCATGGTTATTGTCAGCGTCATGCTCCAGTAGCGAAATGTACTATTAACCAACAAAAGATGCTTAAAAAAAGACTTGAGTCATTCAAGTAATTATTTAAATGAAAGTTTATAAAAAGTTTGTGGATTCCAACCTGTTAAATTTATCGTGATTGTGCATTTTTCATGTAATACACAAAGCTGTCTTCCAGAGGGAGTAAAATTGATTTGTAAAGTATTAAGTTGAAAGGAACAAACATTTTACCACAAATATACACTACAAATCAGCACACACACACACACACACACACACACACACACACACACACACACACACACACACACACACACACACACACACACACACACACACACACACACACACACAAATCGCAAAGTAATTTGGCTTTTCTGGGTTATAGTTGTTCATCACATCAAAAGACACAACATCGTGTTAAAGCGGGAGCTGGGAGAAGGAGCCTTTGGGAAGGTCTTCCTAGCAGAGTGCTACAACCTGGTCCCAGACCAGGAGAAGATCCACGTGGCTGTCAAGGTACCGATCCACAAACCTTTCAGATTACATATTTGTTTTTCTAGAAAGCACTTTTTACCCTTTCACCTTGCCTGCCGCCAGACTCTGAAGGAGGCTACCGAGAGCGGCCGAGCAGACTTCTACAGAGAGGCGGAGCTTCTGACAAATCTGCAGCACGAGCACATTGTCACCTTCTACGGAGTGTGTGTGGAGAGCGACCCGCTCATCATGGTGTTTGAATACATGAAGCACGGAGACCTGAACAAGTTCCTCAGGTGGGAGCGCTCAACCATGAAAACACACACGATGATGTAAACTAGCGTCTAACGAGAGAACTGTTTGCACCCGGCGCTGCGAAAAAGTATTCTACTACCCTTGCAAATTTCTTCTCTTTTTAGTCACAATTAAAAGCTAAAACACATTGTTATATATATATATATATATATATATATATGTGTGTGTGTGTGTGTGTGTGTGTGTGTGTGTGTGTGTGTGTGTATAGACTTATACAGGCTGAACATGAAAACAGGCCAAATCTCAAAACTCGCACTTGCGCACTTCAATAGCACGATCCCGACTAGGGGTGAGAGTGCTTTGAATGTCCCGATTCTCAAGTGCGGATGTTGATCACGCCCTTTTTGCACCCTTGAGCCGTACTTCACCCAAGTCTGCATCGATGCGGACTTGGTTGAAGGGTACTACCCACAATTCATTGCTGCAGGAGAAAATGAAAATGTGTATTTTCTAATGGAATTAGTTAATTTTAGGACGATTAGTTGATGCTCTAAAACTTTTAGACACAGCAGCAATACGTGTAAATTTATTTCAAATAACTGTTGTTTAAAAGTTGTTAATAAAGGTTTTTGAAAAAAGTAGCACAGCGACCAGCATCCCGGCATGTGTTGCGATCGATGATGCAATGCTCCCTGTCTCAAGTCTGCAATTATTTGCACACTTGTGTACTACGCACTTGAAGCCTTACAACGCACTTTCTCCGAGTGCACTTGGCTGAAGTCCGCAGGGCGCAGTGTGAGTACTGAGACTGGGCTCGGCAGATCTATGTCACACTGTCACTTAACATTCGTGGACTCGCACATATTGATTCCTGATGGGGAAATTTGTTGTTGGTTTAGCGTACAGGAGACAGCAGAGAGCGTCTCTGATAGTAGGATCTACCCGTTAGGATTAGCACCTCCACCACATGGCAGAACTCCTCCAGGCTTGTGCCGTATGTGGAGATAAAACATCAACGCTGCAGAGCAAACAGTATTAGTGGTAAAGTCGTGTTGTCGTTAGCCAATTAGAGGAGAGAAGTCCAAATATCAGGGAATAATAGACTCTTTATCCTTCTCCTCCAGCTGACTTCTATATCCTCAAACATGGCCACCGGAGCTTTTTTACCCCAGAGAAGGACTTACAAGGAATTCATCCCTACTAGAGTCCACTGCAAATGTATTAAAGTATGAGTAAAGCTAATCTTTTACCAAGAGTGGGCTTTAGCTGCTGTTCTTTTTTTGGTTTTAGATTTTTCTAGAAGATCAAATTCAAATTCAAATTTTTATTTGTCACATACACATTCATACACAGTACGAAATGCAGTGAAATGCCTTACACAACTGCTCGTAACCCAAGAGTTGAAAATAAAAAACTGTACACCACGGATTAAAATGAAGGGTAAATTTAACTGGGAAAGAGTAAGGTAAAATATATCTGATTTAAAGTTGAATAATAGAATAGCTTTACAACAAAATACACAATACAATACAAATTAGAATAAAAGGTAAATTTAGCTGGGAAGGAATAAGATAAAATATATATAAGATGAAGTTGAGAATAAAGTAACTGTACAACATAATACACAGTATGTAAATGTATAAGAATGTATGAAGAAATAAAAATATCTATACAAAACAGCGGCTGAACAAGTATTAAATGGAAATGAAAAAAATATATATATAATGTCCAGAGTTGTGCAAACCACATTTTAGTGACTTTGTTTTGCAACTGTGCTTAAGCAAAGTCCAGACTGTTCAGTGTGTGTGAGAACCATATGTGTGTGCACTTACTATGTGGTGGTGTGGAAGAAGGCATGATGCCGTGCTCGTTGAGATCTTTCAGCCTAATTCGTGTTGTCAGACAGGTTCTATTGGGTGATTGAATTCTATGGGTCTGGGCTGTTATCAGACCGAGGTGTGGCTCGTTATACTGGACTCAGAATAATGTCATTATTAATGTGAGCCCTGAAATTTTCATTTTCTTCTCAAATGTTGACATCATCGCGACGTTGCTGAGGGAATAAAATCGACCTGCTGCTGTTTTGTATAAACTGCAGGTCTAAAAATAAGTTCTTATTGGTTAAGGTAGAACTGAAAATGCCAGCAGATGTGCTTGACAGAAAGTAAATCTAGGTAAAATAATAAATTATGTATTTTTAATGCTATTTTGTTAAAGTGATGTTTTCATTGTCTGTTATCACCTTTGCCACTATTAAGTGGAAGAAGATTGTTGTTTCTGTGCAAATACATATAACATTAGATCAGACTTAAATGTTTCTGACCATCCTAATTCATTCTTAAACTAGTTTTTCCAATAACATGTACAAGAAAACTGTCTAAATCCGTACTCTGTTCCATGCATCTGGTTTCTGAGTACAGGTCCCACGGTCCTGACGCAGTCCTCATGGCAGACGGTCAGCACAGCATCCTCGTGGAGCTCACTCAGTCCCAGATGCTGCACATTGCCCAACAGATTGCTGCTGGCATGGTCTACCTGGCCTCCCAGCATTTTGTCCACAGAGACTTGGCAACAAGAAACTGCCTGGTAGGAGAAAACCTGCTGGTCAAGATAGGAGACTTTGGCATGTCGAGAGATGTCTACAGCACAGACTACTACAGAGTGAGTTCATTTAAGAGTGTCCTCCTTTCCCTGCACCTAGTTACTCACAAAGACACACTTTTACTGTAAAATACAGAAATATACCCTTGCATGTACGGTGACAGAATGCAGTAGCAGAAGTGGTCCTTTTAACCACATATATTCAATCTAATTTTTATTATATAAATGTAAATGATGTCATCTGCATTCCTAATGTTTCCATGGCAATAAGGACCTAGAATGCATGAGCAGATTTTATCATGTATCTTTTTCTGGTCAGTGACCTAATTCACCTCCTCAGCTGTCAGGGACATAACTTTATGTCCGTCAGTGGACACAACTTAATATCCACTGATAACTTCATATCAACTGATGGACATGAGAGAAGATCAGACATGATATGTGAAGTAAAGAAAAATTCCAAACTGAAGGAGCAGATGGATTTGTTTTCATTTATTCATACTCTGTCGTCCTTTATGTCTCAGATCTCAGCTTGAACTCCACAGCGCCCTCTGCTGGAGCTTGATTTACAAACGCAGTTCATCAAAAAGTCACATAAAACAAGACCTGAGAACACAAAACCTACAACCGGAGGATTTAGACTCTTATGTAACTATCCTCTTGATTTATAAATAAAAACAAATAAATTACATCAAACAACAAAATTAAGCAAATGACATTAAACTCATATTTAGATGTGCAGCGTTTTTGATCTCCATGCACTGATGTCCTGGGGTGGACAGGCCGTGTGGCGTACCAGGCACTTCCCGGTGGGTCGTTGCCCAAAATGGGCTGGTCCAGTCCGGTCTGGTAGCGGGCCCTCCCTAGAACCGCCCCTGTCTGTAAACATAGAACAAAGTTTGGTATCGTTTTCATGTCCAAATATTATTGAAAACCACTCATTTTGATTGCAACGTAATTATTTATAGTTTATCAAGTGCATTAAGGTAAAACTTTATCATTAGTTTTTTTTATTTAATGATTAAAATATGCTAGAATTTAAATATGTTGGTTAAACATTATTTAAGATATAAATAAACACATTTAGAACCTTACAGGGCTTTGAACCAGCTGCTGTAAACCATTCATCTGACCCTCCCCGATGGCTGCTGCCTCTCTGCAGGTGGGCGGTCACACGATGCTGCCGATTCGCTGGATGCCCCCAGAGAGCATCATGTATCGGAGGTTCACCACGGAGAGTGACGTGTGGAGCCTTGGAGTGGTGCTGTGGGAGATCTTCACCTACGGAAAGCAGCCCTGGTACCAGCTTTCCAACAACGAGGTCAGATCTGTAAAGCCGTCATTCAGCACTAAACACACCCAAAGGCTTACAGCAGTTTCAGGCCGAGTCAATTATAAGCTTCATGGGCATTTTGAATTCATGCAGTGTTAGTTAAACACTGATCAGCTCTTCTGTTCCACTACGGTTAGGGTTCGCCACTAGATGTGGCCGTCACACACCGATACCTGACCCGTAAAGTAGATCAAAGCAGTTGAATCAGAAAACAGTATGATTTGATTGTAATACTTTTAAATCCCTGCTCACATCAGAGTGTGTGCACTTAATAAAATTACATATTTTTTAGAACATCAGTAATGTGAGAAAGTTAAAACTCTGCTGTCGTAGCTCTAATGGCAAAAATACACACCTTCTCTGTGTTTTAGACAGAAGAAAGTGTTAAATCACAAATCACATTGTTTTCATCTGAACTGCACAGCGATGCAGAAGTGTTCAAAGTGTGGCCTGTGGGCTCTTTCTGGCCCTTCGAGCAAAGTCTTCCCTGCATTTAGAGAATGATGCACAGGCTGTTGATGCCAACACTTTAAAACACGTTGAGATTTTTACTAATGTGAGTCATTACAAATAATAGAAATACATTTATTTTTAGATGGAAAAGTTTGAGTACTATACAAAGTCGTATGATTGAATTAATGGTAAACAGAACCACTAAGAAATTAGCAAACCATTGGCCATCAGGAATTTGATGCTTTATAACAAACATATAGCGGCCCTTTTTATGGATCCATTTCTACTACAGACCGAATTGGGGTTTTTAAATTCAAATATTACTAAATGGTTTAATTTATTCATTCATTTGAATAGAACTGCGCATATAAATATATGCCAGATTTAGCAAGATGCTAATGTCCCTCCGTAGACCCTTGGCACAACACCCAAATACAGGAACAACACATGCTAACAGCAGCATGTTAAGACAGAGCCTCAGTAAAAGAAGAAGAAGAAGAAGAAAGTATAATTTCTATAGCGCCTCTCAAGATAAAAATCACGAGGCGCTTCACAAAAACAAAAAATGTAAAAGTATAAAAAAGCATTTAGAAAATGTTTAAAAATATATTTAAAATGAGCAAAAATAGACGATTGTGATTAAAAAATGTTAAGAAAGAGAGAGGGAGTGAATAGGAAAGAGGGAAATCAGTGGATCCTGAGGAAGGTGGAATAGGTGGGGAGAGCAGAATAAAGAGAGAGGGGGTGAAGAAGGTCATACAAAAGCCAACTTGAACAGGTGAGTCTTCAGCTGCTTTTTAAAGGAGACCACTGAGTCCACTGATCTCAGGCTCAGGGGGAGAGAGTTCCAGAGTCTGGGGGCCACAGCAGCAAATGATCTGTCACCTCTGGTCTTTAGCCTGGTGCTACACAACCAGTAGGCTTTGGTCACTGGACCTCAGGGACCTGCTGGGGGTGTAGGGACTAAGAAGATCACCAATGTAAGATGGTGCTTGTCCATGTAGGGCCCTATAGACCAGAACCAGGATCTTGAAATGAACCCTGAAGTTGACTGGCAGCCAGTGAAGCTGGAGGAGAAGCGGGGTGATGTGGGTGTGTTTGGAGGACTTGGTCAGAAGCCGAGCACAGGCATTCTGAACCACCTGTAGACGGTTCAGGGAGGTTCTGCTCAGACACGTGAAAAGAGAGTTACAGTAGTCTAAGCGTGAGGAGATGAAGGTGTGGAGAAGTGTCTCAAGTTCAGAGCGGGACAGAATGGGACTCAGCTTAGCAATGTTCCTGAGATGGAAGAAGGAAGAGCAAACAAGAGAACTGACATGAGAATCCAGGGTGAAAGCTGGGTCAAAGGTCACGCCAAGATTCCTGACGGAAGATTTGGTGTGAGAAGCAAGCTGACCAAGAGAGTCTCTGACTTTGGGAACCAGCTTGTCTGGGGCACAGATGAGGATCTCAGTCTTATCTTCATTCAGCTGAAGAAAGCTCCCAGCCATCCAGGTTTAAATAGAGTCTAAGCAGGTGTGTCACAGCTGCAGCTTAGACATCTCATGGGGCAGTATTAGCATCCAGAACTGGAATGTCAATAAAACGTTTGACTTGGTTTAAGAGTCTCATTTAAAATGACCTAAAACCGCTAAAATAAATTAAGCATTAAGTGAGAAAAGGAGTTTTCTATAATGTCCTCCATATATTTAACTTATTTTCTTTAATAACTGATTATTTAAATTTTATGCTTAATATGTAACATTGTTTTTTTTCTATTCTAAGTAGTGGTTTAGATTGAAATGAGAACAATCAGACACGCCCCATTGACACGTGTCTTTTTGCAGGTGATCGAGTGCATCACTCAGGGCCGAGTGCTGCAGCGACCTCGTACCTGTCCTAAAGAGGTGTACGACCTGATGCTGGGCTGCTGGCAGAGGGAGCCCTACATGAGGCTGAACATCAAGGAGATCCACAGCATGCTGCAGAGCCTGGCTAAGGCCTCACCTGTGTACCTGGATATACTGGGCTGATGCCCCGGCATCCCTGTATGTACTGGTGTGTGTGTGTGTGTGTGTGTGTGTGTGTGTGTGTGTGTGTGTGTGTGTGTGTGTGTGTGTGTGTGTGTGTGTGTGTGTGTGTGTGTGTGTGTGTGTGTGTGTGTGTGTGTGTGTGTGACAGCACATTTTTAAGGAAGATGGTTGATGGTTGTGTGACTGTGTTTGTGTACAGGAAACGGCTGTAAATGTGATTTTAGATGCTAACTGTCCTCATAACGCGGAGACAAACCTTACATTTTTAGTTTTCCTTAATTTCTAGTCGCTAATTCTACGCGATATGAAAAAAGGCAAAAGAAGATAACCATGTGCTCACAAATTTCTGTCATTTCCCCTAAACTTTTAAGTATTGCGACACCAACAACAACAAAAAAGCTAAAGAGGAAGGCATCTCATCCTGCTATTTACTTCTGTGTGTTTCATGTTTGCCAGGAACAAACAAATGCAAAAACATGATATGTTCCTTTACAGACATTAGTGTTAAGTGATCTGGTCACATGAAAACATTTGAAATGTGTGAAAATTTTATTTTACATTTTAACAGTTTTTTCAAAGTAATTTCTTGTGATTTTTTTGTTACATCTGCTCAGATTTAACCACTAATCTAAAACAATGTTCTGCATCATTTGTGCCGATTTTAAAAACATCATTATAAAATCTTAGGAATGCAAATGTTTTATTTAATTTTGGCTTCACATCCACATTCAGAACGGATGAGTGCATTTTTGTCATTTGTTGGCCCGTTTCTGTTCTGTGCAGGTTATTGATGAGATGCTTTGTGAAATGGACCAACAGATCAGTCTGATGCAGATTACCGTGCTCTTGTGGACTAAGAAAAACATTTTTTCAGTGCTTTTGGTTTTTTAATTTTCATCAAGTATCAAAACAGCATCAAACTGGTTTTTGAGGTGACTCTGAGGTGCTCCTGCCTGTTAGCTGCTGATACATCCTACATCTTATTTTTTATGTTGAATTCTCTAAAATGCACTTGTGTGATGCTTTTGATTGTTTCATGAAGGAAAAACATGGTTCAAGTGTACAATTTCTGTATAAATATTTGCAAAAAAAACCAACAAAAACAGTTGTCCAGGTCCAACCAATCATCATGTTTTACTAAATGAAGATGTACAGAATTAAGATGATGTTTGTCAGGTGCACTTTGTAGCATTTTGTAACCCACAACCTCCGAACGTTCTCCATCTTGGCCTCTGCTGTGATGAAAAACATCATAACATCTGTGTGGAAGCTGATTTACACCATTGTCTTGGATGAAAACAAAGATTTCTTTGTGTGTGTGTGTGTGTGTGTGTGTGTGTGTGTGTGTGTGTGTGTGTGTGTGTGTGTGTGTGTGTGTGTTGCTCTGTTTCTTTTTTTATACAATGTTCTGTGTCTTGCTGTATATAAAACAGCTGTACAGTTCTGATATTTGTCTATATCAATAGTAGGCTATATTTAATAATGGTATAATCTGTTTTAAAGCAGGTATGTCAAAACTGTGTGACATCTATCGAAGACAATGTGTTATGGGCCACTGGCAATACAAACTAAATGTAAATACGATTTTAATTGTGCAGCGTTGTACGATTTCTTTGTGCTCGTTCATGATACCAGTGAGAATACAATCCTCTTCGCAGCAACCTTTGATCTTCAGAGGACTTTGTTGAAACAATGTGATTTTCTCTGAAGAAAAACAAAAAGATTTCCTCTCCACTGTGATGGAGAGCTCACATTCTGACTGCCTGTTTGCGGGAGAATCACAGACTATAAACACCAGGATCTCTCCTCGCCAGCAGGCAGGCATCCCAGCAGATGCATGGTCAATGGCGGAGAGGTCAAATGTCGTCTCCCGTCCAACCACCTCTGACTGACTGTAGCCTATTTGATCCTCTTTCAGATTAATAACTGTGACTTTGCATCATGAATAGTATATTATTTTGAATGTATTCTAAATGGGCGGGGTCCTTTTTTGAATGTAATGTATTTAAGGGAGGGGGTGTTAATAATTTTCTTTTGTAAACATACGCAAAAGATGAAAAAAAGGACAGTTTTCATTCCTGTGCAGACAAGTTTTACTTACAAAGAAAATTCAAAGAGAGTGTGTTCGTGTGGATTTGCACATACAAATGAGCGTGTGAGTGTGTGTGTGCGTGCTACCGGCAGAATTGATCCTGCTTCAATCAGCCAGTTCTATCAATCAAGTCAAAGCTTAGTGCATCATGTGAGTAGCTTATCCACAATTAATGGACATGTTTCTTGTGATACTGTGCATTTAATAAAGGTGGTATGTCTTACAATAAAATATGTGCCCTTCCTCAAGGTTACTGATCAAGAAAGAGTTCAAGCAAGCGGGGGATCCACACAGCACATGCAGCTTTAAACATTTAAGCTATTGCTTTCAAACTGGTTTCAGTACTTGAGCCACAAAGCTAACCATCTTCACGTTTGACAGCACTCTACAATCCAGCAGTGTGGATCATTTTACTTCGTTACATATTTATTATCAGTTGACGCCTGTTAGCGTTAGCTTGTTGTTAGTGCTAACTACAGCAGGCTGCGGAAGGGTTGATATGTCGTTCTTCCCCTTTCAACCGGTGAGAGGGAGAAACAGGACAATTATTTAGTGTTGTTTTAAATTGCTTTAATGCTACATGGAAGTCAAATCATTTATGTATTTTACGGAAAGGGTGGAAATTTTATTTTATCCCATAGAAACCTAAAGCCTTTATTCCAAAACTCAAGTCATCCTGAAAAGATCGATTTATGAAATAAACTAACAGAAATTAGTCATTTATTTGGTAATAAATAGATAATAAATTAATACATAACATCTTTGTTTCTTGGTCTCTAAAAACATTTAAAAATGTCACCATCCTAAAAAAAAGGAAAGCAGTTAAGGGTAATTGCGAAAATCCAATTTACATTTACTGAAATGAACACAATTGTTTGAAACCAACATTTTCCTGAGTTCAATTACGACAAAAGAGGTTTTGTTTATATTAAAGTTTCAATGGCAAATATGGAAAACAAATTAGCTTGAAATATTATTTTCATCATAACAACATTCTAGCATAGCTTGGCAGTGTGAGCGTCCTGTCACTGTGTCCCGATTGATCATGAGCCCTGGCTACTCGGCCGAGGGGATGTCCCTTTGGCTGACTGGTTAGCCCGCATGACTCTCACCCGGGAGTCTGGGGATCGAATCCCACCCGGGCCCTCGTTACTCCACATTGCCACAATAGTAAATAGTTGAGATAAAAAATAATGATATAAAATTCATGTTCTCTCGCATTTGTCTAAAAACCTCCAATCCAATAACAGATTTCAGACTGAAAGACACCATACAACCCTCCAGTTGTCGGTCTCGCTGAACTGTTGCACTTTTCTGCGTCCTCCACTCATTATGCACTTGTGTATTTAGCAACAGAACACCATTGTTGGGAGAGGTTTTCTGCTCAAAAGTATCAGAGAAGGAGAAACAGCCGGCTGCACCACTTCAACTTTAGGACAAATTACTAGAGTTCCAAAACGAAAAATGCCAGACAACAAGACATTTGGACGTAAAATATGGAGACTGGTGTTTAGCGATATCTCGTTTCCTCTGGCATTGTGGGTTTCTTGTCTCAAGGAAGATACCTGACGAGAGGGGGAGTGTTTGCGTTCAGAAGAACCCAGCTTGTTTGCAGATTTGCTATAAACAGCTGTAAGTTATTGTGACTAATTTAAAAAAGCATAAAATAACACATCTTTGCTGTTGCTAAGCCTGCTGACACACAAATTGCAGCTTTTAATCAATGATTTTCATTTCAAATTCAATTCAATTCAAATCAAAAATACTTTATTAATCCCAGAGGGAAATAGACGAAATGAGTCTCACACAAGAACAGAAGTTGCATTCAAAATGATAACATCACAATGGGGTCAAAAACATTTCTTTGTTTTATTTCCTGGAGAGTGGAGTGGAGTGGGAGGGATTCTTGACATTATTCATCCTGCACTGAGATAATATGAGAAAAAGATGCATGAGTGCAATGCTAGGATGGTGTTATTAGTCTTGTCTTTACTTATCTCTTCATCAACCATGTTTCACACCGAACAGATGCAATGTAGCTTCTGTGCAACTTCCACAAAGATCAAAACATTATTGCATCCAATCAGAACACTGGCTGAGATGCAGCATAGATCTGAACCTGGAAAGTTTTTACGTAGAGTGCATTCCTTCCAGATGCCGCACCTGGAACATCATGAAGTTAAAGAGCAAGTCACCCCTACCAGAGTCTGACTCCACTTTCATTTCCTGTTTGAAAAATGCACCACAAGGAGACTTTGCCTGGCAGACGAGAGGGTGGAGCCACTAACATATACACACACAGGCTCACAATGGCATTGTGACATCATAATGTACCAGCTGATGTCATATGGTACCTCTTAGCCAATAGCAATGACAGATTTAAATTCAAATGTAGCGTGGAGTTTTCACCTGAAGAGGGCGCATCACTGGTAATTTTAGGCAGAATATTTCAATTTTAAGTGCCAAATTATTGACTACACGTGTCTACAGCATGATTAGACACTCATTTATAGTTTATGAGCAAAAAACATTGATTTGGGGGTGACTTGCTCTTTAAAGAAATTACGAGACGGACAGGAATTTCAGCTAAGTACGTCTAGTTTATTTAAAAAAAATCTGCGTCATTTTATTTTTACCAACTTTTGTTTTATTTTAACAACAGGGCTATCAGTTCACATGGAGCAGCATAGCTCAGGAGAGAGAGGTTGTCCAGTAATCGGAGGGGTGTAGGATCGATCCCGGCTCCCGGGAAAATGCTCCTGTTGTGTCCTTGGGCAAGACACTTGACCCGCCCTGCCTGCTGGTGGTCGAAAGGACTACTGGCACTAGTGCTTGGCAGTCTTGCTTCTGTCAGTGTGCCCCAGGGCACCGGTGGCTACATAGTTTTTCATCACCAGAGTGTGAATGTGAGTGTGTGAATGACCTATTGTGTTGTAAAGTGACTTGGGGGGGGGGGGGGGTTGTAATACTATTGAAGGAACAAATACAGGACATTTACCATTGTATCACAGTTTACATTATTTTTACAAGTATATTTTTATTTATTTTGTCAAATTTCTAATTATTTGGTGCTCTTGTGGAAGTAGAAATCTGAAGACGTTTAGAACACGAACCAAGTTGGTCCGGATCCACACGGAAACCGGACCACCTCCAGCATTCTGTGTGAAAGAGGCTTCAGTCTGAAGAAGTGGAGTTCTTCGTCTTGGGCCATATGGTCAAAAGTGTTTGGGAACATTTTCAGCAGCAGAGGGATCTACAGATGGTAAAAAAGCATCAAATTTGCATCACACACTTGAGGTAGAACAGATGCAGAAATTATAAATTCCCTTTTTATGCCACCCTTTGCCAGGATGACGTCAATATCCACATGTTTCATTCATCTTCATTATTCTTACAGCTTTTGAGATTGGAATTGTTCTTTGGGTTTATGTTTTTAACTCATTAGACCAGTGAACCCCTGATGGAAAATTTGGCTCTGGTTTAAATAATAAAACATCTGTCTCAAAATCTTTGTGAGAAATGTTTCGGGTACCGCGGTGTGGTGGAGTACCGTAGCTGTCTTGCAGCCAGCGAGGTTACAGTTTGATTCCTGGCTGCTGCTTCTTGCATGGAGTCAGCATGTTCTTCTCCCCATGCATGTAGGTTTCCTCCTGTGGGTACTGGAAACTCTAAATGGGTACGAGTGTGTCTGTGAATAGTTTGGTTTTTTTTCTGTGTCCCTGTGGAGGACAGGAGACCTGTCCAGGGTGTCCCTTGATTCTAAGCCCATGACTGCTGGAGTTAGGCCCTGTCTCCTTAGTGCGGATAAAGCAGTTCAGACCATGAGTGAATGTCTCAGTTAGAACTTTAAAGGATCTTTTTAACTTTTAAAAGAATTTTTTTTAAGGATGGGCTCTTAAAGGGCCAGCTGTCCAACATGTGTCCTGAAAAGTATCCTGTAAACACCATTTGTGTCTAACAATAGCTGCTGAGGAGTGATGTGGATAGTTGTATTAGAGCAGCGCAGCCACATATCTGTAATTAATCACATTGTAACTGGCTAATTACAGGATTTCTAAGCTTCAACGTTCTACATTTATATTAAATCATTGTAAAAAGATACTTTTAATAATTAATGTGCAATATTTTTTTTATACATCGCATTGGTCTGATAAGTAAAACTGGGTTGATATCAATATCTCAGAAATGTAAAAGGATATACAGGTACTTCTGAAAAAATTAGCATATTGTGATAAAGTTCATTATTTTCTGTAATGTACTGATTAACAATAGACTTTCATTTATATTAGATTCATTACGCACAACTGAAGTAGTTCAAGCCTTTTATTGTTTCTAATAGTGATGATTTTGGCATACAGCTCATGAAAACCCAAAATTCCGATCTCAAAAAATTTGCATATTTCATCCGACCAATAAAAGAAAAGTGTTTTTAATACAAAAAAAGTCAACCTTCAAATAATTATGTTCAGTTATGCACTCAATGCTTGGTCGGGAATCCTTTTGCAGAAATGACTGCTTCTATGCGGCGTGGCATGGAGGCAATCAGTGTGTGGTACTGTTGAGGCGTTATGGAGGCCCAGGATGCTTCGATAGCAGCCTTAAGCTCATCCAGAGTGTTGGGTCTTGCGTCTCTTAACTTTCTCTTCACAATATCCCACAGATTCTCTATGGGGTTCAGGTCAGGAGAGTTGGCAGGCCAATTGAGCACAGTTATGCCATGGTCAGTAAACCATTTACCAGTGGTTTTGGCACTGTGAGTAGGTGCCAGGTCGTGCTGAAAAATGAAATCTTCATCTCCATAAAGCTTTTCAGCAGACTGAAGCATGAAGTGCTCCAAAATCTCCTGATAGCTAGCTGCATTGACCCTGCCCTTGATAAAACACAGTGGACCAACACCAGCAGCTGACATGGCACCCCAGACCATCACTGACTGTGGGTACTTGACACTGGACTTCAGGCATTTTGGCATTTCCCTCTGCCCAGTCTTCCTCCAGACCCTGGCACCTTGATTTCCGAATGACATGCAAAATTTGCTTTCATCTGAAAAAAGTACTTTGGACCACTGAGCAACAGTCCAGTGCTGCTTCTCTGTAGCCCAGGTCAGGCGCTTCTGCCGCTGTTTCTGGTTCATAAGTAGCTTGACCTGGGGAATGCGGCACCTGTAGCCCATTTCCTGCACACGCCTGTACACAGTGTCTCTGGATGTTTCCACTCCAGACTCAGTCCACTGCTTCCCCAGGTCCCCCAAGGTCTGGAATCAGTCCTTCTACACAATCTTCCTCAGGGTCCGGTCACCTCTTCTCGTTGTGCAGCGTTTTCTGCCACACTTTTTCCTTCCCAGACTTCCCACTGAGGTGCCTTGATACAGCACTCTGGGAACAGCCGATTCATTCAGAAATTTGTTTCTGTGTCTTACCCTCTTGCTTGAGGGTGTCAATGATGGCCTTCTGGACAGCAGTCAGGTCGGCAGTCTTACCCATGATTGCGGTTTTGAGTAATGAACCAGGATGAGTTTTTAAAAGCCATGGCGATCTTTTGCAGGTGTTGAGTTAATTAGTTGATTCAGATGATTAGGTTAATAGCTCGTTTAGAGAACCTTTTCATGATATGCTAATTTTTTGAGATAGGAATTTTGGGTTTTCATGAGCTGTATGCCAAAATCATCAATATTAGAAACAATAAAAGGCTTGAACTACTTCAGTTGTAATGAATCTAATATGAGTCTAATGTTTATCAGTACATTACAGACAATAATGAACTTTATCACAATATGCTATTTTTTTGGAAGAACCTGTATATATATATATATATATATATATGTTTACACGTGTGATTGTGTATGTATTGTATTTAATAAGCTAAATGAATATCGACATTGGTCCACATATTTCTATGGCGCATCCTTACGTCTTACTGGGAGCAGCAGTAGCTCAGCAGGCTGAGGGGGTTGTCCAATTATCGGAAGATTGCAGGTTCGATCCCAGGCAAGACACTTAACCCACCTTGCCTGCTAGTGGTGGTCGGAGGGACTGGTGACACCTGTGCTCGGCAACCTCGCGTCTGTCAGTGTGCCCCAGGGCAGCTGTGGCTACATCGTATCTCATCACCATCACTGTGTGAATGGATGAATGATACACTGTAGTGTAAAGCGCTTTGAAGTCCTTACTCAGAGATGCGCTATACAAGTGCAAGTCATTTATCATTTAAATTCTAAGCAAAGCCAACGAGCCCACCTTGGTGGTTCTGACTGACCCATCAAACATCTGGTGAAGCTCCTGACCCACATGAGGGAAACCTCCTCAGCTGTGACAAAAAAAAAACCCTCTTTCAAATGTTAAGTAGATTTTATGTTACTGATCGTTGCATTTATGACCAAGCATTTTGTGATTTCACTTGTACTTAATATATGGTAGGATTTTTATAACAAATTAAATGCAAAAACCAGTGGACATCAAGGTAAATGATCTACTTTGAAGGGGGTGGTGCCTCACCATAAAGTGAGTGATGTTGGATGAAACAAGACAAAAATGCAAACCTTCTGATTTAGATGTTTATGAAATGGATAACTTGTGGGTAACAAAGATGTTCTAAATTATGAAACGATAAGGTGCAATGGTGTGGTGGGTTCTTGCTTAAAATCAAAAGCTGTGCACCCACCGTGTTTATTGTACTCTAAATGTACATTAAAAAATGACCAGCCCATGCCCTAGAACCATTATTAAAGTAAACGCACATTCTGACTTTACTTTCCTTTTGCTTTACATAGAGGAGTGGCATGAGTGTGAATAAATTCAAAATGCTAGATTTAGCAGAAAGTAAGATCCTGAAGTCCAGCAAATTTAAACAAGTGTGTGGAAGCCTGTTGGTGTGTGTGGACGAGCACCGCATCTCGTCTAGAAATGAGAAAACTGAAGATTAACATCTGGAGACGAGGTCTTTTCTTACATTAAGTTACAGCTCACACACACTCACACACACACACTCTAGTTTAGTGTCATTTCTGCATGTCGGTTCTTCAGCTGCTAACTTTTCTGGATGTTTGAATGAATCGTTAAAATAAACAATTGAAAGCTTTGGGATATCCTAAAATAAGTTTTAATGACAGGGTCATCAGAGGTCATGCACGCTGCAAATAACTGCATGCAGGTTCTTATGGTAACCCATCCAAGCACTTTTTATTTTATTAATAGTCATTAACACACACACACACACACACAGCAGCTTCATCAGAGGAGCTCGCGTCCTCGACTTTTGAAGGTGGAGTATTTATATGGAGAGCCATTCGTACGTCACAGGAAGCTAAAGTCTGCCATGGCCGCCTGCAACACTAACCTGGTGAAGAGTTAAGTGGATTGATTATCAACTTCATATATATTTTATATATTTATAGAATTTTCTTCTCTCACTTGCTTGCTCACTCACTCATTCGGTTTGAATCAAGCTTGCTCTCTTTAGGTTTTGTTTACAACGTAACAAATATGGTGACGGGCCTGAAATTACAATCACCATAACAAACTCAGAAAATAGAAGAGGGGTGGAAAGGAGGGCCAGTCTGTCCGTCACTGACAGGTGCAGCACAGAGGACACAGTCTGCTTGATGCTCGGACATCAAAGAGGAGGCGGCGGAGGCTCCCTCCCCGAAGAGCTGCTCTCTCTAAGCTGAAGGTTCTCCAGCGCCACGTCTAAAGGCATGATATCCACGCAGCCCATGGCTCCGAAGTCGGCGAAGTCTCGGCGCTCTTCCTCGTCAGAGGAGGAGCTCTCTTCGTGCATTAGAGTGGACAGAAGCAGCTCCTGGACAAACAAGCTGCGGTCAGCACGCTCTCCTTCAAGAAGCTGCCGCTCTCCTTCGGACATCTTGGGTTCATTCAACCTGAAAAACGACATCGACAAACACCGGCTCATCAACACACTTCCACGTGGAACCAGGCCATGATAAGACTTGGCTAGGGATGACACTTTCCTCATAAAAACCTTATCGGGCCTTGTAAAGACAATGAAAAAAGGGTTCCTATAAACTGAAGTCTGCAGACAGCAGAGCCAGCAGCTTTACAATGATCAATATTATTATCAATCTGATTTTGATCAGTAGTTTAGGTATTCATCATTTGTCTCACGCTCTACAAGGACTTGCTGTATAATAAATGAACAGGCTTAGTCTGCAGGACACAAACATGATACATCCAGCATCAAGTCTGTGGTTTTTTTTATCTTTATAGTTGGAGCAAGGAAAGTGTGCATCATTTAAATAACCACCAAAATGTTATGGATTGTTTTGAAAACATGAACATTTACCCTGGCCTAAACACGTTCAGGACGGTGACCTCAACAAAGAGTCAGGATAACAAAGATGGTAGTCAGACCCATCTAACCCAACAGCTTCGTATAACGTACTGTGTGTGCAGCATTCGTTAGTATTTTATTAGATATATACACACACTCGTAGGAGATACGGTCGGCAGATGGCCGATATGCAACAATCATTTTTACAGGACAATTTCCGTTACCAACATCTACATGTTTTCCACCTTGTTTTTGTGCTAAAATGTCACTAATGACATCAGATGATGAATGAAGATAATATTGAGATCATCATCTGTGCCCCAAAGTCAGAGACTCTCTTGGTCAGCTTTCTTCTCACACCAAAACCTCTGTCAGGAATCTTGGCGTGACCTTTGACCCAGCTCTCACCCTGGATTCTCATGTCAGTTCTCTTGTTCGCTCTTCCTTCTTCCATCTCAGGAATATTACTAAGCTGAGTCCCATTCTGTCCCGCTCTGAACTTGAGACAGTTCTCCACACCTTCATCTCCTCACGCTTAGACTACTGTAACTCTCCTTTCACGTGTCTGAGCAGAACCTCCCTGAACCGTCTACAAGTGGTTCAGAATGCCTGTGCTCGGCTTCTGACCAAGTCCTCCAAACACACCCACATCACCCCGCTTCTCCTCCAGCTTCACTGGCTGCCAGTCAACATCAGGGTTCATTTCAAGATCCTGGTTCTGGTCTATAGGGCCTTACATGGACAAGCACCATCTTACATTGGTGATCTTCTTAGTCCCTACACCCCCAGCAGGTCCCTGAGGTCCAGTGACCGAAGCCTACTGGTTGTGCAGCGCCAGGCTAAAGACCAAAGGTGACAGATCATTTGCTGCTGTGGCCCCCAGACTCTGGAACTCTCTCCCCCTGAGCCTGAGATCAGTGGACTCAGTGGACTCCTTCAAAAAGCAGCTGAAGACTCACCTGTTCAAGCTGGCTTTTGTATGACCTCCGTCTCCACCCTCCTTTCTACTGATTTCCTCCATCCATTTCCTTGCATTTTTTAATCACATTATTTTTTCTCATTTTTGTTATATATTTTTTATTTATTTTTATTGTTTTTTAAATTCTTCTTCTCTAGATATCGCGACTAGCACCCCGTATGCCATTGCCACGAGCTCATCAAAGCAGGTTTTCAGCAGTTGGTCCACAACCTTTATGTTGAAGCCGGAAAAAAAAGGTAAACATGCTGGTTTTTCAGGCGATAAATCTTTTCTAAAGCTGCAATTTTTTAAAGTTGTTCATACGTGTGTAATGTTGCTTTAGTAATAGTGTTTGTTATTCGGTTTCAGAACGGTGAAGGTCCTAACCAACCTTGAGGCTTATATCATCATTTTTTAAATTAGTCCCTGTAATACCGTTCACCGCAGTAAACTGTGGAGGATGCTAGGCGGTATTTAAATTTGGTTACCGCCCAAGCCTAATGTCAACAATAAGATTGGGTGATTGGATGAATTTAACTACCATCAGCAACATTCCGAGCTTTCACCCATCATTTAGGAGCAATTACTACATAGTTCTAAAAACCAAACACATTAAACTAATGTTGAAACTGTGATACATCATTAAAATCAGCCATTGATTCATTCCTTTATGTAGTAGAGTACAACCACTCTACTGGGGATTTATTCATGTAGAATCAAAACAGCAAAGATGCTCTAGAAACATCTCCTATCAAAGTATCTGACCCCAAAGCTGCACAAGAACATGTCAGACCACAGACAAGATAAGTTTCATCTACACGTTGAGCTTTAGTTTGCATGACTCTAAAATTGTGCCGGTATGAGTGTGTGACTGGAGACCTATCCAAGATGTCTTCTGTCCAGAACCACCCCAAGACCCTACTGAAGTGGGTGGGTGGATGGATGTATTAAAGTCGCCACTAGCTTGATGTTTGTTAGCTGCCTCAGAAGAGGTCGACCTAAAATTTACAAACTAACAGGAGCGACACGGCCACCTACTGTGGTGGAGTGGAACCGAATCACCCGAAATCACGTCCCTTTAGCACTTGTTATCTGAGACCAGACAGCCGGATAAAAAAAAGGACCTAGATGAGTCGCTCCACTTAACTGTCCTCACTCACCTTGCTAATAGGAACTGGGAGCTGTGGGACGAGGAAGCAGGATTGCTTTCACCCAAACTGTTGGTGTTGGCGGTTGCCGTGGTGGGCGGAGGGATTGTGGAGCCAGTGTTGCTTGGATTGTTGCCGCGTCTTGCCGCATGCCGACCCGTCTCTACTTGCTGCCGCGCCGCCTGAGCCTGCTGCCGCTCCAGCTGCAGTTGCATCTGGAGCTGCTGGAGCTGTGAGGCTGAAGGCCCGGACGAGTTGATCTGCCCCCCCGCGGCCCGCCGTACACCTGACAGCTGAGACAACAACTCTGGGAGACACGAGAGCAGGTTGGTTGTTTTTAATGAATCATAAAATTTAGTTAAGCGTGTTTCTATTTCCTCTCCAAGACATCAAGTAGTGATTAACGTTGTACTGAACAATATTTCTAGGCCTCACCTGCGATTGGGTCCATTGTCTCCCTGTTACTGGGGGTGTAGGAGGAGCTCTGTGCTGAGGAGGATGAAAGTCCTCCCGTTGAGCTGCCAGTAAAGTGCATGTTTGTCCGTCGTGCTCGGGGGCCACCCAGCCCTCGTCCAGGGTGAAACATCCTGCGTACGTGTCGGACACTACTGGACTCATCGTAAAAGGGAGCTGTTAAGGTTTAATCCAGCCGCAGTTAAATGAACAACTTACTGCACCAATCAGGAAAGTGCAAAGGCAAAAGGATATTAAATCTCGTGGTGCTCTGTGTTCAAGAGTGAGGTGAGCCGTAAAGTCATCAGTGACGTGGTTGGGATCTCCTCCCGGCAAAGCAGCGCAGATCGGGCAGATCTGAGAGGAGACATCAGGGAACATCCTCAGTCTGACGCATCAAAACTCAGATGGTGTGTGTGCTCACTAATGGCACCGGGAAACAAACGTTTCACTTGAAACAATTACATTTTTAAAAACGTTACTGTGGCCAAAGAAACAGTTAAGTTATTAAACTGGAAAGATCTTCCATCTCTACAGACGGATCTAGAACTGTTAGAAATGTTCTGGAAATGTTTTTAAACACACACTGGATTTATGTGAAGGCCGACATCTTTGACCTCTCAATTCCTCTCAAATACGGTTTGTTTGAATTCTCAAGTTCATTTAAGCCGAATGGAAAAATTGCCCTCCCACAGTTGACCATGACGACGGATTGAAAACAAAACTATCTCACTAGCATCTTTCACAAGAAGGTAGGGGAAAATATGGCCTTTTCATAGTTCTTCAGTTTTCTTTTTCCAGAATGTTTTAGGTGTGCCCTGGTCCTCCAGATCCCCTATCCCGCATGTTTTAGTTGTTTCTCTGCTCCAACGCACACGACTTTAATCAGAAGGTGATTAACAGGCTCCTGTAGAGCTGGACAAGCTGCTGAACAGGTGAAACCACTGAATCAGTTGTGTTGGAGCAGGGAAACAAGTAAAACATGCCGGGTAGGGCCTCTCAAGGATGGGAGTTGGGCACACCTGTTTTAGTTGTTTCCCTGCTCCAACGTACCCGATTCTGTGGTTTTATGTGTTCCACAGCTCATCCTGCTCTGCAGAAACGTGTTAATCACCTGCTGACTAGTCAGGCGAGTTGGAGCAGGGAAACAACTAAAACATAATGGATAAGATTGGGCACCCATGATCCAAACAGTTCATTTAAAAAAGGTCAAATGTGTCTTGTTTTGTCCTCTACTTGCATCGTTTGAGGATTCAGTGAGTTTTTTGAAAGGAACAAGTAATAATTCATTGAGTCACCTTGTCGGTACAAAATAATGATCTTCAACACTTAGCTTGCTAAATGGAAACAGGTATAAATGGTTTTGCAACAGGCTGTAGGTCACAGTGTTAAGCCTGACGTGTAAGTCTCAATCAGCTCCGCGTGAGAAAGACACGCATCGATGGAGACATTTTAACTTCGGACTTCTCTGTCACCTGGGGAGTCAAAGCAAGTCCCCACCAGGACAACAGAGGGCGCAGCGCTGTTCTGGCGTATCCTCTCACGTCCGGTCCAAGATAGTGCATTTACTATCATGTTTATATTGGGTTTTTTATATTATGAGACTTTTTAACATGGTTGGATTTGTCCCTCGTTCTCCCCCACCTTTTCATGCGCTCGCCACCTCTAAACTCACACTTCTGATCAATTTCATCCATTAGTAAAACGCTTGCTGCGTATCTTTATGCTCCTTTTTTCCCCCATGGTATTCTTTAAGTTGCTCCATGTCTGCTGCTAGATATCATCCGCTCTCTTTATTTTTTTTTTGAGCAGCAATGGCGTTGCTGTTGGCTAATTTAAAGGATGCAGTGTCCTGGCCAATCACAACCTTGCACTCTCTATCTCGTTTGATGGATATTTAGAAAAGTGGGCTCAACTCGGTTCGTCCTTGCACATCTGTTTGTCTCTGCACTGTCACAGACAGAGAAGCATAAATGAGGCTTTACGAAGGGGTTCAATTAATGTCTCTGTCAAAACGTCTCTTATGTGTCGCTGAAGCAGGTTAATCACTTGTGCCGAGGGCCTTTTTTATACTTGGCACTGGGCCAACAGATTAAAAAATGAATTATTTGAAAATGACCAGGTGAAAGGACGGGACCATTTTTTTTAAAGCAGCAAATGATTTCAGAAAGCCAGGAGAAATATTCCACTTTACAGATTTAAAAAGACTACAAGAAAAACTTATACGAAACTTATAGAATACGAAGAAATGAGCTCGTTTCCAGACATCTCTGCAGCACAAAGGGGGAGCAGGGAGCAATTTCAGTTGACTAAATGGCATTAAAAATAGTGAAAGTAAAAAAAAATGTTTCTTTCCAAATGATGACCTGAAAATAGAGCAGATCAGAGGGAGGTGGAGGATAGCTGCAATGCCTGAGCTGCTGATAAATAACAAGTGTACTCACCACCTCTGTGGAAGTCTCCGAATGCTCCGAGGTGACGTGCTCCTGTAGGGACGTCTCTGTGAAGCCCATTTTGCCACAGTAAGGACATGTGAAAGACTGAGGCTGTTCTACTGAAAACGTGTCTCCTCCATAATACAAGTCTGCGGGCAAAGATCAACAATCAGCTGTTTTAAATGTATTTGAAGTAGATAACTTTGTGATTACGATGAATCAGTAAACGATCAGTAGCTGTTACCAGCTGGGGTGCTCTTACCATAGTCTACTCTAGTTAATATACACTGCATGGGGTGCTCTGTTGTGTGTCGCGTTGTAGTAGCCCCGCTCTCGTAGCACGACGCACACAAGTCGTAGTCGTAGCAAATTAAACACTTGAACCGCCGTCCTCTAAAGTTGCCCTTTAAACACGCATCACAGCTCACACCTGCAGAAAGAAAAGAGCAAAGGAACTCAAATCAATCCTGTGGGCCCGACAATTAAGCCACAAATTCCTCACAACTCTATCAGTGAGAAGGCAATCTTTATCTGAAAACCAGTTTCACTTCCATGAGCATGTGCTTTTGGACCTGAACCAACACACGAGTGCCAGCAATGAAGGTCCCTGGCACTGCCGTTCATTTCACCAGCAGCTCAGAGGCGTGCCACAAACATCTGAAAGGTGTTTTCATTACAGCCCTTGTTATTCATGTAGAAAACAGCACACACACTCACGGGTAGCTCACTGTTCCTGGTTACAGCTACATTTACAAAAAATGCACTTCGAATGAAAGATTGTACTGTAAAAGGAGGGGAAAAGGCAGAATTGCCATTCAAACACTGGTTTACTTTTGTTGGAAAGTGTAAATGCTTTATATAAGAGGCAACATATGAAATATCTTAAATTGGACGACATAATCTTAACCATCAACAGCATTTGCAAAAATAAGCAGCTGACCTGAACAGACAACTCTACTAGTCTGCAGCTTTCTTTGTGGACTTCATGTTCAGTTGTTTTGTTAAAAGTTTAATAAAAGGTTTACAAAGAGAGATGGAGTGTACATGTTAAACATAACTGCCCCCTTTTCTTGGGCCAAGACGTGTGTTGTCTGGACTAAAGTGTATTCTGACCACTAGAAGGAACAGGTTGCCAAGTAACTGTGTTTTTAAGTTGAAAGTTGTGACCTCTGGCTTTTAGGGGCTAATAAACCTCAGTCTGGACAGCGACCAAATAAAACTCAACCCTAAAATACATGATCCAGTTAAAAGTCCCTTAACTTAACCCTGAGTTTAGCTCGCACCTCACTTAGTGGTTGACCTGTGGCCAAAGGCCTCAGACTTTCTGTTTTGTTCGTGACAGTGCACTCCAGCAACAGTGTGTGTTACATGGTACAGCATGCTGCTAATTTCACAGCTACTGAGTCAAAAATTAAACTAAACAAAGTCCAGACTTAAGCAGAAGATAACAAATTTAAGAATACAACACAGTTTATAGTTCATTATGAGACGGACATGGCATAAATAGCATCGACTTACAACTGAAACGAGGGGTCTATGTATGCATTCTTTAGCCTGCTACCTAGCCATGCTAGCGCAAGTTAACGTAGCAAAAGCTAACCGCTAACCCTCCGCTCTACTGCGGTATCATTGAGAACAGGTTGACTGCTTTTAAATTACTAAGCATAACACACATACGAACACTAAATATGCTCCCAGCGCTGACAAATAATAAGGAACGAGCCCGGAAAAAGGCGGAACAACACATTCTGACTGAAGTAAGCAGTTAGCAGAGCTAGCCAACGAGCTAGTTAATGATTAGGTAAAGTAGACACCGTTCCAGTCGCTCTGGCTCCGTTTGTCAACTCACCCTCATGTCGGGACATCCTACAAACAGCGACACGGCCCCTCTTCGGGCTCCCCAGTGCGCTGAACAAAGAATGACACAGTTTATGGGACTATTTACTGGAAAATCCTTCACCCTCGTCTTTTTTCAAGCAAGATGGATCCCCAGAAGCTTACAGTTCGTTCTGCTTCCCGTCCCAGAGTGTCACTTATGGCTGAATGCTACTGGTGAACGACAGATGGCGCTGTCCGATGACGATAAAACCGCTCTGCATGGATAATGTGTGCCCTGGAATTTAACTTACAGGCCGAACGCTGCACGATGAATGTCAAAGCAAAAGTCCACAGTTATCTTAAAATTAAGGTTTGTTTTGTTAAAATAACTTTTTTAAGTTTTGAAAGAACATAATCAATCAAAAACAGAAGTGAATTACCCCACTGTGGGATTAATGAATTCTATTCCACAGTTTTATGGGACATCAACAAGAGAATTACTAGCACTTTACCTGATGGCCTCATTTTAAAATTACCACGTAATCAAACAATAAAAACATTCACACCTTAGACTTAGTAGAAGAAAAATAATATATTTTATATGGAGCCTCTCAAGATAAAAGTCAGGAGGCGCTGCACAAGAAGAAAAAGGGAAAAATTACTTATACTACTTTTACTATAATTATTATTAATATTATTGTTGTTATTAATAATGTGTGTGTGTGTGTGTGTGTGTGTGTGTGTGTGTGTGTGTGTGTGTGTGTGTGTGTGTGTGTGTGTGTGTGTGTGTGCGTGCGTGCGTGCAATGGTAAAATCAAACTATCAAGAGATACACAACACTACCATTGACCATTCATGTGTGTATTACGTAACAACAGGAGTTTGTACAAATTCGGGAAACATGACAAAGAAGAAAATTCTCAGACTAAATGTTCTAAATATGTATTATTTATATTGCTATTGAAAAATTATTTGTACTTTTCTTTGTTTTAATGCATTTTTGAGCATTAAAACAAACATATTCTAAATAAAGGAATGCAATTGTAACATTTTGGATGTGGTCACAGATAATAAACTGTCAATAAAATATGAAAGGTATCCAACAAAAAATAATGTTCCATCAAACAATGAATTATCAATATTATTGGACCTTTAATATCTGATTGACTCTGGAAATAGGTACTTTGGACAGCCAGGGAACCAACACTTATTATGAATTTGACACAGAAGCATAAATACAGTTTATAAAATCTATTTATTGCAATATTTCTACAGCCAATGGTTACACAGAATAACTGAAGGTAAATGATTATTCAAGATAATATCAACTGAAACACTCTCATGAAACATGATCGTGGATGTTATCAAGAGTGTAATTAAGTGTCCTAGACCTTAGGGGTGGACAAGTCAGGGAGTGCGGGTATGGACCTCATTTCCGCATTCCTGTGGCAACCTGCCCCCCAATTTTATCTGCACTTTAATCACTTCCACCAACGACATTCCACGCACACACTTAGGGCCTTGGGAGTGAGCACATCCAACGGCATTTGGCAGGGGGATTTCTCAGCCTCATCCCAAGTGCCGGTGCCCACTTCCAATTTTAAACTGCACTTAGACACTGAGGGCTGTGGGTGCAAGTGGGGTGGTGCGGTGGCATCAGCTGGCGTAGGCCAGACGATGCCCGCACTGCCCGTTCACCACAGCCATGGAATACACCTCATCACCACGCACTAACTCTATATTGGAGCAGGCAGAGGGAGACTAGGGGTCTTAGCACACCTCTGTTGTTGCTTGGCTTCCTGGGGCTGGAGGCTAGGAGGGAGATCTAGCCGTCTGGTTGGGGTCTGGGGTGGTGGGTTGCTGTGCTCAGTGTTGGGCGGGGGAGCCTGCTCATCAGCACCCCAGCAGAAAGGGTCGAACTCTGGGAACCAGTAATGGTTGTACCCCATGTGCAGCAGTTCCGGGACCAGAGTGAATAGGGTGTGTATGGGGAGCATGAGTGGGTGTCCAGCGTGCCTTTTTGTAAGTCTTTGGTTGTATGTGTACGTGTGAGCATGAGGGAGGGAGTGTGTGACTGTGTTTGTGTATAACTGTATATGTCAGGTGGGGCCTTTGACTCCTCCCTTCTACTGGGATGTCTTTTGATGATATAGATCTTCGTCTCCCCTCTCCCTGCCACACCTGGTGTGGAGTGCCAGGGGCGTGGCCAGGGAGTGGCCTGGGGTAGCAAATGCCACCCTTGGAATCTGATTGGCCACCCCAGGTGCCACCACACAGAATTCCCTTTAAATAGGCTTTTCATTGTCCACAAAAGACTTGGGGTAAAGGGAAAAAAAAAGCATAACCATTGGTGCCACCCATGCACAAAGTTGTGCCTGACCTGGGCCACCCCATTTTAAAAGATCTGGACATGCCATTGTGGAGTGCTGTGCCTTGGTCTGCCTGGGTCGTGGCTCCCGGGTCAGGGAGTTTAAGATTTTTGGCATCTGCCTGACCAGTCCCGGTGGCTGCCTGGTGGGGTCTGAGTCCCTGGGCTCTGCTGGGTCCCCGGCGGGGGGTGGTCACCCCTGGGTCCCGGGTCATTGGGTCCCGGCTGCGGCCGGCTAGGGGGTGGGAGGCTGCGGGCGGGCCTGCAGGCTTGCCGTCGATATCTCCCGGGACTCTGCCGGCTGCTGGTTGTGGCCCCCGGGGCGATCCTCTGCGCCTCTCGAGGGGGCGGGGGCTTTTCTGGTCGCAGTCTCCCTGGGGTTCCTGTGCTCTGGGGCAGCTCCTGGATCTCTGGGACTTGGAGCTCCCTCCGTCTCCTGCACATCTTTAGGGGGCAGATCTGTGGTCCAAGAGTTGTCGCAGGGTTCACAGGTGTTGAGCTTGCGTCTGGCTTAACTCTGAAGGAGTTTTGCGTCAGCTGGTGCAGGTGGCGTTTATTCGGAGCGATTTTATCGGCATGACAGAACAGCTTAGGTGGAGTTTTCGGGCGGCCGACCCTTATCCTCATGGAACTCTCGTGCCACGGAGAGCTTTTGGTTGGTTCCGAACTGAGCTTGAACTGAGGAGTTTTTGGTTTTATTAAAACTCAGAACACGCCCTCTCAGAGATAGAAAGCTTTGGTTATGGAGCAAAGACATGTGAGGTGCAGTTACCTTTACCCTGATTCAGTCCCCTGCATGGTGTGTACAAGTGAACATGACCTTCTGGTTACTGATCAAACATTACTGATTATCATAAATAATAATTATTATTAACCAAATAATAATAAGTCATTTCAGTAATTAAATACATTTATAATGAACCATGATAATTATTTATGATGATTATTTATGATCCTTGTATTAAACAGTGAAAAGAGTTTATTAAAAATGATTATTTTAAATCTTGAAGTGTCCTTCATCTTGGGACGGAAGAGCAGACAAATAAAAGGCAGTCAGATTAAAGATGGTTTAGCAGACTTTATGTCTCCTATGATGGATAATCTGTGGACAAAGTTCAGCTGACCCAGCTCGACCTAGCTGGGGAAGTGTGACCTTTGGGTCACAAATGAGGCCATTCATGTCGCTACACAGTTGTTCCATTCAAAAAGTGAAACTTGTATATTAGATTCATTCATTACACACAGACTGATATATTTCAAATGCTTATTTTGTTAATTTTGATGATTATAACTGACAACTAATGAAAACCCCAAATTCAGTACATCAGAAAATTAGAATACCAATTAAGATCAATGCAAACAATGTACAGTGTTTAGCTGGGACTCCTTTGGCCTGGATTACTTCAGCAGTGCAGCGTGGCGTGGAGTGGATCAGCCTGTGGCACTGCTCAGGTGTTAGGAGAGCTCATGTTGCTTTGATTGTGGCCTTCAGCTCTTCTGAATGTCTGACATATTCCATCTTCCTCTTCACAATACCCCATAGATTATCTATGGAGTTAAGGTCAGGCCAGTGTGCTGGCCAATCAAGAACAGGGATACCATGGTCTTTAAACCAGGTACTGGTAGCTTTGGCACTGTGTGCAGCTACCAAGTCCTGTTGGAAAAGGAAATCTGCCTCTCCATAAATTTGGTCAGCAGCAGGAAGCATGAAGTGCTCTAAAACTTCCTGGCAGACGGCTGCATTGACCTTGGACCTCAGAAAACACAATGGACCAAAACCAGCAGATGACCTGATACCCCAAACCATCACTGACTGTGGAAACTTTACACTGGTCCCCAAGCAACGTGGATTCTGTGCATGACCTCTCTTCCTCCAGACTCTGGGACCTTAATTTCCAAAGAAATGCTAAATTATCTTTCATCAGAGAACATAACTTTGGAGCACTCGGCTGCAGTCCAGTCCTTATGTCTTTAGCAGGCGAAATGCTTCTGATGCCATTTCTTGTTCAAGACAGGCATGACACAAGGAACCCGACAGCTAAAACCCGTGTCTATACATCTGTGTGTGGTGGTTCTTGAAGCACAGACTCCAGCAGCAGTCTACTTTTTGTGAATCTCTCACATTTCTGAATGGGTTTGTTTCTACATCCTCTCCAGGGTGTGGTAATCCCTATTGCTGTTATACTTTTTTCCACCACATCTAGTCCTTCCCTTTGCCTCTCTATTAATGTTCTTGGACACAGAGCTCTGTGAACAACCAGCCTCTTTAGCAACGACTTGTTGTGTCTTGCTCTCTGTGTAACGTATCAGTGGTCGTCTTTTGGACAGCTGTCAAGTCAGCGGTCTTCCCCATGATTGTGTGGCCTACAGAACCAGACTGAGAGACCATTTAAAGGTATTTGCAGGTGTTTTGAGCTGATTAGAGTATGACACCAGGGGTCTTCAATATTGAACCTTTTCATAATCTTCTAATATTCTGAGATACTGAATTTGGGATTTTTATTAGTTCTCAGTTATAATCATCAACATTAAAATAAACATTTGAAATATATAAACAGCTTGCCTTTTTTCACTCAACAACAAATAACGTTGATCAAGCCTCTTCTTTTTCATAAACGTCTTTTAATTTGTACATAAAGTTCAGTTCATCTCTGTGCTGATGACACATACAGTGCATTTTAATGAAGTCTTCACAGCAGTGTAGAACGTCGGCCTGGAGCCCACACTTGGTGACATTTCAATCCACCCTCATGCACGAACCTGATGTGGCCACAAAGTCCTAAAGCAACAAGCATTTACACATCCTGTACATACAGTTTGGTACATGTGCTTCATGTTCATAATGAAGGTGAGAGCAGAGGAGAAAATGAAATTAAAAAAAGGCTTTATTGTCAAACGTCTAAACTAGTGGGGTAAAAGGCACAAAAGGGCAAACATTTTCCTCAGCATCCCTGCTATTATTCTGCTCATCTGTGCAATAGGTAGACACAAAAACAAGGTACCTTTTGTACCAGTAATGATGAGAACCCTGGTGTTCTACACAGCGGACAGTGAAGGCCTCCATTGGAAAGAAAAGTCAGGTGAACGGGAAGAATTTTGCTGTATGAAATCAAAATGAAATCAAAATGTACTTTAACCACATCAAAAAACAACTTTTCTTCAACTAAAACCCAAATAGATGATATAAATCTTTGTATTTGCATATGCTTTAATACAGAATAAGCCTGCTTTGTTTTCTTAAAAATACAATATTTACAAATTTGCATAAGCTTCAAATGTGTAGCAAAAGCCGGATTATTTTCTCGTTAAGTGTCGATGATTCAGTTAGCTTGTAGCACCTGAGCGAGATCATCTCTGTGAGCACAAAAACATTAAATAAAACACATCTATGTACATCTTAAAGCATTCCATCCTATTAGCATTTCTATTTACAGTACAATCAAAGTTTTTTAAAGGTACAGCTCTCACTCATTTATCACAATACTGAAAATGCACCGCATTATATTGTCAAAATAATGAAACGACAACAAAAACAGGCTATAAAATACTCAAATGTACAGTGTTTCAATGTAAGTAAAAGTTCACATATTCTGATTTTTTTTAGTCATATTTCGAGTTATTGATGTAATGACATCATTATGGTGGTTTAGGCAACTTTGGATCCTCTTAGTGAAAACCTGAGTATTTCATCCACTAAAGCTGGAGTGAAGCTAAAGCAGCTCAGCCTGCTCCATGCGATGCAAACATCCAGTGGTTTGCTGATTATAATCAAGCACAGAAAAGATGAAATCAGGCGTACAGAGAGTGTCTTTGGCTCTGAGGAGACTGGAGGGCTCCCGTTAATATGACCCGGTGCTCAAAGCACCAAAAGGAGAATCTGATAGTGATTGCAAACAACGAAATTTTTAAAAAAAGCCAATGTATAAAACTGCATTTTCCTGTTAAAGCACTGAGGTGTCTGCGAGTATCTTCCATCTGACCGATGAAGGCGGTCCAGCTGCGTCAGTCGGCCATTTCCTCCTTTGAATAGTCCCGAGATTTTCTCTTGAAGAAGCCCAGCTAAAAAGCAGACAACCATGTTATCAGTTAGAATATTTCTGTTCCATTGGAACAGTCTCTCTGGTGGAAAACACAACTTGTCTGGCCTAATGGAGCATTCATGTAACCCGGGTAAATTTCTCTAAAAGGTGGAGCAGGAGAGGTTTTTCTGGAGCATTCTCTGCCATATTGTGTGAAACGCACCTCACTAATTCATGGTAATATTATAACCTCTGAAAGGTCAAATCCTGAACAAACCTCCTCCAATCATTGTAAAGGTCCCATTCTTAATTACTTGACCCTGATCCATCCATCGCATTGTCCTCTGATCATGTCTCCCCTTCTGTACACACCCCTCTATGTACACGAATCACGTCTTCTCCGCTTGGAGCAGCTGAACAGGAAGCAAAGTTGGAGTCAGGCTAGCTATGATAGCTACCATGCTATATTTTAATGGAGGGGGTAATAAGCCACATCCTTCCCACTGGACCTTTGATTGAGATCCCCGTGGCTTCTCTCTCTTAAACCTTCAGTGTTTGCTGTCCAGAGAACTCCCGACTGGCACCCTGTATGAGGAGTCTGTCAGAAGCCTGGAGGCTGTTACGTATGTGCACTGCGTTAAGAATTATGACAGAAACGGTACACACTACCAGCACTTTAAATGGTAGCTTTCGGCATGCAGGACTGTTTTCTAGCGCATGGTTGGTGTGGACTGGTAGTCTTTACGGTCATTTATCAGTCAAAAACTGAATTTACTCACTCTTCAAGTGAACAACAGTTGTCTGCATTCCCCCCATTCAGTTAACGGAGGTAGTATGGGGTCACACACACACACACACACACACACACACACACACGCACGCACGCACGCACGCACGCACGCACGCACACACACACACACACACACACACACACACACACACAGCAGAGATTTCTCCCACCCCTCTACCTCCCCCTGACGTACTGGCACTTATTCTTTTCCACTGCATCTACTCCACCGTTAAATGAGATTTCCTGCTTTAAAAATAAAAGTTGCTTTAATTGATGAATGTTTTCTCCAAAAATATAATTTACGCAAATTCTAAGTATGAGAACTAAGAGACAGAAGATTTTACCCTCCAGAGAATGAAGATGACGAGTGCTAGGATCAGAAGTCCGATCAGGATGCTGACAATGATGATCCAGATGGGGATTCCTCCAACGGTCTCTTTTGAAACCTGAATCTTGACCTAACCAGAACAAGTAAACACAATCCCAAAAATCAAACACACACACACATCTACACACATGATATTGTCTCGTTGATTATTCAAATTGTACGTGTAAGAATCCAACACAGAAACAGTTAAACGTACATTTCTCCTGTTGTTGTTGCTGCTTAGTTCAATCAGCCGTTCGTTTTCAATCCTCAGCGTGCCGTTCACCATCAAGTACAAACGGGAAAAGGCACTCTGTAAGATAATACATTTTTAAATATTTAAATTCATGTTAATCCAGCTGATAGTTTATTTCATTCTGCTGCTTTTCACCCAAAACATCAGCGGACTCAAGGACCCAGACAAAAATACTTTCATTTCCTTGAATTACCTCAATGAACGTAGGTTTCCACACTCTGAAAGTAACGTTGACTTGACTCGTATTGGTCTCGGGGATGGAGCATTTAAAGGATGCACACTCTGTTTCTCCACACATCTGCAGAGAAAGTTGGTCAGCAGGACACAGAAAGAGCTCAGCAGCGTTTGAAACACAAAGCTCACAACTTACTAGTAAATAATCGCTGAGAGTTTCCTTTTTTGGTTTGAGTGGTTTAATGGCTGGGTTGATTTTATCTGGGTTGATCCGAGGCGATGAGCGGCAGTTTACCTGCAGAACAGTTAGAGACAAACATGAGCTGCTTGCTCCAACACACACATTTTACACGTGTGTGTGTGTGTGTGTGTGTGTGTGTGTGTGTACCCCTGGGCTGGTGGAGGAATAGATCAGTTCCAGTAACTTGTTCTTCATAGGAGACAGATGAGGGTACATCACTGTTAGGAGAAGAGGTGGAGTCAAAATATCCCCTGACTTCTCCACCTGAGGACACAGAAAAAAGAGGCTTAGAAGGTAGAATTAAGTGTAACTAACCAGACATCCTACATATACATGGAAAAAAAAAAATATATATATATATCGTTTGTAATTGTGTGTTACCGTGTAGGTGAGGTTGATCTCCTCCCATGTTATTCCAGAGACATTGTTTTTCAAGGCGTACTGGTCACTGTCTTTGACCACTATGTGCTCATCCACACGATTACTGAAAGAAACATAGTTTTCTGAGCTTACATCAATACTTTATATAGTTCAGTGCAGATTATCCACAAACGAGCAGCCATCAATAGTTACTCTCATGCTTTGGTCTCTCCAGAGTTTCATTTGTATTCAGACACAAATAAAAAAACTGAAAATGAAACAGAAAAGCTGATACATTTTCTGATTATTATGCAGAAAGTTCTTTAGAAGGGTGTGTTACAAAATGTTCAGAGAACTTCGTTAGTTTTATCCGACTGCAGACAGGATGACACGCCCATATTGGTAACAGGTTCATTCTCCACTAGGCAAGCATCATCTGTTGCCATTTTTAAAAAGCTACTGAAGACTTATTTATACTCAACAGCTTTTAGTATTCATAGTTGACTTAGTAGTCCTGCTTTCGGCCATTTCTTATGTCTGATTTTTAATGTTTTAAGTTTATTTTTTATGTTTTATTATGTTTTTACTTGACTGCTTATATTTTTCTTTTTTTTATATGTTTATGTTCAGCGCTTTGGGCAACATTGTTGCATTTAAAGTGCTTTACAAATAAACCTGATTTGATTTGGTTCATTCATGGCCAACCTGGGTTCTCATGTCACTTCTCTTGTTCGCTCTTCCTTCTTCCATCTCCATCACCCCGCTTCTCCTCCAGCTTCACTGGCTGCCAGTCCACTTCAAAGTTCATTTCAAGATCCTGGTTCTGGGGTCTCATTTATCAAACACTGCATAGAATCCTTACTAAAACCGTACTTAAGCTCAGCAAAAAATGTACTTACGCCAAGTAGGTCTGTGATCTATCAAACATGGAGTACACACAGCTGCACGCAATCTCCGCTTCATAAATCGGAGACTAATGAGAATGTTTCTCAGCTGCTTTTTAGTCACATCCTGCCCTCACCACACCCACTTACTGCCATAAATAGTCAATGCAAAGTGCCTTGTGGATCTCATGCATATACATAAGCTGGCTGTTGCAGCGCTCCGCCAATGACATGGCGACCGACGTAGAGCAAGGCAGATCAAGGAAGTGCAATTTCACAGAAGCAGAAATTCAGGTACCTGGGGGTGAGGTGGAGAAATGAAAGAAAGTGCTTTTGCAAAACAAATAAGAGAAAATCCACGGAGTGGCACAGCGTTGCTGAAGCCGTCAATGTTGTGAGTTCTTCAGAGAGATCTGTGGCGGATATGAAAAAAAAAAGGTCTAATTGGGATTCGATCCCCAGACTCCCCGGTGAAAGTCACGCGTGCTAACCAGTCAGCCAAACAGAGATCTCCCCTGTACAACTAGCCAGGGTGCATGATCAATCGGGTCACAGTGACAGGACACACACACTGTCACAGACGCATGACATTCTGTCTCAATCTGTCCCCCTACTGATATTCAGCATTCCATATTCTGCGCTTCAGGCTGTGTGTGTGTGTGTGTTTGAGTGAGTGTGCACGCATGTGTGTGTGTGTGGGGGGGTCTTGTTCTGTGTGAAAACGAAGCAGTACAAGTGATAATGCTGCAGGATTTCATAATTTTATGCTTCTCGGCAGCAGCACTGCAGGTGCTCTCCATGTTCAAAATGTGCGTAAGCCAGGTCCTTAGTCAACTTAAAGTTGCGCACATTTTTCTGCAAAGTTTTCTTTCATGAATCCCAAAGTATGCGTGGAAAATTGCTTACGCAGTTTTCCGACCCCGTTTTGTGCATAAGCAAGCTTGATAAATGAGGCCCCAGGTCTTTAGGGCCTTACATGGACAAACACCACCATAAATTGATGATCTTCTTAGTCCCTACACCCCCAGCAGGTCAGCTTGCTTCTCACACCAAACCTTCTGTCAGGAATCTTGGCGTGACCTTTGACCCAGCTCTCACCCTGGATTCTCATGTCAGTTCTCTTGTTCGCTCTTCCTTCTTCCATCTCAGGAACATTGCTAAGCTGGGTCACATTCTTTCTCGCTCTGAACTTGAGACAGTTCTCCACACCTTCATCTCCTCACGCTTAGACTACTGTAACTCTCTTTTCACGTGTCTGAGCAGAACCTCCCTGAACCGTCTACAGGTGGTTCAGAATGCCTGTGCTCGGCTTCTGTCCAAGTCCTCCAAACACACCCACATCACCCCGCTTCTCCTCCAGCTTCACTGGCTGCCAGTCAACTTCAGGGTTCATTTCAAGATCCTGGTTCTGGTCTATAGGGCCTTACATGGACAAGCACCATCTTACATTGGTGATCTTCTTAGTCCCTACACCCCCAGCAGGTCCCTGAGGTCCAGTGATCAAAGCCTACTGGTTGTGCAGCACCAGGCTAAAGACCAAAGGTGACAGATCATTTGCTGCTGTGGCCCCCAGACTCTGGAACTCTCTCCCCCTGAGCCTGAGATCAGTGGACTCAGTGGTCTCCTTCAAAAAGCAGCTGAAACCTCACCTGTTCAGGCTGGCTTTGATGTGACCATCATCACCCTCTCCTTATTCTCCTATTTCTATTCTACCTTTCTCGCGCACTCCGTCCCATAGCGCTCCTCTGTGACAGCGGGGGCGGGGGTGGGGTGGTTGTATACGTTCCGCTGCTGTTTCTCACCAGTATCAGCTGATGGAGGGCTCTAGTTTCGTTGCGCCGTTCATGTCAGCGGACACGGTAGGGGCGGGGAGGGGGGCGGGGCATGACACTTAGCCTGGCGGGTGGGTAAGCAATGCCTGGCAGGCCGCCAGGCTTACAAAGCGCTGGGGGAAATCCTGGATACAATACGATACGATACGATACCTTACCCTCATCTTAGTTTAAAATTGCTTTTCAGTCCATCGGTCAAAGCGTGCCCTCCATTATTAATGCTTCTCTGGTTTCTGGTCAGGTCTCTACTTACTTTAAGAACGCTGCAATTCTTAAAAAACCAAGTCTTGACCCCTCTCTCCATAGCAGCTTCAGACCCATCTCTAAACTTCCGTTCATCTCCAAGATCTTGGAAAAGGTTGTGGCTAAACAACTCACAGCTGCTCTTGATGAACATAACATCTATGATAGCTTCCAGTCAGGTTTTTGTAGAGCTCATTCTACTGAAACCGCTTTCTTAGAGTCTCTAAGGACCTTCTTACCCACAGTGATGCAGGGGACTGTTCTGTTCTGGTCCTGCTGGACCTGACTGCAGCCTTTGACACTGTTGACCATCACCTGCTACTGGAGAGGCTGAGAGACTGGGTAGGCCTATCAGGAACTGCTCTGGAGTGGTTCTCCTCTTATCTCTCTGAGCGCTCCTTCTCTGTGGCCGTCTCCAAGTTTAGGTCCTCCACCACCTCCCTCACCCATGGTGTCCCACAAGGTTCTGTGCTGGGACCTCTGCTCTTCCTCCTCTATCTGTTTCCTCTGTGGCACATTCTGAGCTCCTTTAGAGAAATCTCCTACCATCTTTATGCAGATGACATCCAACTGTACATCTCCTTTAAGCCCCATGAGATGTCTAAGCTGCAGCTGTTACACTCCTGCTTAGACTCTATCAAAACCTGGATGGCTGGGAGCTTTCTTCAGCTGAATGAAGATAAGACTGAGATCCTCATCTGTGCCCCAGACAAGCTGGTTCCCAAAGTCAGAGACTCTCTTGGTCAGCTTGCTTCTCACACCAAACCCGTCAGGAATTTTGGCGTGACCTTTGACCCAGCTCTCACACTGGATTCTCATGTAATTTCTCTTGTTCGCTCTTCCTTCTTCCATCTCAGGAACATTGCAAAGCTGAGTCCCATTCTGTCCTGTTCTGAACTTGAGACAGTTCTCCACACCTTCATCTCCTCACGCTTAGACTACTGTAACTCTCTTTTCACGTGTCTGAGCAAAACCTCCCTGAACCGTCTACAGGTGGTTCAGAATGCCTGTGCTCGACTTCTGACCAAGTCCTCCAAATATACCCACATCAACCCACATCTTCTCCAGCTTCATTGGCTGCCAGTCAACTTCAGGGTTCATTTCAAGATCCTGGTTCTGGTCTATAGGGCCTTACATGGACAAGCACCATCTTACATTGGTGATCTTCTTAGTCCCTACACCCCCAGCAGGTCCCTGAGGTCCAGTGATCAAAGCCTACTGGTTGTGCAGCACCAGGCTAAAGACCAAAGGTGACAGATCATTTGCTGCTGTGGCCCCCAGACTCTGGAACTCTCTCCCCCTGAGCCTGAGATCAGTGGACTCAGTGAACTTCTTCAAAAAGCAGCTGAAGTCTCACTTGTTCAAGCTAGCTTTTGTATGACCTTCTTCACCACTCTCTCTTTATTCTGCTCTCTCCACCACCTTCCTAATGATCCACTGATTTCCCTCTTTCCTGTTCACTCTCTCTCTTTCTTAACATTTTTTCTTTTAAATCGCAAAAGCTTATTCTTGCTAATTTTAAATATATTTTAAACATTTTCGAAATGCTTTTTTATATTTTTACAATTTTTTTTATTTTTTGTTTTTGTGAAGCGCCTCGTGATTTTTATCTTGAGAGGCGCTATAGAAATGATATTTTCTTCTCCTACGATACGATATGACGTAACTCACACACTGAATAGGACTCCAGCTTCATACTTGACAGGGATGGAGATTTCTACTCTGTTGTCAGATGGTGACTGTTCTTCACTGTCACTGGAAAATCAAAGCAACACAAAAATAATCAAATGTGACTTGTCTTTCTGTGTTAATGTTTTTTTTAATACAAACTCAGATAAAACCTCACTGACTGACTCACTCACCTCATAGCTGTCAGGTTTATTTGGATTTTCTCCTGAATGTGGCTGGCATTTGTCTCAAATCTCACTGTGAAGTGTTCCTGTTCATGTAAAATTACATTAATATTTTCAGTAGTCGTTATGAAAACAGCACAAAATGATGCAGAAAGTTAATTTGGTGTTTGACTCTTGCCACAAGCAGCTGGAACTAACCTCAACATTTTGCCCCAGGAAAGGATATCGAACGGCACACTCCACTGTCATATTAGACAGAATGCACTCCTTCTTTGGCTGAGATTTCAAAATAAAACGTCATCACATGTGGTGTTTAACATATGCTATGGATGCAGACTGGAGGGAAACAGAAATCTCACCTCTACTTTAACATAATTGATGTTTGGTGTGAAGCTGATGTTCACTTTGGAGTTGTAGGCGCTGTCTCTGCTGTTCCTCACACTGATTTTCACATCAATTTTGTCTTTTGCCTTAGCTTTGATCAACATACTGGGAGAAAATACATTCTGTCAGTGTAGCTGTAGAGAGCATGTCTCTCCACAAGGGTGCGGTCTTCCTCTGCGGGGCTGTGCTGTGCATGACTTTGCGATCAAGTAGAACAATACACTACAGGCAAGTTAGATAAAAGAAATAAAAGCATGCAAATCAGTGTAAGATTATTTCAAACAAATTAATAACTGAGGGATGAGTGTATCTATGTGTTATACTGTATTTGAACCATGGCTTTAAGATGCGTTTAAGTTTAGAAATTTATATTATACACTTTAATTCTCACTATTTCACCTCAAGCTCATTTAGTCTAAAAATTCATTAATTCAATTCAGTTACTTTATATAGCGCCAAATAAAATCAAGAGCAGACCCTGAAAAAAATACATTTCTATTGAACCTATCAGTGCACTGAGGTCAGTTCATTAAAAGTTTCCTGTGTAAGAAAACCCAGCAGTTTGCACTGAGTCACTGACTTGTTGTGTCAGTGACTTTTCAGTAATTATAAAAGAACAAAAGAATACCCCTCATCAGCTTTAAAACACATGAAAGTGCATTTCGGGGCTGATCGAGTTTACCTTTTCACACTCGGCTCTGCTTTGAGAGAGAGCTCACTAACACACTTTCCATCAGTCCCACAGTCCATCAAAGGAATCTGCAAAAGAGGAGAAGAATAAATGTTAAATATTTTTTCATTCAAAAAGAGCAATTAAATGTTTAGGTTCAATTTTAAATATTCAGAATGTTCAGCATGAACAAAAACACAAGAACAAATTCAGACAAATTCAGACCTGGACCAACGTTATGCTGCAAATGTTTAGTGTCACATTTTTGTTCCATTCACAACCAATCTGATCAAATATGAGAGCAAGACCAATAAATCATTTTAAAAGCTGAAAGTTTAAACTCTTAAACTCCATCCATCTATGCATCCATCCATCCAGTCTGCAAAGTCAAAAACCTACCTATTTCTTTTTTAAATTATGTGATCATTAGTAGAGAAGTTAAAGGGGACCTAGAATGCAGTTAAGCAGCAATCTAAAACTGGTATTTTAGCCTGGTGTGTGTGTGTGTGTGTGTATTTTGGGGGTCTAAAGAGACACATGAAAGCAGAAACTAAACTACATTCAGGGTTAGGGTTAGTAAGCCTTATATAAAATTGATTAATGGATTAATCTTTTAACAAAAATGCTTTAAAAGCAATTATATTTGCACTACAAATAAATTATTTGAATTTATTTATATTTCTGCATCCTGGCACATGTTCTGTGTTAAATTCTGCATACATGTTGTGATTTTGTATACTGTTCGTTTGTTCAATAAAGTTCTGATAGGAAAAAAAAATCTCCCCACTGAAGCTGTGAGACAAGAATGAGTGTGTGGCAAAGACAAGCTGCTTGTATAAGTTTGCAGAAAGGTTTCAGACTAAAGCCTGGTTCATGCTTCTCCATCAGCTCCGCAAGGGACAGACACGCACAGATTGACGGAAGCGTTTTGCTCTTTTACTTCTCCGTCTCCTGGGTAGTGTTGCAAAGCAATTGCCCGGCAGGACAACAGAGGGCGTAGCGCTGTTCTGTGGTATCCTGTCATGTATCGGTCCAAGATGGTGTGTTTATATTGTGGTTTTTTTATATAAGAGATTTTTAACACAGACATATTTGTCTCTCATTCTCCTCCACCTCTTCATGAGCTCGCCACCTCTAAACCCACGTTTCCTGTCATTTCCGTCCACAAGTAAAACGCTTGCTGCGCATCTTTTCACTCCTCCAGTCACGGGAGAATTAAACGTTCATATTTTTAGAGTTTTTTCACGAGGTATTCTTCAAGCTTCTCCGTGTCTGCCGCTAGTTATCCTCGGCTCTCTTTGCAATGGCAGCGCTGTAAACAACAGCGGCGTCCTGACCAATCACAAGCTTGCATAATCCGTCTCGTTCGACGGATGTTTAAAAAAGTGGGCTCGACTCCGTACGTACTTGCGTGCCTGCCGGAGCCCTACGCAAGGACGGATAATGGCATTGCGTGTCTCCACACTGACGCAGATGGAGAAGCATAAATCAGGCTTAACAGTGAAGAAAAGTACCGGACCACAAGCTGTGGATCTATGTGACATTCACTTATTGTCTGGATTTTACCACTATATCTTGGAGTGGAGTGGTGAGTGCTTGTTTTCTGTTTTTCAACAAGGCTGTTGCTAGCTGAAGTTAGCAGCTAGCTGATGCTAACAGAGGCCCAGCTTAAAGTGGCTCTGCGGTGGCGTAGCAGTGACTAGCGTTTAAATTTTGCTGACGCTGAAGTGGGTTAGAACATGTAACTGTAGCAGGAGTGGTTACCTTGTGACATTACGAAGTTAAGCCTGATTTATACTTCTCCATGAGCTCTGCAATGGAGACACGCACACGGAGTGTCGGAAAGGTTTTCACAATCGAACTTCTGTTCAGGCTGCATAGTGTTGCAAAGCAATTCCCCGCCAGGACAACAGAGGGCGTAGCTCTGTTCTGTGGTATCCTGCCAGCATAACACTCATGTATCCGGTCCACGATAGTGCATTTACTAATGTGTTGATATATTTCAGAGACTGTAACACTTACAAATTTGTCCTTCATTTTCCTTCACCTCTTCATGTGGTCACCACCTCTAAACCCACATTTCCCGTCGTTTTTGTTTCCGTTTGCTCCGTACTTTGAACTCCTTCAGTCACAGGTGAATAAATGTTATTATTTTCTGACTTTTTCCACGAAGCATACTTCAATCTGTTCTGGGTCTGCCGCTAAATATCTGTCTACTTTATAACGGAGCTAAAGCGGTGCTGGTGACGAATATACAGGAAGCGGCGTCCTGACCAATCACAAGCTTGCAGTGGTCACAAGCTTGCAGTCTCCGTCACTTTCGATAGATGTTTAAAAATGTGAGCATGTCTCCGTCACCCTCGGTGAGCCCGTCAGAGATCCCTTGCGCCGACGCATAATGGCGTTGCGTTTCTCCGCACCAACGCAGACGGACAAGTATAAATTAGGCTTAAGCTTGCACCGAAAAGGAGCTTTTCTCTCACCTTTTTCAACTTTTTAATTTACATAAAAAGTAGGTCACACACAGGTTTGACTTTTCGGCATGCTACTTTTGACCACCCAAGCGATCTTCATTCAACAAAAACAAGGAAAATGTCTGTTTACATTCTAGGTCCTCTTTAACACTATTCTATATAGTTTCTGTCATTTATAGCCTGGCAAGCCAGACTAAATAAATGTATTATTTAGTCTGGCCATGCTCCATTGACGGCTCTCGGTTGTGGGGTGGGTTCTACCGTTGTCTTTCAAATGATCCCTGCATTCCACTGGACAATGAATGTGACATACTCTTGTTTCACTCTGTTGCAGCATCCCACCCACCAGGCATATAGAGTGCCCTGATTGGCCCACAAAGCGGATAAAGCTCTGTGATTTGTTCACTAAGCAGATAGAGCACTATGATTGGCCCACCATTATGGACCAATCACAGCTGTTTATGTATTTGAAACCCCTCTAGAGAGCTGTGATTGGCTAGCCAGAGTCCTGGTAGGAGCTGCGGAGGTTCCAATGGAGCGTGCCTAGACCAAACTTTGCAAAGCAAGAATTTGGTCTAGTTCACTAGGCTATGTCATTTAAGCTTTATTTGGTTATTTGTAGTTTTATGCATTCCTACTAATGTAATGAAATAATTATACAATTATTGTTTCAATTGATTGTATTCCTAAAGTGATTTATTTTTCTTGAAAGGAGACACATTAGGACTTTTGTCATAAAATTTCTATGGTCGATACAAAACATTTTTATAAAATTTTTTGCAGAAAATACCTCTCATGTAAAGATATTTCAGTAGTTTTATTCTTGACATTTTCAGTACCTTCCAGAATTTCAGAGCTTTAAGAAAACTAGCTTGAGCTGGCCATGCCCACGCATACCCCACTCAGGCTGCTATAAGCTAAGAAGCTCCCATATGTAGGAGGGATTCACAGTAGAGCTGTTTCTCCAGCCGCTGCTCTCTTTTGCACTTGAGATGTGGTTCTATTCTAATTTCCCAGTTTGTGACATCACAAAAGGGGACTTTTGAAGCAGCCTATTTTAGGCACATAACTTCCAAAACCAAACACTGACAGAAAATTAATGGATAGATTTTTTCATGTTTGGAGTGTCTCTAGAGCAGGGTTATTCAATTCCAGGCCTCAAGGGCCGGTATCCAGCACGTTTTAGGCCCTGTCCACACGGAGCCGGGGATCTGCCAAAACGTAGAAGTGGAATTACTGCTCCTTGCGGAAGACCACAGACGAAGGACGAGGTTAAGAACGGGGGAAGTACTGCCGCCTACAGGTCTGACATGTCCTTAACAACGTATTTATCCAGGTGCGTGTGGACAGAGTTTTTTTTTAAAACGAGGTGGTGTGGATGCAAGTTTTTGGAGGGGCGGATATTCGTTTTTTTTAAAAAAACCAGCTACGTGTGGACTAGGCCTTAGTTTTAACCCTGCTTCAACACACCTGATTTCAATCAGCAGGTGATTAACAGGCTTCTGCAGAGCCTGATGAGCTGCTGCACAGGTGACTCAACCACTGAACCAAATGTGCTGGAGCAGAGAAACCACTAAAACGTGTTGGATACCGGCCCTCGAGGACCAAACTTGAATAACCCTGCTCTAGAGGCAGAAGAGGCCCACATGGCAGCACAGAAGAATGCAAAAATTAAGTTTTGTGTAATATGTCCCCTTTAAATGGTTTTAAAGAAATCGAGAAATGTATTTTTACCCTCGTGCATTTAGCTGAACAGTGTTTCATTTGCCTTTAATAAGGGTTGGTTCCACTCTTGATGGGATTAATTTTAAGTGTTTTTACCCCCTCAGACACAAAACTGTCATCTGCAGCATGCTGTCAAAAGAAAACTGCTTCCGTTTTACGACTTCCCCCTTCTGTGAGCCCTCTGTCTCTTCGTCTCAATAACAATAACAGGAAAAGTAAAAAACATGCCCCCTTGCTCGAGTGCACTTAGCTGCTCCTCTCACACCAACGGGTCTCAGTGCTGAAGCTTTAAGGGTTAACACCAGCACATGCTGTGTGGGTGCATTTCCACAAGTATTCAGGGCTTTACTGGTGCGTTGATGAAGCTGTGCCTCCTGTGATTGTTCATGTGATTGGTTTTCTGGAAACCTCACTCAGTGCTACAATTATCAAAAAGAAGCCTGTTGTTGGAGCAGATAAACATGTGGGAGTGTGGGAAGATTGTCCTGGCTGTTCATGTCAGCTCAGAGAAACACTGAAGGATGGCAGTCAGCTGTTGCAAACACTAATGTAGTGTGACGGCAAATAGTTAGGAGCCAAATTGGAAAGAAAAAACACTTCTGCTGGTTTCTACAGACAGATGCACGAAGAGGATCAAGTCTGCACTAAAGGCATATTCTTACTGAACAGCTCTAAATCACGTCAAAAAATTTAAAGATTTTACAGCAGCTGTTCCTTAACCTTTCATCTTCAAACTCCTCAAAAATACAAACTCAAAAGTTTAAAATAAAAAGTGAAAGGTTGAATCCTTGAGGGAATAAATAAATTAGTGCTGGTTTATAACTTTAGCGGAGATCTGAGGCATGACCCAGACTGCTTTACTAAATTAAAAATAACTTCATGGACAAAATGAGAACACAAACAGCCTCAACAACTATTATAGTGTTCTATTAGATTAGCCCTGCTGTTATAATTTCTTGTAATATTAATGTCAACAAAACGCCAGTAGAAATCATTTTGAATTTCATAAGATTTCTGTCTATATTTTATTTCCACAACCCACGGAGGAGTTCTACCCAAACTGGAAACAACTGCATTATACAGTAAGCTATAATCTTAATAATTTGTAAGGCACCAGGCATTGTAGGAAATAAAACAAATACAAGTTTATGTTAACTTTAAAATGTTTTAGGTGCTGATACAGAAAATAAACTTGAATGCAGCTGCTACCCATCTCTGATTCCGAAGCAACAATTTAACAATCTAGACAAGTTGAATGTTCAAGAAAACTCATGATGACATTTGTCATCAAAATATAAAGAGTCAAAGGTAAAAGTATTTCAGATTCTAAAAAAATCTGCATGTACATATTTTAATCAATTTACCAACTGATAATCTTAGTTTGACAATCTCCTCAGTGGGGCCCCCCAGGGGTGGCTAGGGGGGCCATGGCCACTCCTGGCAAACTGTTGTTCAAACCACAAACTGTCTAGGGAAGACTCCGCCCCCATTCCCCGTAATAGTTTACATTCATGTTCACACAAACCATAATTTCATCTTCTTTAATCATGATCAAAATATTAAAGACCTAGTTCACTTGTTCTTTCAGTACATTGGAAGTGGTCTCTTGTTTAAGCGAATGCCTTGTGAAGCGATCTCTGAGGGAATAAAGCTCTGGTGCTCCTGTTTCAGGAACTAGAAGTTAGCTGGATGAGTAGGGAGCACAAAACAACAGGATTTGGGTCTTATTTCCTGATAGTGGGACATCTCACCTCTGGTTGGCTAGCAGCAATGCTCTCTCCTGCCTACTAAATAATAAACAGCCTTTTCCGTCATGAGCCAAGATGGGTGAGTTCATGAATGCTAATTTGAAGTGTTATGTAGATCTGACTGGTTTTTCTAATCTGAGCATTTCGCTGTTTATTTTCTTTTGGCGGCTAATGGTAAATGGCCTGTATTTGTATAGCTCCTTCGTAGGGTTCTACAACCCCCCCAAGGCGCTTTACAACACAATCAGTCATTCACTCATTCACACACACATTCACACACTGGTGGTGATGAGCTACAGTGTAGCCACAGCTGCCCTGGGGCGCACTGACACAGGCAAGGCTGCCGAACACTGGTCCAACTGACCACCACCAGCAGGCAAGTCGGGTTAAGTGTCTTGCCCAAGGACACAACAGCAACATTCTCTAGTCGGAGCCGGGATTGAACCTGCAACCTTCCAATTACTGGTCAACCCGCTCTACCTTCTGAGTTATTGCTGGCCCTGTTGACGCAGGAAACAGTCTGTATGTCAAACTCAAAGTGACCCATTGTGTTTAAAAAATAACAAGTCAAAAGTGGTTTCTCACTGAACTTGCTCTTTAAATACAACACATTCATTTATTTTAATGACATTTTGATAATTTATTTTAAAAAATCACAATTTAAAAAGTATTTCTGTGTCACCAAGGCTCACCATTTAAAAGTTTAGGTTTAAATACCAATAGACTTTTTACTGATTGGCAGAGGTGTGACCAAGTCACTGCTTTGCAAGTCACGAGTAAGTCACAAGTCTTTCCAGTCAAGTCTCGAGTTAAGTCCAAGTCAAAGACAACCAAGTCCAAGTCGAATCCAAAGTCAATGATCTGGAAGTCCAAGTCAAGTTCAAGTCCTTAACTTTGAATTTTCAAGTCATAATCAAGTCATCTGTCCAACTTCAATTTAATGACAATGATAATAAATGAATTCCAGAAACAAAGCTTCTTAAAGCTTCATTTATTTGCTCAAACAAGCAGGAAGTGCAACTGAAATAGATTATAAACAAAGAGCTGCTGCCTTTAGCAATAAATCAAACCCAGAACAAAGAATGATTTATGATTTTTGTCCATGTCGTGCCACTTTTGTGCTAAAATATCAAATATGCTCAAGTCATCATCAAGCCAACAGATGCAAGTCGATTTAAGTCGCAAAACATTGGCGTTCAAGTCCGAGTCAAGTCGTATGTCTTTATAGATTTTATCAAGTCAAGTCAGAAGTCATTAAAATAATGACTCGAGTCTGACTTGAGTCCAAGTCATGTGGCTCGAGTCCACATTTCTGCTTATTGGCTTAATGAATTGGAATGTTTACTGTGTGAAGTGCCTTGAGGCGACGCTTGTCGTGATTTGGTGCTATAAACTGAATTGAATTTTGTGGATATCACTGCTTTACACACTCTTGAGGAGCTTCAAGAGGTAGTCACCTGAAATGGGTTTCCAACAGTCTTGAAGGACTACCTCTTGAAGCTCATCAAGAGAATGCCAAGAGTGTGCAAAGCAGTAATCAGAGCAAAGGGTGGCTTTTTTTTAAAAAAAGAAAATAGAATATAAAACTTGTTTTCAGTTTTTTCACCTTTTTTGGTTAAGTACATAACTCCACATGTGCTCAATCATAGTTTTGATGCCTTCAGTGAGAATCTACCAATGTAATAAATGATCATGAAAATAAAGAAAACACACTGAATGAAACTTTTGGCCTGCACTGCATATATATTGTAGTTTCACTTGGATGTAGAATTATTACAGATGTGTAAGGAGAGTGGTCTTACGGTCTTATTGATGAATTTGGAGAGACTTCCATCCATTACTGGACCACTGTCCTCATCAGCTAATCCAAACTCCAAAGACACCAAGAAGGGGTCTTTGAAATCTGGCCGGTCCTGAAGTAAAGAAAAGATGAAAAAAAAAAATAAATAAACAGAGGAATTAATTAGAAAGCCAACTAGAAACAAGTGGCTAATTCTCTGCTTCCTTTGAATGAAGACTCTAGCCAAGAGATGACTTTTTGTCTGAAGTTCATCTGACATCTGCACTGGTGTCAGAAGACAACAAGAGTTGCTGTAAATATCAGAAATTTATGGCTCCAACCTGATTCTCCTCTACAGTCCTGATGGTGTAACAGAGGAGTAAATCCTGTAACTTTTAGGCCTCTTATTGGCAGCAATTCCCTGTTTGAACATCACTCCCCAAGTTATGGCTCTAGTGGACTTCAGCGTACGGTGTGTAAAAATGAAGCAACGTTGTCACAACGAGATCTCAGAGTGGTGCTTCAAACATCTTGTGGGATCTGAGACCCAAAGATTTAAGGGTGTTTGGAGAACAAACACTGGTTCTGGTCTATGCTAGCATGGTGTTTAAACTCAGTATGTACACAAAAGTTTACGGGTAAACCTCCCAACTCTTCACTCCAAACAAAAAACATCAACCCGATGAGAGAGCGAAGGTCAGACAATCGGGATTCATCCTCTGGGAACCGTGAATGTCGGCACAAATTTATGTGCTGGTTCATTTCACAGATGGTGAGACGATGAATTCACTTTTCAAGTTTGAGGGAGGCGCTCAGTTCTCACAGTTGTGGGCAGTCACCTGCTGAAAAATAAATAAATGAACCCCAGCTTGCTTCTTCTGTTTATATTTTTACGCCAGTTATTTGTAAAAAATAAAAAAATGTTGCTGAACAACTAAAATCATTGACCTGCTGCTTTTGAATTAGCAAAGTTTGTTTTTCTTAATTTTGCTTTTCTAACCAAGAGGAGCTGGGTGAACTTTCACTGGGTAAACAAATAACAACACCATGGTCTGTCATGGTATTCGCTCCCTCAGCAGTGTTGATCACAGCAAATCAAAATCAAACATGCCTCTGGTTGCTCATTAATATTCACGATAAGCAAAAGTCTAGCCACTGATTGGCTAACACCAATGAGACTTTTCCACTAGCTCGGTTCGGTTTTCTTTCTTGGGCAAATAAGATGACATGTTTTTATTGAACGTGTTCTGCCAACACGCCAACACATTCTCACAAACGAAGTGTAGAAAAATGTTGATGGGTGACCAAGCATTTCTTCCCGATGTGTTTGTTGGGAGCCCAAACGCGTCGGGAGGCGACGTGCTATGCCAGAGCGTCATTTTTCGATTGCTGCGGTAAAACGGAGATTTCACCCAATGTGACCTTTACCCTCTTGCTATTTAACCTTCCTCTCACCCCCACCCTAACCTTAACCCTCTTGCGCATGCAACACTTTGTTTCTACTTGTATCGTCCCTCTCAAACACGGTTAAGGGGAAATTTAGAATGAGAAACAGGGTTAAAGTTAGGATGGGGGTGAGGGAAGGGTCAAATAGCAAGAAGTTAAGAAGTTAAATGTCGGTGAAATGTGCGTTTTACGGCGGGCGTCACCTCCCAACACATCGGGACTCCCATCGGGTCGGAAACAAACGCTTGGTCACCCAGCGTCATTTTTTGACACTTCAGGTGTGAGAATGTGTTGGTTCTGACATGTTGTGGAGTTCCTATTGCTAATAATTAGCTCCTACTAGCTGAAACGTACTCTAATTTCTCCTGGCCTGAAATTCAATACAGCCTTCCGCAGTTGTAAGCCATGATGGGAGAGTCTGTGAATGAAAACATTTCCCTGTGACCTAGAAGAGACTGGCTTCTTCTCGCCCGACCGTTTACCCGTCTATTCTCTTTAGTGGCTGATGAAGGACACAGAGTTTGAAGATTACTTAATCTCCCTCCTCATTTATTCCCCCTTCTGAGACCCTATTACTCAGTTGTATTCTTCCCAGGTCATTTACATGGTACGTTAGGCGACACTGTAATCATCGTCTGTCTCTGTATTTGCTTTGGGATCACAATCCGGTCCAGGACCTACCCACGTTTGCCCGATTTCACCACAGAAACACTTCAGGGCATTGTACCTCCTCTGGATAATGACACACATTTACAGAATAGAAGCAGCACTTTGTGTCCGAGACAAATTTTCTGATCCTTCAAGGATCTGCTTTGGAATATGTGGCAAGCTTCTGCGGGCGAGAACAGAGCAGGTATTCATGATCACCCATGCACTAAAATAGCAGCTGTTTGCACTGATTAGTTCCTCTTTCTGTTGTCTAAGGACAGAGGATCAGTAAAATCCTCTGTGAAGGTCTGGAAAGGGAAAGCTCCGTTATATTAAAGGTTCAGTGATAACACGAAGCCTCACTTCCTCACTAACACAAACACCTATTTCATTTTCTTTGCTCATCTTCCGCCATTCCTCCACGTGTCCCAAGTTCAGATAATTTATCACCCAGAGGAGTGCACGGCTGAACTGTTCAGGCTTTGATCAGGATGTGTCTGTTTCATGTTAGAATAAAGGTCCTCCTGCTCTGGACAGGACAGCTTTGTCTTGTCTCCCCTACAACGAACAGCCCTCGGACAACATTAACATTTCACATGGACCTAAAATAAAACTGGCGTGAACAAACAGCAGAGAAATTTAAGCCACTAAGCTTATCTGAACTGAATTTTTGCCAAAGCTCAACCCATGTCATAAAAATCTGAGTACTTGCCGACATCATGAAGGTTTCATTTAGGCATTTCTTCTCTTTGTCTTTGATGTTGAGGGTCATGGCAGACCTGCGCTCACTTTTAACCGACTCCAAGTCGATAAACGAAGCCCTGGCATTGGTGCGCAGGGCATCCAGAGTAACCGTGTAACGGATATCTAAATAAGACGAGCAAAACAGAGATCTGAGTGGTAAAAACTCAACAATTAGAGAGTGAACTGGACTTCTGGGACCAGAAATTTGAACGGGAGGTGTGTAGTTGACCTGCGGCAGAATTAGGGTCCTTCTGGTGAGATTTTACAAGGTAGTGGAAACAGAATGTGGTGGTCACACACACAGATTTGTGTCCTCGATGTGTACACTGGTACTGGGACTGCTGCAGGTTTATTTTAACAGGGTCAAAGGTCATGTTGGCATACAGCTCTGCAACATCTCTGGTCCTGGGGAAGAGGAGAAAACACATTTCTTCTAGCAGCTTTTCTCTCCAGTCGGCATAACAACTGTACTAAACTATACTGTGAAATAGGGAATAAAGTGTTAACATGCAATTCATCACATGTGCATTAAAGTCAAAGGTTGTATTTCTGCATTATAAATATTATTGCATGTGTGCATTTTTCTTTAAAAAAGCAAAAGTTCTGCATTGTGAGCCATGCAGCTCGGCTTCATCTCTCAGTCCAGGAAGTTCCAAATGATTTTTAGCTGCTTCGTCTCTTGGGAAATGGAGTTTTCACACAGTTTGAGTGGAGCTCCTGCCAGTAAAAGCCATAGGAGACGGTCTGGCTGAGATATTAAATCACTGTGTGGGCTGGCGCTTCAGAAGATTGTGAGTTGATTCAGCATTCTGCCGCCCAACAGAGAACTAGGCGGAAGTTTTAACACAGAGATCATTAGGAAGCTGTTTGTCTTCAGCGTACAAGCCCAGTGGGACACGTCCAGCTGTCCAAACCCAAATGAGACAATGCACAGTGGAAGTATAAGATGATGAATACACAGGACAAGCCCTGCTGCTGGAGTGGAATGTAAGAAAATGTTTATACTGTATGCGAGGATCAGCCCACTCACCAGAACAGCGAAGCCCCTCCTAGGCCTCCTATGGTCACATCAGTGATCCCATCTCCATTTAGATCCATCACTCCATGTATGGACTGACCAAAGAACTTCATCTTTTCTCCATCGCCACCTGCAGGAATGTGCTGCAGAGACACCAGAGCAAAGCAGAGCAAGTTAAAGAGATGGTACGATGCTTGAACCATGACATACCTCTTGATTCTGACCTGAACAAACTTCTTTTTCAGTGATTTCCTATCTCCATGGTAGATGTAGACAGCACCTCGGTGGTCATTCTCAAACGGAGCACCAATCACCACATCATTGAACCCATCAAGGTTCAGATCTGACACTGCTGCTATGGCTGTGCCAAACCGAGCTCCACATGGTTCATTTTTATTGGTGCAGCTGGCTGAGTGGGCGGTACAACACGACTGCTTCACAGGTTTCAAAGTAAACGTGAGCACAAAACGCCCTTTCTGAAAAATAAAGCCCATGAGAGATATCTCCACTGTTTTCAAAGCTAATTCAGTAAGGACATTGGAAACCAACAGCAAAAACCATGAACCATTTTCAGTGTTGTGTACCTGATCGAGCTTATAGACGTAGACTTGCCCCTGCTCATCTCTGTCTGAGCCCATGTACATTGGAGCTCCAACAAGAAGGAGGTCTGTGAAGGAATCCTTATCTACATCAACGGTCTGCAGGACGCTCCCGAAATAGGAACCAATCTGCAGAGACAAGCAAAAAATTGTCATTGGTAAAGGTTGAAATGGTTCAGTAACACTGTGACCAGTTCATGTCCAACACGGATACATTTACCTTTAACAGGTGAGGAGTGTACAGCCGGATCTTTGCTAGATTAAAAACATTTCTGTTTCTAATTGAGAACTTGTGGATTTCGGACCTGAGCACCTTAGAAGCTAATTGTGTAGTCATGTGTTTCCTCTGGAGAGCCCTGACTTGACCTTCAGGACAAATGTGTGGAACTTTATGGTTATTTCTCAGGGATTCCCAAAGTGTGATGCGCGCACCCCCGGGGGTGCGCAAGCTGCCGCTAGGGGGTGCGCGAGGTGAATAGTGTAATGGCTGCGGAGCTCAGAGAAGTCTGTCAGATGTCACCATTAGCGTAGCCAGAAACTCATTTGTGGGTGGGCCAAAGAAAAAGTAAGTGGGCCCAATAAATGTAATTGAAAACAAGTATATTTTTGCGTGTGTGTCCTCCGCATATGCCCTAACTTCATAATAATAATGCGCCGAGCTTCAGCACTCTGGCCTGCGCACACCAATATGTTCCGTATTTGATCATTTTTAACGGTGATGGAGGAATCTGAAGGTGAGTCATTCTGGCAGATTGTAATTAACACCCTGTCTCATGCAGGTGTTCTGACATTGTAAACCTCACACACAGAACATTGTGGATGTAACAAAATAAATCAAGAAATGATTCCCATTCAGGCTATCAACAGCGCGCTGAAGATCTGAAGTTCAGAGTGCGTCTGTCAGAGGTCAGACGCGTTCCAGCGGAATCACGGCTCACGGGTGCACAAGTGAGTACATCTGGGCTGAGCAGAAGTCATTTTACAACATTGGTTTAAATAGCGCCAATAACGAGACGCGGTGACTTAACGCTGCAAGTTGTGAAGCGCGTTCCATCCGCGAGCCGCATCACTAAGCGGAAAGTGAATGCATCAAGCATAAACCAAGCTACATGGAGCTGTGCCGCGTGCGCGCGCGCGCACACACACACACACACACACAGAGATTCAATAAGCGCGCACGCCGCGCAAACTCCGGCGCGCCGTCAGACTGAAGGCAGAAATTAGCGCTGCCTCCTCTGCGATAAAAACTTTTGATTTTATAACAACATTTTTAATTCAAGGTCAAATTAAGATATTAGCTTCTATTTTGGGATGACGTATTAAAGTCGGGTCCGCTCCAGCCAGTGACTCCGAACCTGAACTCATGTTACTGCAGCATTTGTTGTTCCAGTCCACATGGCAGCGGATCGCAGATTCAGCCACACCATAAAACAGCAATAAGTCGGTCTGAGGTAAAAGTGAACCTCATGGCTATATCTTGTCCCCTATAGACATTTGATTACGCACAAGTAGGTGTCCAGCTCAAGTTTACCTGGTCACACAGGTTAAACGTTCCTACTTTAAGAAAACCGTTAAATTGCATTGTTTATGTGCTACCTGGGCACTCTAAATATTTATTTAAAATTAAATCAAAGGAAATTGTAATGGTATCGAATGTTTATTAATTGCTATTTAAAAAATGAAAGTAATGGGGAAAAAGGTCGATCATATTTTTTAACCCTTTCTGTTTAGCTTGACGTCTGATATATATATATATATATATATATATATATATATATATATATATATATATATATATATATATATATATATTGCTATGCCCTGATGTGGGGGCTGGGGGGTGCGTCGACATGGACGGGACATAGAAGGGGGTGCGCGGCTAAATAAGTTTGGGAACCACTGTTCTAGACCAAGAGCTGCACTTTTACTCAAAAACTTGGTTCAGGTGATCCAGAATGCTGCTGCCAATGAGAATTGTGAGCAGATTTCTCCAACTTTACACTTCATAGATTCCTTGTAAGATCCAGAGTTCAGAGAGATCTTATTATTACATACACTGCAAAAATAAGTTTCTAAAACAGTAAAGCTATCTCTCAGTGGAGTAAGCAAAAGTTGCTTGGTTAAAATCCTTAAAGCAACAAAAGACAGTTTATGAGCTAGAGCTTTAACATTGATCTCAGTGACTGACATCCAGGTGCTGGTCCCAAAATTAGAATATCACGACAGAGTTAATTTATTTCAGTCATTCCATTCATTATATATTCTCATTATCTATATTAATATTAAAATGCATTGTTTAAATTTCTATATCTCTCAATCTTTTCCCTAACTGGAGGTTCACTCTCGGAATCAGCTGCACACGTTTGAGCATCTGGAAGCATTTATTGTGTAAGATGACAGAAAAACCTTCACCTGTTCTCCTTTCAGTATCTGCGAAACAACCACTCTGTCATTCTTCACTTGGTAAACAACAACTCGACCCGTGTGGTTGTACCGCGGTGCCCCGGAGATGTACAGCACTCCTTCAGGGGTGGATGCAGATTCAACATCATATCCTGAAGAAACAAACAAACAAACAAAATAATGGGAATTGTTTCTAATTCATCATGTCAATATAAAACCCACACTCTGGCTTTCCATGTGGGCTATTTAAAAATCCTGCTTTTTGCTTCTGTTCATGTCTGCTTTTGTGGAGGAAACTGTAACACGCTGGTGGAAATTGGAACACACACCTCTGACATCTGCAGTCTAGCCTTCTGGTCCCACTATGAGCCAACAGCAGAATTTACAGTTCGTGGACCTTCCAGCAGTCCCTCTAATGACATGTTGATTACATAAATTGATATTAAGATGCTGTGGTTGCTTTAGGAGCCATAAAAGGCAGCGAGACAGAGAGAAGAGACCATATTCATCATTTGTGCCACCAGAACTCCTGTCTGAGTCAGAAAAAGTACACATCTCTCTCCTCTTCACAGCAAAAACTCCACATTTGCTCTGCAGCTGCATTATTTTACTGAATCCCTTAAAGGATGTGACTCTGCTTTCTTTTTCAATTTAAGTTATCAAAAATGAAGAAAGTTACTGAAATACCAGCTGAGGAGAAAAAGGAGTTGTAGTCATTTTGATTAAAATGCTATTAAGGTATTATCATCATTTGTAATTATTAAACAGTGTGTTGAGTCAGTCTTCTATTTATGACAAAGCTGATCTCCTGAAAAACTCACCGAGGTACCCGGCTAGACCTTCGTACCCAGCCTCTGATTTTGGATCGTAGAATTGAGTGTTTTCTGGAATCACTGTTTCAGTAGCAGTTTGCACGATTACTGTCCCGTTCCAGTCATACGCTCCAACTGCTCCCAGTAACACACCGTCCTACGAGAGACGACACAACAAACATGTGTCAGAGCACCTGAACATCTGATTGGAACCAAGAACAACTGAAGTGACGACCTTTTGTCTCAGACTCAGGACCTCGTAAAACCAAACGTATGATGATATGATACACATAATCCTAAAAATGCCGCCTCTTTAACAGGATTTGTACTTTCCACAAAAACCTGCTGTACTTTTTATTTATTTATAGCTTTAACCATGAAGATCCCATTGAGATTAAAAACCTCTTTTACAAAGGAGATCTGGCTAGGACAGGCAGCAGCAATGTATCTTGCACAGTTAATTAAACACAGCTGAAATATTAAATTAAAAAAGTTAATAAAGACAATAAAATGTTAAATAAAACTATTGCATCTCATGAAGTTGACCTAAATTTACATTTTTATGTATTTTTTTGCTGTTATCTTGTTAAAAAACAAACTATCATTCAACATTTTTTAAAAGGCTAAATGTTCAATATTTATTTATGGCTCTAATCTAAAATTGAATCAAATTCTAATAACAACAAATGTCTTCATATGGTAAATCACTATATGTGATTACAAATGATTCAGAATAAAAGCACACATGAAATAGAATAAAATAAAAACATCAGAACAGATCAAATAGGGTTTACAGAAGTTTAACAGTATGGGATCAAATAAGTCCTAATAAGGATTCAAACAGCATCTTTGACACTATGACCGTTAGCATGAGTCATCATTTTCATCCTGCATGAGGATGAAATCGGCCTCAGGCCCAGAGACCATGCGACAGAGGAGGTGATAAACAGGAAAAGGAACATTACAACTCTTGTTTGTTTTTAAACTAATGCAGGAAATACCTTTCAAATGAATTTAAGAAAGAGGCTAAATCACCAACCATCCTGATTTAGACCCACACATGTTGACGTAAACCTTTTTCTGACTCACATGCAGGCAGACTAAACACCCCAGCACATAAAGGCTTCTGTGTTTCTAAGCTTTTATTGGCTGAGGTGAATCACCAAAGGGCTGAAGATAAAACTACAGCTCCATGCAGTCAGAAACACTTCTCTTTTGATTACCTCTAGACTTATTGCAAGTGTGCAATCTACTTCCTCCATAGGTTTGTCACATCATGTGCAAATTGGGTATCTGTTAGTTAACCATGCATAAATAAAAGGATGTGGACTTACTTCAGAAGAATGCACACTAAATCCAGCTTGGGACATCTCCATCTCAAAGGAGGATGTTGAGTTACCAGAAGTAGCTGAGAGTAAAAAAAAAAAAAAAAAATCTGTTGAGTACATTTAAACAGATTATAATGAAATTTTAAGTATCTTGATGTTGTTTTTTAAATTTTGCAAATGTATCTACACTGAAACATTGATCAGAATAGCCAACATGGATTCAGAACACTTGGATTTAGATTCTCGGGGAATTTTAGAAAATATCACCTTTTCCAACAGGCTTAATTGGATTTCTAAAATGAAAATGATTTGGTGCGTCTAGCTGGTACATCTGTCTCCTGGCTGTGGCTTCATCTGACTTTGAGTAAATATGTGCAACTCCCAACACATCAAGATCCTGCATCGAAGCTATGAGGTGAATGTCTGATGGTCGTGTTTCTGACTCTACCTTCCAGAGCAATAATCTTCTTGCCCAGTGAGTCTACGATATTCACCAGAGCCAACTCATCAGACACGTTGAAGAAGTGATCATGTAACGGCTCACTGGAAACAGACTTTATCTCTTTAATAAAGTTCTCCACCTCTTCTTCCCCTGCGCTGTTCCGCCTGTAGGCTCCTAAAACCTGGAAACAACAAACATCAACAGTTTCATCTTGTCACACCTTGATGGTTTAATCCCCCAATCCACCCCCTTAAAGGCTGAGTGTCAGTCAGGGAGGCAATGGGTCCCATTTTTGAAGTATTTGTTATGACCCGACAGGGAATCGAACCCCGACCTCCCAGAGCAGAGACTCTACCACTAGGCCACTGAGCTGGTAAGCTGGTTTGGGTCCAGCTCCTGACAATCTTTTACATTTATTTTAGTTGCTACAGTGCTGTGAAAAGGTATTCACCCCTTTTAACAGATTTCTTTTTGTCACACTTATAAATGTCAGATTTCAACATGAAATACCTCTCATGAAACACCATTTAGCAGTAATATTTTAATATTGTGACATCACAAAAAGGGACTTTTTGTCACATAATTCATAAAACCAAACATGATGGTTTTTATTCACGTTTGGAGTGTTGATAGCGGAGACCCACATGGCAGTACAGAAGGATGCAAAAAGGTGAGTTTTGCATAAAAAGTCCCCTTTAATAACCTAGTTCTTGTGAGAGAGAAAGTTAATAATAAATCACACATTAATGAGGTACGATCAAATACTCTAAAAAGTATAATTTCATACCGTGATCTGAAAGAAAGCTAGCCTAGAACCTAGACCGTCATTTGACGAAGCAAAAGTGACGGTTAAGCAATGCTCTATTGGAACCTCGCAGCTCCGGCAAGTATTATGGTTGGCCAACTACAGCATGTTTGTTTATAAAAATTATGTATTATTTTATGGGTTTTTTTATGTTTTATGTAGTTCTTCCATGATGCAATGGCAGATTGCCCCATTGACTTACATCCGTAGCAGTCCAATCACAGCGCTCCTTTGGTGGGCGGAACGTTACTGATACAAATGACGGTGACGGCTCATGTGAAACGGCTTTGGCATCAACTTTGAACTATTTTGACCTTTCTTTGACACAAGAGCAGAAAGAGGTACTTAGGCTTTTTTTAAGAAAAAGTATGTGTTTGTAAATTTGTGTTCTTTGACGAAGTATGGCTGACCACCTCGTTGACTGACGTCCATAGCGGTGAGTCCGTTGCATAGTTTATTTACCAATAGCACGTGGAGACAGTTTGAAAGACATCTGTCGATCCCATACGATTACTGAGAGCCATCAAGGGACCATGGCCAGAATATATAATCCCATGTAAAATTGCTTGTCAGGCTAAAACAAATCAAGAAAAACAACTCACTTGGTAAAGAGTAAGGTAAGACGTACTGATTGAACAATAAGGAAGTTACAGGGAAGCAAAAGTGCATTAGTGGGACTGCTCCAAGGCCAAAAGACCGTACAAAGTCCATTTACCATTTACTGAAAAAACATCTTGATAACCCCAACACTTTAGGGAAATGTATGAAAAACGTCCCACAGTCAAAGATGGTGGTGGCAGTGAGTTGGTCAAGCATGACAGAAAAATCAGACGTTTTCAAACGCTCAAAGGTTACTTATATTGATGTTCCAACCATGCTTTTATTTCTCCCAATTCAATTCCGAGTCATTTAATTTTGACTATTGCCCATACCAAGTCCTGATCCGACACTTTTCAGGAAAAGGTTAAAAAAATAAGAAGACAGGAAAAAATTTTCAGGAACATTAAAATATGAAGAAAACACAGTTTTTTAAGTTTCACTTACACTTATTTTAGAATTACATGCATTAAAATTGTGTTTGTATAATGAATATATTTCAAAGTTGTTTACTCCTTCAATATGCAGCTGCAAGCAATGCGTGTCCCTGTGCCAGTTTAAAATACCACCAAGCTGCAGACATTTTAGCTCTCCTGAGGAGACACATTACAGTAGCTCTGCGTTAGCCTGCTTGCTAACAGCTGCATCTTGGCATCAGAGTCCCTGCCTGCCTTAAATTACAGGATGTGACGTTATTGTGTTGGTTTCCTACAAGAAACAAATAATTCTGACATAGAGGAGGTTATTGAAATCAAAATTAAGCCATTGTGATTCCATTTGAAAATATCTACATCAGGATGAATTTAATATTTCATATTTGTTGTTTTAAAAGGTTAAATCCGATATATTTCTCCCAATTCTTTTAAAATCACGTGATCGTATCAAACCATATTATACTCACAGCAATTCCAAACCTCTCGATGCCATCTTCTTCACATTTTCCTATGACCTCCTTTTGTTTATAATTGTCATGCGACTCCCCATCAGTCAAGATCACCATGACTTTCTTTGCATCAGGTCGTGCACCCCTCTCTGGCATAAAAGCCTCCTTCCTAAATGGGTCAAAAACATGAAAGTAAACATCAGAAAACTGGATTGGCAGAAAACGAGTGAAATCAAATATTATTTAGCATTTATGTGTCTAGATTACGTGAACAGAAAGTGTCACTCGCACCTTACTACTTCACTACAGAAAAAGAGTCAGTTCTATGCATCGTTTTGCTACATTTGCTCCGATGAATGGAAGAGAATGAGCTTTGCGTACCTGGCTGTGTCAATGGCCAGGAAAGTGTGTGTTTGTCGCCCTCCTTGCCGAGGAAGATTCCTTACAAAGTCCTGAAGCATAGCACTGTTTTGAAACTGGCTCAGGTTGACGCGGTGAATCACATCCTCACCATAGGACACTATGCCCACCTAAACACACACACACACACACACACACACACACACACACACACACACACACACACACACACACACACACACACACACACACACACACACACACACACACACACACACACACACACACACACACACACACACACACACACACACACACACACGCACGCGTGCGGGTTTGTCTTGTAAATTACTTTCCACATTAAACATATTTTTCCTTTCTCTTATTTAATGTCATTCGCTCCTCGTCTGCCCCTCCTAAGGAAGTGGCTTGGTCTGGTGGAGATGCTGTGACCTAATATTGTTTTTACAGAAGCCTTCAGCTGCCATGGAAGATGTGATTTTCAACCACCAGACAAACTCACCACTAAGCTTTCCATTCCTTCCTCTGTGGAAACGTCTGCAAGTTCCAGACCAGACCAGCTCATCGTGCTCATAACAAAAATAATCTGAAGCAGAACTCGGGCAAGTTCACAAAAGTAAACCTAAGGTTAAACTTAATAAGACAAAGAGTGAGATTACTTCAGGAGCAGATCTATGGTGATCCTCAAGGGACAGTTCAGGAAGATAATGAGCAATTGTGTTTTGACAGCCATTTGAACGACTGTGTTTATGAATAAACATATTTAACTAACCTGTGAACGATCTGGTCCTATAGTGATGTTACTCAGGAAGCTGATCATAAAGTCAACAATGCTTTCCCATGGATGAATGCTGTTAGACCCATCCAGCACAAACACAATGTCCAGATTCTTTGAGCATTCTGGGGATAAAGTAGAGTAATTACAGTTAGTAACAACGTTACTCGTTTAGTAAACAGGCACACCACTGACTACACTGGAACCAGTTCTATACTTTTTTCAAACTGGCCTAAAAATGATACAGTCCATTGATTCCTTTCAAAATACAAGGATAATGCAACACAACCAGTCTGAGATCGATAGGTGGATTGGTGCTGCATCTGCAGTGATGTGGGCGTTGCGCTGGTCTGTCAGGATGAAGAGAGAGCTGAGTCAATCTACGTTCCTACCCTCACCCATGGTCACGAGCTTTGGGTAGTGACCGAAAGAACAAGATCACGGATAAAAGTGGCCAAAACGAGTTTTCTCCACAGGGTGTCTGGGCTCTCCCTTAGAGATAAGGTGAGAAGCTCGGTCATCCGGGAGGAGCTCGGAGTAGACCCGCTGCTCCTCCACATTGAGAGGAGCCAGTTGTGGTGGCTCGGGTATCTGATTAGGCTGCTTCCTTGGTTAGATTTTTAGAGCTCATCAAACCAGGAAGAGACCTAAAGGAAGACCCAGGACACGTTGAAGGGACCATGTCTCTCGGCTGGTCAGGGAATGCTTTAGGATTCCCCCTGGAGTAGCTGGCCTAAGTAGCTGGGGAGAGGGAAGTCTGGTCCTTCCTGCTTAGGCTTCTGCCCCCGCAACCCAACACCAGATAAGCGGTTGAAAGTGGATGGATGGAGAAATATTTGTCTTTTTAGATAGTTACTTTTAAACTTGAATCTGCTGTATTTATTTGGATTTATTGGATCATCACAAAACTGTAAGACTACATTCGAGGAAACCTACTGAGAACAATATTTGTGTCTTTAGCTGCAGGAATCCCAACTGGTCACAGTTTCCACCAAGGGATCACTAAACAACAGTTTTTGAAATTAAATATCCAGAAAATAATCCCACAAGATGCAATTACAGAAGAAAAAAAAACAGTTGGGTTATTAAATGAATAGTTCTTGTCTAATAAACAGTTGCTTCAAATCTGATTTTCCAAATGCTGAAACACAATAATAAACTGTTTGAGTTTTTTATTTGAGGAAAATGTCACATTAAAATTCATCCGTATAAATAGATAGAATAACTTAGGTCTACTTTTAAACAACTGTAAAAAATCTAAACCTCTTCAGATGTGATGAAGCATTAAATAATTTGTGTTTTTACAGCTATTTAAAATACGCTGCTTCCATATTTGTCACCGATAAAGGATGATTCACAGAAAAACGAATACGAGAACTAGAAAGCAGCCAGGACTGGAGATCGTTTACTCTCCACTTTTTTTCTTGGCCATTTCCTTCCAGGGAGACTAAACGCAGTCCCAGTAAACTGTCTCCTAACTTGGGCATACAGCACAGCAGATGGACTGGGAGCAACAGAGAGTGGCAGACAAGTTTATGTTAAGAAGAATGCTCTAATCTTCCCCTTCTCTATAAGGGAGGGTGAGTTGGATGACTTGGGTGGTGCCGCAATGATTGGTAGATAATAATCTCTTATACTGACAAATGCCATCACGTCCTGCACAGAGCAGCTGATTATGCGTTAGACAGGCTGCGTACTTTGCACTGCGGGAGCAATGGAGTTCAGGATCTGGAAGGAGGAGCTGACGTTGGCACAGATGCCTGAGATAAACTCCTCGTCGCCACATTCATAGCCGTACTGAGGACCACACGCCTGTGGAGACAAGAGACACACACAAACAAACTGAGACCTTCACAGGCTGTGACTGGCTAGCTTTCCACCAGAGGTCATGGGTGAGAGAAGGGTCAGGGTTACTGGGGAAGGATAGCATAGAACCCCAGAGGAAAGAGCTACTCAAACTGAGAGACACACTAGAGATCCCAGAGGTCTCCTCAGAGAGCAGAAGGAAGAAGCAGACCGTGAAAATATCTCAAAAGCTACAATTAAACCTTTGGGCTCTATTTGATTAGACATTTTCTAATGTTTTGATAACAAAATGGTTTTTGTTTAAAAAAAGCCTGTGTTAAAAAGATGCTAACTGAGCTAACTGCTAACGATGGTCATAATATAAGACATTTCTATGGTATTTTATTGCTCTGATCCCTGTTCCATTGTTTAGTACATATTAGTGTGTTCAAATGCCCAGGTCCCATGGATCTGCGCCTGCTAATGACGTCACACTTCATGATTTGCTGGACGTTGGTCCGTTAATATTGAAGATTTTGGTTGGTCCGGACAAATTGTGAGAGTTACGTTAGCATGTTCATCTGATGGGGTTGCGATTTTCACCAGTTGTAGTTCTCCGTAACATATGTGGATGGAGGACTATTGGGAAAAATACATCGTTACGTTTGTAACTGATATTTGATCCAATAAATATTCCTTGACTGCACACCATAAATAAATGAAATTGTCTACATGGGAAAAATAAGGCTGGCTCTATTTGAAATAACTTTACTGAACAAACAGCAACAACGTACGAACAAAGGAACTACAGGTGCTGGCCAGTAAATTAGAATATCATCAAAAGGTTGAAAATATTTCAGTAATTCCATTCAAAACGTGAAACTTGTACATTATATTCATGCAATGCACACAGACCAATGTATTTCCGATGTTTATTACGTTTAATTTTGATATTTATAGGTGACAACCAATGAAAACATCAAATCTGGTATCTCAGAAAATTAGAATATTCTAAAGGCCAATGAAAAAATGTTTGTTTCTCTAATGTTGGCCAACTGAAAAGAATGAACATGAAAAGAATGTGCATGTATAGCACTCAATACTTAGTCGGGGCTCCTTTTGCCTCAATAACTGCAGTAATGCGGCGTGGCATGGACTCGATCAGTCTGTGGCACTGCTCAGGTGTTATGAGAGCCCAGGTTGCTCTGATAGTCGTCTTCAGCTCCTCTGCATTGTTGGGTCTAGCGTATTGCATCCTCCGCTTCACAATACCCCATAGATTTTCTATGGGGTTAAGGTCAGGCGAGTTTGCTGGCCAATCAAGGACAGGGATACCATGGTCCTTGAACCAGGTGCTGGTGGTTTTGGCACTGTGTGCAGGTGCCAAGTCCTGTTGAAAGGTGAAGTCTGCATCCCCATAAAGTTGGTCAGCAGCAGGAAGCATGAAGTGCTCTAAAACTTCCTGGTAGACGGCTGCATTGACCCTGGACCTCAGGAAACAGAGTGGGCCAACACCGGCAGATGACATGGCACCCCACACCATCACTGACGGTGGAAACTTTACACTGGACCTCATGCAACGTGGATTCTGTGCTTCTCCGCTCTTCCTCCAGACTCTGGGTCCTTGATTTCCAAAGGAAATGCAGAACTTGCTTTCATCAGAAAACATAACTTTGGACCACTCAGCATCAGTCCAGTCCTTTTTGTCCTTGGCCCAGGCGAGACGCTTCTTGCGCTGTTTCTTGTTCAAGAGTGGCTTGACACACGGAATGCGACACCTGAATCCCATGTCTTTCATGAGTCTCCTCGTGGTGGTTCTTGAAGCGCTGACTCCAGCTGCAGTCCACTCTTTGTGGATCTCCCCCACATTTTTGAATGGGTTTGTCGTCACAATTCTCTGCAGGGTGCGGTTATCCCTAGAGCTTGTACACTTTTTTCTACCACATTTTTTCCGTCCCTTCGCCTGTCTGTTAATGTGCTTGGACACAGAGCTCTGCGAACAGCCAGCTTCTTTAGCAATCACCTTTTGTGTCTTGCCCTCCTTGTGCAAGGTGTCAATGATTGTCTTTTGGACAGCTGTTAAGTCAGAAGTCTTCCCCATGATTGTGGTGCCTTCAAAACAAGACTGAGGGACCTTTTAAAGGCCTTTGCAGGTGTTTTGAGTAAATCAGCTGATTAGAGTGGCAGCAGGTGTCTTCTATATTCAGCCTTTTCAGAATATTCTAATTTTTTGAGATACCAAATTTGGAGTTTTCATTAGTTGTCACTTATGAATATCAAATTTAAATGTAATGAACATTGGAAATACATTGGTCTGTGTGCATTGCATGAATATAATGTACAAGTTTCACGTTTTGAATGGAATTACTGAAATATTTTCAACCTTTTGATGATATTCTAATTTACTGGCCAGCACCTGTATAGTGAAGAATTCAACACTTGGGCCTTTACAAACAGCAAAGGGTGGCACATGAATTGTTTTGAGAGCCATTTTGTTGGGAGAGTAAAATAATAATTTCAGTGCTCAGTTGGTTTTAGTTGGTCCGAGTGACATCATCAGCGAGAGCAGATCCCCAACCAGATGTGGTACCTACACTGAACAAAAGACAGTAGAACCAAAACAACTATAGCTTTGACATTGTATCACCACGTGTGGGATATCTGTCTCCTCCAACAAAATATTTCCTCGTGAACTGGGCCCGAGCAGACAAATATACACAGCTACAGCTAATTTCCACCTTCAAATTGAGAGTAGACTGTTGTATTTCCACTAACAATTGTCTGAGAACCATCAAGTCAGAAGCGTTTGAACATGGGTAGAGTGGATCTTGCACTACCACTATGGAAAAGTGTGACTGAATTAAGTAAAGTGAACAACAGAATGAGAAAGGTAGCGATGTCCATCGATATAATTATGACTGCAAATTTTCACTAGATTTACTAAACACACATACTATCTAGCTGGTGATGATGATGAAGCTTTACACAAACCTACTCATTTAAACTAGAAACGGTGTTAAATTAAAGAATATAAACATAGAAGGTTAAAGGCTTTTAGCATTAGTAATGTGTCAAGGACTCGGTCACAAGCAGCTGAAAATGATCGTTTACTTAATGTTTCATTTGACTAAGTCTCTGGACCACCTTAACAATGATCATTCATGTGCCTTGTGGTTTTCACCTCTGTTCAATGAGATCATCAGGCTGAAACTGAAGTCTTAACAGAAGAACTTTAACGTCACACAAAATATTAATTTCTTCATCCGTAGAGCTGAGTAGTAGTGTCCTATTACGTTCCCTGGGCATTTAGACTGATTGAGGAACAGTGAAAGTCAAACATAACGTTTTGTGAACCTAGTGAACTTATATTAGCTGCAGGAAGTAAGTGAAGTCCGTTCTTTTTTTTCTATGGAAAATGTACCCAGCCTTCTTACCAGAAATCCTCCACTGGGATTGGTCACCAGTGTAGTTCCCATGTTCATGTTTTCCTTTTTCTCACTCACTTTGGGAATAGTTGTGTTTTCTAGAAAAAAAAGTAGGATGAATAAACAGAATGAGACAAACAGAAAAGAAGCACAGAAGATGAATGGCTGAACAAATTCTTCTTCCTCATTTTCCCACAGGAACAGCACTGCTCGCTCTCATTTCTGTCCTGTCGCATAGATGTAATAATCACATGGTTAAAAATAGTTTGTTTTAGTACTGTAGGATATCCCTGAGTTTGGCTTTGGTTGTTAAACACAGCTGATGAGGAGGGAAAACGAGGCAAGAATCGAATCATTAAGCAATAACAACATGTGGCTAAATTTAGCTTCTAATGCCTGATGTTGGGAATGCTCTGGAACGTATTTTGCTGTTCCCTTTGGAAAGATCCACATTCTCTCACAAACAGGTCCATATGCCATTCCAACTCGGAATCAGCTTCCCCAGAGGGCAATTGATGGGAAATTTTAAAACTATCAACAAATCTGTGTTTGGATTTTTTTAACACTTAAGTTTAATCAAATTTTCTAAACATAACAACTGGCATTCGAGATTTTAACAAATCTGACCAACCATATATTTTGCATCGTGCACTAAATAGTGAAATGCGTTCAATTGTTTTATGCATTTTAACTGTTAATTATATGCTTGAAGGAAAAACACAAATATCCTGTTACTCGTGATTTATTTTCATGCAACAGGAAGCAGTCATAATGTCAGAAAACACTGAGAAATTAAAAGAACTAGAGGTGCCATTAAATTATTGAAATGCTTTCTACAACATACAGGCAAATGAAGTAGAAATCCACATATTAAAACTCCATTTACTATTTGTGCAAGACTATGTGATGTAAAAAAAAAACTAATTATGTTCAGTTAAGTTTTGCACATTAAAGTGACAATGTGTCGTTTTAATCTCTGGAACCCAGTTGTTGAAAAATATTGGTGGCTTTGCAACACATAGCCCACATGTGTCAGACACAAGGACCGTACATTTTTATGTGGCCCGCGAGATAAATATCAAAAATACACCGTAAATCCTCTAATACAGGCCCGGGCCTGTATTTGACTCAAGCTCATCAAGCTCCAGGCCTTTATTGGAAGGAGGGCCAGAATTAGAGGCAGGCCTCAGTTTCTATTTGAGCAAAATGAACTAATGGTTCGCTGAAGTTTTTGACAATTAAAATTGCGCCCACATTTTCAAAGTTAAACACATTTCTTTTAACAACGGTAGTTTCTGCTTCAGCCCTCTCCCCCCTCCCCCTGCGCAGCGGCCACAAACTCACTGATGCACCTGCTGCCTCTCGGAGTTCCTGCTGCTCTAAACATTAAAATAATTATTTCATTTTCTGTTCCTCACTTCTGATTACCTTCAATGGTTTCTGTTTGTTGCAACCACCAGGTACAAAAACTAACTTGTTTTTATTTGACTATTTTTCTGTCCTGTCTGTTTATTATCTTCCTGCATCTCCTCTCAATCCTAAAGACAAACTGCTACCTGGGTTCATATATATTCACCTTATGAGTTACCTTTGAACTGCAGTTCTAAAAGATCTACCGACCGCAAAAACAGCGGAGTGCTCCCGGTCGCATCAGTGAGGTGCGTCACCGAGGACAAAACAGGTGATGCGCCCCGATCCACAGCAGCGAAACGCATCAGGCACAAATAAAAGAATAAAAGACAGAAAACATAAAAGGAAATGAGCCGACATGAACGATCGCGTGTTAAATTAGTTTTTGAGGTGGCGACACCTGATTTGATAATGTTACTGTGGCCGACTGGCCGTGCTCAGGACGCAGATGTCTGGAGCGCGTCAACAATCAGAGCTTTGCATGCGCAAGCTGGTTAAGGTTAGGATGGGGGTGAGGGGAAGGTTAAATTGCAAGAGGGTAAATTTCACAATTTGGTTAAATGTCAGTTTTACGGCGGGTGTCAGTATCGACGCTCTGGCACAGCACGTTGCCTCCCGACGCGCAGGAGCTTGTCACCTGCTGACAGCAGGCTGCTGTCTTTTCCGAGGACTGCAACTTGCCGGTCATTATCACGTGACAGCGACTAGTCGATGACAGGCATAACAAGTCACTATATAGCGGTGAAGTTGACTAGTGACTACCCCTGCTACTGCTCCCCAGAGTGTTCTGCAGCATAATCAGCACGTTCTCTTTGAACTTGATATGAAATTTTCGCCTCCTCTTCGTCTCCGCACAGTTAAAGTTACCCTCGCGGTAATTAAATACAGGCTAATATTAGAGGATTTACGGTATTAAAACTGACCCGCTGGCCGATTTTACCACAAACACTACAACTCCCATGATGGTTTGTGGCGTTAGCCGGAACCGAACCGCCACCTCCTTTGTGTTTTTTCCAGCGTCTGCTGCTGGTGTCTGCAGCTCTGCTGTCTCGAACAAACTAAACATTCCTCTCACTCAGCACCGAGTTTACTCAGCTATTTGCAGACGTTGAAGCCCAGAAACAGAGATTTTAACCACTCAGTAATGTGTTCACGACTGACAGAGAAAGTTTTCCAACTAACTTCCAGACAGAGCTGATATAACTCCAGCGAGCAGCGACACGCTCAAATCAGCATGACTCTGTGGCTGCTGTAGTATTTATTTTTCCTCTCCGACACACAGCAACATGGTCAAGCTGCTCAGACATGTTCATCAGCACAAACCTATGTGAGCACCTGTTGTCATCTAAAGTTGTCATTATTATGATGAAGATGAACAAAACAACAGGAGTCTCCTCCTCAGCTCAGATCAACCCCATGATGCAGGTATCTGGCTGGAACAGGTGAGCATCACAGTAAACTAGTGGAGCAAACTGAGCTTTAAATATGTTGGTTTTATGCTCTTTTTCTGCTCCAAAACATGAAAGTTAACAGGTGAGATATTGCATTTTCATTTAAGATAAAATTATATTTTTATTTAGTTGTTGGCCTGTGAGAAAATATTTAACCTACATTAAACAGGAAGTGGAAAGGCTGCTGATAGATGAATAGAATAGAAAATCCCTTTATTGTTCCTCAGTGGGGAAAGCTAATATCACAGCAGCGATGGCACTTATTACATGAGGAAAATAGGAGAATAAAACATAAGAAAAATGAATAGGCAACAAGAAAACATAAATCTTGAATAGATTTAAAAAATGCTGAATATACCACGAGTAATGAATACCACTGATGCCTTTTATTTAAAATTGACTTGCTCGTGTGTAATTTGGTTATTCCACATTCAGTGTTAATGCAAAAATAAGTTAGTTTCCAAATTAAAAGGTTCAAGAATGCATATATGTTGATAAAGAAAATGTGCAAATTTGCTGTCACTTTTTCAAAATTGTTAACTTTGGCCCACAACTTCGTCACAGATTTACATTTCGGCCTAGTGTGAATTTGAGTTTGACAACCAAAAGTTGGGTCTAAAATACGGGAGTGGGTCTAAGTAAGGAAATATGGAAAATATATGGAAATAATTAATAAAGTATGTTCTCTAGCCTACAATCAGCTTTTGTCAAATAATTGTCAAAAAATAGTTCAATCATTTATCAATGAACATCTTTGGTACATTCCTTCTGTGTTCCATTATTTGGTTCTTTTCTGCAAACAGCGTAATAAAGATTTGTGTGACAGAGATTGGACCTCTATAGATGTCAGTCAACGGGGCAGTCCTCCACACATCATTGAAGAAAAAGCAAATACATCCTTTTTAAAATAAAAGACTAATAGTCCAGGAAGTCTAAAGTCTAAATAGTCCAGAGTTGATGCCAAAGCTGTTTGAAATGAGCCGTGGCCATCCTAGTTTCCAGTAACATTACGCCCACCAAACAAACTGGCCGGGGCTGCGGAGGTTCCAACAGAGTGCGGCTAGACCAACATGTAGAGCAAAATAATTTTGCTTCAACAACTGATGATCTAGCTAGGTGTGTTCTTGCTGTGTCTTTCTAAATAAATGCTTTCGTTCTTTTTAAACACGCGTCACTTCCTTCTCCGCCACCATCGGCGTCAGCCTGAAGAAGCCGGCAGCCGTCGGCGAAACTGTAGCTACAAAACAGGTAAACAAAACTGTTTCTGTGTTTAAAAAGAACGAAAGCATGAACTGACGATCTAGATTTCTGAGCCCGGGAGATGTTCTAACAGTAAATACTGTTGTAAAATCAACTTATTAGTAGAAATTATTCTGTATGTAAATGCATGATTTGTCACTGGACAGAGTGCTGGCTGGTCACTTAACGTGTCAGCAGTGAACCAACACCCTCATGGCTGAAAAGGTTTTCTGTAGTTGCACTACCACCTCTAAACACTAGATGTCGCCAGAGTGTCCGTGTTCCATATTCAACCTTTAACGCTCCTTCTTTTTTCCTGGAAGAAAGATCTGAAACTCGCTAAACAAATCTTCTCTTCTCCATGTCTAGTTGGTTGACGTCAGTTTGGTGAGATGAACATTTGTAATCTTCTACATCTTTTCACACAAAACCTTAAATAACGTTTGCTGTCGTTTGAGAATAAGCACTTTCTTGGCATCGAAATGTGTCTTTAAAATTCGTGAACATCATGGGTGAAATCCATGGCGCATATCAGAAAAATATCCTCTCACAGACTCACATTCATTTTTTTTGGCAGTTGGGGACCCATGATTCTGAAGTAGATGGTCGTGACTTAGGCTCTAGACTTCCATAAATGATTCATTTCCATGTAGAGGGCCACGGGTGGACTTAGACGAAATACAAATAATGAAAAATGATCTACTTTATTTCAAAGAACATGATCAGAGGGTCAAATTTAAGCATTTTTTTACTGATTGCCGTTACTTTAATATTTTTTTAACTACGTACCCCAGCTTTAAGTTCTAAATTTGCAGCGTAGATCTAGTTTCTAAGCTGTCAGCTTATGGTTTCTTTAGCTCAGTTAACAATTTATGTAACCATGTGTAACATGAATTCAAATTTCCAAACAAAACGTCACCATATTGCAGCACCGTTTAGCAGGAAACCCCAAAATGACGGGTTTAGGATATCATTGCCAGTGTTTCATCGGGGATAATGATCGTGGCAGCTTTGCTGCTTGAATGGAAGTGTGGTTAAAGATTACAACACAACAACGGCACTCTTTTCACGGTTTGGACTTATTCGGCTGGAACTGGGGGAAAGTGTAAACTCACGCTGGAGTTGGTGATGTGGGACCAGAGTGTGTTGTTGGTGATCACATGCTGAGACATGACTGAAGGCTCAAGAATCGTCAAACAAAATCCAAGTTAACAAATAATTAGAGAAGCTTGCTTCTAATTTAAGTTCAGCATACTGTAAAAACATAAACTTCCTCCAGTTTGCTGCTGAGGAGTCCGGCACCAGATGGAAGCAAACAATTTACAGACTAAACTTGAGTTTTTTTTAAATCAAATTCAACCATATTTAGTGGTTATTTATTTACCAGCAACAAGATCCTATCTTCCTTCTAACTCCTTGTTCATTCTGAGGTATAATGTCTTTAAGGTTGCGCTCCCTTCTAGTTGTCCTTTTCTCGACACACAGAGGAACATTAGGATGGTTTGCAGCCTGCTGATCAGGAGCTGAGCTTGTTTATTTGCGTAATTACAAAAAATTGGAAGGATGTAACACTAAATCCCTGTTTACTTTCTGTCTTCCTGTTCCGACGCATCAACATCCTCCAGGATCACATGTTCATCTGACGTGAACATATGACTCAGTGTGAGGTGAGTTAATTCGCCTCAAGGTTTTAATATTGTTGAATTTATATGCTTTCTTCACTTTGACTTGAAGGATTTTAACCCTCTGGAGGCAGGCGTTGCAGATTTGCCACATTAAAGCCTACCTACCTGGTTACTCCACATTCGTATTTCATGAGCATTTTTTAACTCAGAAGTACCCCTGAAGGACTTAGTTGATCGTCCTTTTATCAAAACTTGTTTTGAGCCTGAGAGGGTTAAAGTAGTGTGTGTGTGTGTTGTGCAAAGGAGAAGCCAGGTGGAAATGAGAAAAGCCCTGAAGCCTGTGTTGTTTTTGTTTTGAGCTTCCAGATGTGCAGGAGCTTCTGCACTAAAGCGGCTGCACGTTTTAAATATCCGCGGACTTTAATAGTCTTTTCCTTTCTTAGCACTGGAATGAAAAACTATCTCCAATGCAAACCCATGCCTATGCTTTTTATGTGTCATTCTTTGTGCTGATTACTTTCAGTGTTTGAGCTTTACAGCTCTGCCAGATGTTTAGAGAATAGAATGTCAGGGTCCACAACAGATGAGGAAATGGATTCAATCACACTTTAAAGTTTACGTTTTGGACATTTGTATTTTAGTCTGTATGAAAATTGCACGACATATAAGACAACAAAAGAAAAATAGTTGCTTTGTTCTATACCGTGGACTTTATGAACAGATAACTCATGTGCACAAATGTCTTTATTCCTTACCTGGCAGTTCCAGTTTGACACAAGTATTGTTTCTTTTTCCAACCGGACATTTGTAAACATCTCCTGTTCGGTAACGTGGCTGACCTGAATATGGCGATCCAATCAGAACCCTGAAAAAAATAATCGTGTTGGTTTGTCATTGAACTAAAAATGCAGCCAAAACCTACCCCCAAGTGTTTTAAGATAACAACAATACGTATGCTATTACTGAAATTATGAGTTGGCAGGTCAAAGTAGCAACTGTGAGGTCCACCTCTGAGGTCCACAGCTGTTAAAATCAGATTTAATTATACTTTGTTAAATTAGACATAAATCTCTGCTTCAGACTCACTGAGAAAGCTGTTAATGCTTATTATGAGTGGCCTGTGTGGCTCTCGTTTAACTTTATTATCAACTTAACCCAATTACACAGAATAGCAAAAATAAAAACTCCTTTTGCATGTAATTATTCTCATTTCAGCTTGTTTTGCTGGATATTTAGCTGTTTTATTCTATCTGTAACTTTACAGGTGTGAGGTCAGCACGTGTGGCTATGTCACACAACCACGATGTGTGTGTGTGTGTGTGTTTCCTGAAATCATGTCACTTCATCAGTAAACTGATGCTAAAAACAGGCAGTCATCTGCCTTCCTATAAACACTCAGACTTATTAACATTCCTTAGCTCTAATGGAGTCATTTGAAAGCTAGAGGCAAAGAGCAACAACAACACACTCCGCTCAGGGCTGCATGCAGCTGCTTGTCAGAAACACCACTGTGCAACAATTTATGACACACGACAGGTTTTCTTTTCATTTAGCAGGTAAATGTGTTGAATATATAGCATCAATGCCATGGTTTAGCTCAGAGTTTCCCAAACTTTTCATCTTCAGACCCACAAAATAGAAATGGTAAAGATTTATGAGCACAGGTATAACTGCTTTGACAACACAAACATGCCTAAAAACCTAAATAATTCAAAGTATAAAAAAAGAAAAAATTTTCCAGATATTTTTATTGAAATTTTTTAACATGACCTTTTGAGAAACATAAACAAATTAAAAAAGAAAGAGAAATAAAAACAAGAAACAACAACAAAACCAAACACTACACTTATTCCCACCCCCACCATAAAAAATCCATGTATGACTATTTATGTTTATGCTTAATTTATTTTTTATGTTTATTTATTTGGCAGATGCTTTTACCCAAAGTGATGTACAATTTTAAACGTATCGGGCATGCTGTGACTATTTAGTTGAGTTTATGTAACATTTATGCTAGAACTTTTATTTTGAGCTTTGCTCCAAATCCAGATCTCCATGGTTGATAAATTCAACCCGCCTTGATTCAATTAGATGAATTTATTATTGGTGTGAACATTAACATGATTTAACAAAGAACATTGGTCTTGCAATTTTCCAGAGGTGGCCAAAGCCCCCCCACAACGGAGCACCAATGGTACCCGCCCCAACTTTTCAGAGCCACTGATTTAGCTCAAATTCATTTTTACATTTTATTACTAACTGCTTACAGATGATGTTTTTGCGTGTGTTTGTGCTCTATAGTAAAATGACTCATGAGCCATAATCATTATTTGCATCATTGACGACTTCCACCAGAGTTAAATAAAAAGAGGCAACACAAACATGATATAATATTGTTGTAAAGACTTAATCTGAGGGCTCAGTGATTGCATTAGATTGTGAACAACTTTGCTTTCAAGTTTTGACTAAAACAGCTTTGACTCCGTCATTACAAATGTTGGCAGCTACGTCATCAGAAAATGTTTATTCCTTCAAGGACTCCTAGATTTTTAGACAGATTTAAGGCTTACTATTAATCCTCAAGACAAACTGACAGCAACCTGTTATTGCATTGGTGGGTGTTCTTTTGCAACATTCACCACTCGTTGACTGAAGCAGACATTTTTTTAAAATCAGATTTACTGCAACTGTTCTCAAGAAGATAAAATTTATAGTGAACCAAAACCTCAATAAACTGAATCACAAACCACATGTTGCAAACGTTCTCTGTGCAGTTGATCGACATTTCCAACACCATCCTGTGGGCGAAGGGCGGGTGGGCACATGTGCAGCTAATTAGCTGCCTCTAATTTATGGCAGCCTGCGTGTTACATCACCATAATTGCTGTGGTTTTTACAGAATACTCTCCCATGCAAAACCCAGAAAGTCATATATAAAATCTGTTTCTACGGTGCGACTCTTCTCCATCCTTTATTTGTTTTAGCGATCTCCCTTGTTTCTCTAACTGCCTTATCCTTTTATTTCTATCAACGTCAACGTCGTGTCTCTCAGATGTCTTTGCAGAACAGAACTGAGGAGGTGCAGTCCCAGCTGGCTCCAGTGATTAGCAGACAATGAATTACTGTTACTGAGTTCACTTGAACTTGATAAGATCGTTACTGAAGAACAACAGTGTGTGGAGACAACAGGTTGGAGAAGAGCAGGCTGAACCATTACGCTGAAGTAACTAAAGGTGAGATGTGGAGAGGGTGTTATAACACTTTACTGGCCTTTAACAGGGTTTTAAAGACATGCTCCCAGGTTGTTTTAGCAGGAGGAGACAGATGCACGGCCTCAGTGTGTTTACAGTTTAGCTGTGAGATTCTCTAGTGGGTAGTTTATAGTAAACAGCTGGTAGTAAAGGCAAAGATCCTTTTTTACAGCCACACATGATGTTCTGCTCACTTTTACACATTATTGGACTTTTCTATTTGCTTTTGTGAATGGTCTCAAGTTAAATTAAACCTATTTCTAGACCTGATTCATCCATCCATCCATTCAGCCATCCATTTTCATCCGCTTATCCTGGGTCGGGTCGTGGGGGCAGCAGCCTGACCAAAGAAGCACGGACTTCCATCTCCCCAGCCATGTGGTCCAGCTCCTCCGAGGGAATCCCAAGGCGTTCTCTGGCCAGCCAAGATTAATTGCTAGTCATGTAGTTTACTTGGTGAAAAAATTATTATAATTTTCTTAAAGGGAAACTTAGCAGTTTTTGCTTGCTTTTAGCATCCCCTAATGTTTGTTCAGTATAACCAAAAGCAAACTTTTTCTCCTCACTGTGTGTTCATCTTTTTAACGTCTTAATCCAACAGCTGAAACGTCTCCCAGCCTTCCTTAGTGTCTACAGGAGTGATTCATCACGAAATTAAACAAATCAGCCGTGTTCATGATCTAAAACATGCAGGAAACATGCTCCATGTTGTTGAAAAGCCTGCCTTAGCTTCTCTATATTGGCTGCCTGTTCTGCTGCTCTATAACTGCATTATTTCCTGCTATTTCAGCTGTTAGCTTTATTTTTTCTCTAAGTGTTTTTCTCCCCAGAAAAAGCTACAGTGGTGTTCTGCTGAGCTGTGGTAGCCTCATGGAGGGGGCCGTCGGCTTCAACACTGTTGCTAACCACTTAAAAATTCTCCCTCTCCTGATAATAACATGTTACTTTCTTTGACATTGAATGTGCTACTACTAGTTTACCTGTTGAATTAATTGTAGATTCACTAAGATAAAGACAATTAAGTTTATCTCTTACTAAATAGAATATTCACTAAGATATCACAATGCATGTATGTGGGTGTGTGTGTGTGTGTGTGTGTGTGTGTGTGTGTGTGTGTGTGTGTGTGTTGGTGTGTGTGTGTCTGCTCTGTCTTCTCGATCCTCAGTGAGTCGTGGTGGATGGCTGCTTATACTGAGCCAGGATCCTCTGGAGGTTTCTTCCTGTTAAAAGGGAGTTTTCCTCTCCACTGTCCCTACATGCTTGCTTAGTATGAGGATTGCTGTAAAGACACCGACACTAGTCAGTGACTTGATGCAACCTGCTGGATTCCTTATATAGGAAACTTTTTACTGATTGGCTTAATGAGCTGAACTGTACTGGAATGTTTCCTGTGTGAAGTGCCTTGAGACGAGTCTTGTCGTGATTTGGTGCTACATAAATAAACTTGAATTGAATTGAACAGACTGGACCAGCACTCTGAAGTTGCAAGTGTGATATTCTGGCCACAGAGGGCAGTAAGGATCTAAGAGGCATTTCCTTAACCTTGTAAAGGGTAATTTTATCAAATACTGGCTCAAGAAAATGATTTAAAAATATGAAAAAGCTGCTAAGTATCCCTCTAATATCAATAAAAAGAAAAGTATGTTTCTGTTTAGTGAACTATTTGTTGCTATTGCACTCATTTCACTTTTTGCCATTCAGACTTTAAGTGTGTTCAAGTTGAAAATGTAAGAAAATAAGGAATTTTTATATGAACATGTGAGAAACGTTACAATTTGATCACTTATGTAAGTAAACTGATATCTTAAATGCATTTGACACAGAGGATTCTCCCAGAGGGAACATAAGACAGTGGTCTGACCTATTTTCTACAAAATGTAATAAATGAAACTCACCATTTCCCCTCGCTGTTCTCAAACTGCTGAACAGAGTAGCCAAACAGGTCGTCCAGAGGACCCTCAAAGGACAAACTATTCTTCTGGTCCACGTTGAAGGACAACACACACGTTAGCAGCACTGTGAGGAGAAAGGACAAATAATGGGGCACACATAATCACATCTTATTAGTTATTTTATTCTACAGTAGCTCTCTGGAGCGTAAACAAACTGGCTGAAATCCCAATCTCATTTTGGAGACGTAAACATTCTCAGGACATTTTTCCAAATATACTGAAATCCAACACGGAAATGAAAAATAAACAAGTAAAGCAATATCTCAGAGCCACAAACATAATTGGGTATTTAGTTAATTAGGGCTTTGAATTAGTTAAATTAAATTTGCAAAAATAGGTTAAAACTTGGAAGTTCATTATGAGTAGAGCACGTACAAATGTACACTAAATCATTTTGGAGGCTGCTGCAGGAATTTCGTGCGTCGCTGTGAAGCTGAGTGGTCAGAGTTCAGACGGACGTGCGGGACAATGGCTTCTTCTCTGCACTCCGCTCCGTCTGAATGTATCACACAGGCTCGATATAAATCCCAGCATGCCTCTTTGTGCGTGCTCAACAACGACACTCTTTATTTTTACGGCACCAGTGAATTCCTGCAGGATAATTAATTTGATTCTGCGACTTTGTGAAGGGGAAGACAGAAGTGGGAGAACAGTGGGATTAGAAGCAGAGCGTTCAAACACAGACGTCTTACAGAGACACACATACAAGCAGCTATTTGTACTTTGATTTGCTGCTGGTGTGTTGAACCCAAACACCATAAAGAGCTGTCATGTAAAGTCTAGACTTGATTATAATTAAAGCTTTCAGCAGCTTGAATCTTGAAATGATGAGTTGGAGTACTGCTTTAATCCAGACTGAACAATAACAGAGTTTAACTGAATTTAAATTAGAATTAAATTTAATGCTAGCCATCATTATTTCTTCATTTCAACCAGAACATCTGTGTTTTTAGAGATGACAACACATCATTTATTAAAAACATGGACAGATTTACTCTTAAGTGTCATTATAAACCTTTCTAAAATTAACCAACAAAACAAAATTTCACAATAAAACAGCAACGTAGTTATTTTACTTTATTTGTAATTTTTTCATATCTATTTGTTTGAGACAGGATAAACAAAATGTCTTTATATTTGTGATGAGCTGCTTTATGTTTTTAACAAAGTCTACGTTTATTTTATATATTTTTTAGAAGGTTTAAAGTAAAACGTCACTCTTTTTTTTTTTACAAATTGTAAAAAAATTAGCGTTGCTTTACTTGTTTGCTTATTTTCCACCACATTTCCATCTGGACATATAAAGTAAATTTTATTGAAATTGCCCACATGCATACATTTCATCACTTAAACATGCTTGAAATGAGGTATTCTGATTGATGATGTTTCTATACATCATTTATTAAATCAGATCTAAAAAAAGCACCAACCCTTTCTACCGATAGAGCAGCTGATCATGTGGTTGTCACTAGTGAATGTGAACCGTGTCACGGTCAGATGGCAAGAGTCACACAAACAAGATTAGTGCAGAAGTTCATCTTTCAAAAGGTTTCATTAGGTTTAATTAGATATAATGACACGCTTTGACCCCTCTCACTGTGCACTTATAAACATTTGTTGCTACTCATGCATAAGTCCTGATTGCACAGGACTGCTCAGACACAGATGGTGAGAACCAGACCTGCTGAGTCATCTAAAGGGATCCCAGCCGAGATACATCATCTCCTCTGTTTCACCCTCCATCCTTTCTCCTCTGTGACCTCGCTCCCTCCCAGAGAAGCTCCATTTTCTCCTCGTATTAAGTTCATTATAGACATTCCCTTAACTCTTAAGGCGTGCACACACACACACACACACACACACACACACACACACACACACACACACGCACACACACACACGCACACACACACACACACACACACACACACACACACACTTATTTAAGGAATTATACAAAGCTATTTAGCTCATTTAAAATGGCTTTGGGCCAGTTGAGCTATACACTTTTAACAGACTGAGCTCAAGAACAGTTCAGAGTCACACTGTCCTGAGATGTTATCACACACACACACACACACACACACACACACACACACACACACACACACACACACACACACACACACACACACACACACACACACACACACACACACACACACACACACACACACACACATTTCCTTGGACTCTTCTGTCTTTGCTCAACTCAAACCAAATCCAGGCGGTTATGTAACCGATCATTTGTGTGAGCTGGGATAACATCTGTTTAAGAGAACTAAAAAAATCAGATCATCTTCTTGAGATTGAAACAATCACGAGTCCCTGGGAGCTTAGGTTGTCTATTATAGCATGAAAGATTGAAGATGTAATCAGTCAATCAAGCTGCTGAGCAGAAAATACAAATGTTTTTTTTATTTTTATTTTGTTTGTACTGGTTTTTCCCTCTCTTTTTGACTCTTTCTGGTCACAATGGATGCTCATGTTGAACAAGTTTTTGGTGCCACAAAAGACAATTTACCACTCGATATTTCATCACTTGGTCTCTAGTATAAATAAATGTCTTGTTTGTCAGTCTGTGAGAACAAAGCTCTGGCGCTCCTGTTTCAGGAAGTAGAAGTTAGTGGGAGGAGTGGGCGGCAGAAAACAGCAGGATAATGAGCTTAAGTCTCCTCCCTTTCCGGTCGGCTCATGGGAAGAACAAAAAAATGAATGCAAGTCAACGGAGCTAAAAGAGCTATTTTCTAATCTGCTTTGCCTTAGGCCCTGGATCGCACATATGTTGTACTGCAATTTAAATTAAAACTAATGGTGTGTGTTTTGAACACGCCAGTCACGTGGTTTGAGATTTATCAGCTTGTAAAAGTTCACGATTAGCATGATTACAAATAAGATATCGACACATTGCATATTTGAAGTCACCACATATTCTCCTCTCCCCTAGTTTGCTAAACTTAAAGCATTTTCCCTCTGTTTTCTGGTCTGGTTTGGCGACGTCACTTTCTTGAATCGCATTTGTAGCCCTGGACTTATTTTCAAGCAAAACCTAAAACAGTGTTTCCCACCATTCGAAATAAGCACATTTATGGCATCCAAATGCATCTTTGAAATTTTCGGACATCATATGTGAAAGCCATGGCGCATTACAAGCGGAATTAGAAAAAAGCGTTTTTAGCTAGCCTGGCAAGCCAGACTAAATAAATGTATTATTTAGTCTGGCCACGCTCCATTGACGGCTCTCGGTTGTGGGGCGGGTTCTACCGTTGTCTTTCAAATGATCTCCGCATTCCACTGGACAATGAATGTGACATACTCTTGTTTCACTCTGTTGCATCATCCCACCCACCAGGCATATAGAGTGCCCTGATTGGCCCACAAAGCGGATAAAGCTCTGTGATTTGTTCACTAAGCAGATAGAGCACTATGATTGGCCCACCATTATGGACCAATCACAGCTCTTTATGTGTTTGAAACCCCTCTAGAGAGCTGTGATCGGCCAGCCAGAATGCTGTTGGGGCTGCAGAGGTTCCAGTGGAGCGTTCCTAGACCAAACTTTGCAAAGCAAGAATTTGGTCTAGTTCACTAGGCTAGTTTTTAGCCCCATTGACTTGCATTCATTCTTCGTTCTTCCGGGGACCCATGGTGCGGAAGGAGATGGGCGTGACTTAGGCTCCCTATTTGGAGTCTTACTCTTGAATATTCATGATATTTTGACATCTCACCTCTGACTGGCTAACAGCAACCCAACTCGTCTGCTGCCTCAGTTTGCAACGTTGAAGTTTTATCTCCACCAATAACACAAGCCTGGAGGAGTTCTGCCATGTCTAGGAGTTTCTAATCCTAACGGTTAGCTACTACTAGCAAAGACATGCTCTGCCCTCTCCTGCACACTAAATAAACAACAGCCTTCGCTGTCATGATCTAAGATGGGTGAGTTTGTGAATGTTAATTTACAATGTGAGGTACGTCTCTGTGGCTTTTCTAATCTGAGCACTTCCCAGGGATAGAAGACTATTTTCATGTTTAGCCTGCATGTGAATCTCAGAGTGACCAATCATATTTCAAAAGTTAAAAAAGTGGTTTATCTGGGAACTTGCTCTTTAACGTATTTTCATTTTATCAAAAGCAGAACCTTCTGCACTCCATCCACTCACTAATCGGTGCTCGGCAGTCAGTGAACTATCAGAGTTAAAAAACTAGTAGGAAGGCTTAAAAAGAAAATAGTTTTAACGGGTGCACTCTTTAAAACTTTTTTCTCACTTTGAGTGCTCCAGCCTTCCTCCTGATTGTCATTTTATGTTTAAATTAAAGGTATAGCAGATGATCTTTCTCCTCCAAGTGGATCATCTAAACCATTGGTCGGCATAACTGTCTGGTGAACCATTCACGCAAGGCCGTCATCATATATGCTCATTGCTCGGTACTTTTCACTTCCTGCACATGCGCAAAGCAAAGGTCGTGCTCCCCGCAGGCGCCCCTGTTGCCAGTTTTCTGCTCAACAGTTGAGCTGAAGTTCGGCATGCAATTTGGAGAAATTAGGCGGCTGCTTGAAGAAGTGCTGCATCATATGATGTGAATAAATAATGTTTGCAGCTTTCCGTCTCTTTGTCCTGGTCTGCCCCAGACCATTCCACTACCACCACCATGTTTCACTCCAGATAACTGAGATCAGCTATCACCTCATCACAAAAGGTTTCATAATGTTTCTCTCAAATTAAAATCTAATGCTGATACGTGCTTGCTGACGTGCAACAATTAAGGTAGATCTAAGCATACAAGCATGATAACATTTGTCAACAGGTGAATACAAACACACTAATCAATCCACACCACTATACAAGCTACCAAGGCGATATAAAACTAAATATATAAATCCAAACCAGTCATTTATATTTCAGTTTTATTTTTTATGTGCATAATCACTGTTGGGCTTTCACTGCTGGCAGCACAAGCATTTGTAAGCTTTCCATGTATACACAGAGAACTGGAGCTGCCGCTCTGCTAACGTGCTGCACATTTCCTGTTTATTGTGAGGAAAGTCCTGTTCTTTTTCAGAAGAAA